TTGGGCGAGGACGAGCGAACCTGCCACATTTTTTGCCATCGAATTGAGCCGAATTACTTTTTTGTTTTACGCTGAACCTCAAATTTGTTTTTGTCAATAAAGTTTACAGATATTATTCTAATCAAAAACAAAACAAAAACCCCAACGCAAAAAGAACGGGAGGGATTTTCTATAAAAAAATTTTCATCGATTTTTTTTGAAAAAGTGATTTTGCAAGACTTTTACTCGGTATTTTATCTTTAAAAATTAATCAGAAAATGAAAATAACTCTAAGTTAACTGTTCAAAGGTTTGAACAAATTTTTGGAATAACTTTTTACCGGCTACCCGTTTTTGGTGACTCCAAAGCCACGTCGACAATGGTGAACGGTGGCTTGTCATCGCACTATGAATTTCGTTTTATTATTGAATCTTTGAATCTTTAAATCTTTAAATCTTTAAACTAAACGAGTATTTCTATTTCCTCACTTTTACGTTCCCATTTTCAGTATCAAGATTATTGCATCCATTCTGAGTGTATCCAATTTCATAGCTCACCTCATTGCCCACTCTGATTGTGATTGTCTGAAAGCATGGTTTTTAGTTTTTTCAATTCTAAAGCTTTTTTGAAAGGTTTTGAAAGGTTTTGAAAGCTTTTGCAAGCTTTTGAAGGCTTTTGAAAGCTTTTGAAAGCTCTGAGAGGTTTTTTTAAAACATAGATCGAAATTGATAGATCCAAAAGATAGATAGATCGAAATTGATAGATCCAAAAGTTGTTGTAGGTGAGAAATCTACTATACCAGACTTGGGACTTTCTCCATTTTTCTGTTTCTACGTTTACTCCGTCTTTTTTTCCGTCAAGGATCTCCGTCAAGGATTCTTCATTCTCCGTTAACTTCTTTCTCCATCTCAAGCATCGTACACCCACCTTTACTTGGCTTAAACGAGCCCCGTGAAAACCGAAACGCGGACGATCACTCGTCAACTCGAATACCAAATCATCTTCATCATCTCCGTTGACAACACGAATCAGTAATAAGAAAAACAGAGACAAAGCCAGCATTCTCTTCAAATGGAGGGAAAGTTTTTAGCTTTTTTTGTTGCCGGTACTGAGTGTTTCGAACAGTAAGCTGCTTTCAAGCTCGACAAAGCTGTTATCTAAGGTACTAGGACATGCATTTTCTTCTATCCGACCGTTTTAGCGACTTAATGATTGAACCCGATGACCTGGCGACGAAATAAACTGATGATTGCGTGCAGAAAGAGAAGATTATGCGTCTCTTGGCTTAAGATTACAAAATCTCCGTCTCAACTGCTCCATTCAATCCGTCTTTTCACGAACGTGAATGTTCAGTAGTATTGCGGTTAAGGAGGGGGTTGAAAAAATAGTAGTGCGCACTACTATTAGAGGGAATACGGTAACCGAAACCTAAACTAAACACCATAGTATTTCATGTCACCAGGTTTTTAGTATTTCATTTTTCGTCCGTACTTTCAAAAAATGCGTCTTTGGTATCAAAAAATAGCCCTGAATTTCAGCTATTTTTTGATACCTAAGCGCGCATTGTAGCATAAACCAGTGTCGAGAAAAACTCGTTCAAAGCTAGACTACGCAACACTCCGCACCGTCATTAAGGGGGCGTGGTACTATTACAGTATACAGGCTTACCACAATAGATTTGATACGATATAAAGTCTTCTTTATCAAAAACATTCCAACTATTCATATAGCCGGGAGTCGTGATCATCGTTGTCCCATTACATAACGATTGCTCGATTCGTTCTGAAAGAAAAAAAAAGAAATGATTTTCCTTTTTCTTTTGTTTACTTGAAACCGATTTGAGTGGTTGAATGGCGATTTTTGTTGAGCATTTTGGTGGAATGAGTACGGTGTAAATACGACTTGTTAAATATTGCTCAATGAATGATCCTCCGTTTCCGCTGAACAAATGAACATACTGTAAATGCTGTAAAATTGTACAGTCGTACAATTACACCCCGTTTGTACAGTCGCGTAGTCGCAAAAGTTTTTTAGTATTTCATTTTTCGTCTGTACTTTCAAAAAAAAAATAATAATGACGGTGCGGAGTGTTGCGTAGTCTAGCTTTGAACGAGTTTTTCTCGACACTGGTTTATGCAACAATGCGCGCTTAGGTATCAAATGAAAGCTGAAATTCAGGGCTATTTTTTGATACCTAAGCGCGCATTGTAGCATAAACCAGTGTCGAGAAAAACTCGTTCAGAGCTAGACTACCCAACACTCCGCACCGTCATTATGGCGATGGGGTATTATTACAGTATTTACGGTACCATAAATACTTTAATAGAACGCGAAATGATTTTGAGGGTTTTTCAGAGAAAATTTTTACGTACCACACTAAAATGCACTAAACTACCGTAACCCTCCAAGTTTTCTTTCTTTGGCAATCAGCCAATTTGTTTCTTTTCTATTTTTCACAATCATTTTTATTTTTTTTATAAACTCGACATTTAGCATCAAAGTTAAGTTTATTTTATACATTTTTTTGACCAGATTGCTTTGTTAGACGGCTTTTTTACAGAGCGATGGACGAAAAAACATCCATAATGCACGTGTGGCTGACTGGTTAAGTGTCTTTTATCTTAATCGGAAGGTCGAGGGTTCGAACCCCACATGCGACATGGTCACCCCCTTCGGATTTCCTTTCCCTTCGGGTTGAGAGGTTTTCTGGAGGGCAGTCTGGTGGTTGTGGCCCCAGTTCTTTAAAGTGACAAGCCACTCCTTCATCGTCATCTTCCCTTCACCACCAAAAAAGCTATTTAGTTCCCCATTGAGCTTAGGGTTAGGGAGCCGTCTGTCATGACGTGGGTTAAGTTAAGATATAGCCTAGTATTGTGTGTGTCGTTGTATTGTGATTGATATATTTCGTGTATGCGATAAATTCACCACTGGTAGCCCCAGTCGGTATTTTTTTAATGCCCATAAGCTTACAGTCGCGTAGTCTAACTTTGAACGTACCATTCTTCGCGCTGCTTTAAGCTACAATGTGCGCTTTGATGTCAAAGGATAGCTCTTGAAAGCTAATAGTTTTTGGGACCAAAAGTGTAGTTGGGGGAAAATCTAAGAGCTGAGAAGAAAATGATTTCTAAAAAGAAGCTAGACGAAGGACTGTACGAGAAATTGGCGTTCTATTAGAGAGTTAACTCCCTCTGGAGTAAGGGAGGTCAGGCCCGTTGTGGTGTAATGGTTAGCACGGTTTCCCGGTAAGCGATGGTCACAGGTTCGAGTCCCGGCACTGCACTTTTTTTGAATTTTCATTTTTTTTTGATCTGCCCTATTTTCAACTAGGGTTTTTCGGCATTTATTCTAGTAGATAATTTTAATAATAGAAAACTGATCTGATTTGGTAAAGTCTAAGTTTAAGTTTAAGGGTAAAATCTTAATAAAAAAGCTTTGATTTTCATCATTTTCAATCGAATCTAGCTTGATTCTCTGCAAGATTTGATTTGTATTTTTTAAAAAAAAACAAAAACAAACTTAATTTCAATAATATTTCCATCGACATCTGTTCTGTTGGATGGTGAAAATGGGCTAAGTCCAAATGTGCATTTGCCACTTGAATTCTACAATGTTTAGGTAGAAAGCATAGTGAGTGAGAAAAAAACCGAAGTCAACCCTTTCAAGATTTGCCATTCTCCGTTCCCAATAACCAAAACCACCGAAATTGGCTTTTCTGATTCCTCTAAATTCACTATCGGTGCCTCGTTTGGCAAAACAATATATTGATGATTATCTGAAAGTTTTCAAGTTATGAATTCAAAGTTTTTTCCTTGACCCAACCAACGAGCAACTCTGGAACGACGATCAGAACAGCACTTTTCTCAATTGGTAATCCATTTTGTGAATATTTTTTCATGTTCCATGAAAGAATCAATTGATTTTTGTTAATCGTTGCCTCACAACTCAGAAAAAACGATCCATTGGAGGAAGTAGCGCTGTAGAAATTGATTTGGATTAGGCTTTGAGCCTTGAGCCTTGAGGCTCAAAGGCCTTGAGTTCTTATTGTTCATCCAATCCGAGAAACTCGACAAAACTCCTTTGAAAGTCTATTTTCTACCTTGTTTTACATTCAGTATCCCATTGACTTTGATTGTTGAGATTAATCACAAACGGCATTTCATCATTCAACTGACATTCTTCTTTTGACTGAAATAAGCGATCAAAAAAAAGGAATGTGAAACGAGATCTACTTGACAATAATATGTAAAGTGAATCGATAGGGAACAAGTCTCACAAGTCTCAATGCATATTGATTGAATTGGATTCACGGCTGAAACTTGAAGTGAAGTGGAAAAGAAAGACAAGTGGAGTCGAAAAAGACTCCACTTGAAGTGGAGTCTGTGGAAGTGGATTATCTTCAAAACAATTAGAAACAATTTGGGAATTTGGAGAGTTTTGAAAGGGAAAACGACACAAACCGGCTAATGAATAAAGATCAGAAGAGGGAAAAGCTATTGACGGGGATTTCTCATAGCTCAATCGATACGTCATACCGCAATACCATGCTGGAGGAGTTGTTGCTGAAAAGCTCCAATGAATCGATCTATTTGGGATAGCTTTAAAAACTTGACTCATACTTGTTTGCGTTGTGGTGGTGAATGGTGTGGTCGTGATTGGTGTGGTCGTGATTCGTGTGGTAGTTGTTGGCTCGGCTTAAAACTATGAAATTGCTATTTTCTAGTGAGATTCACGAGTTGTTGTTGCTTCTGGAGTGGTCGTTATTCGAGGTTCTTCTGTCAATGATAACAAAAAACCGATTTCATTGTGCTCCCCTTCATTAATCGACCAATTAATCTCAAATTGAAATGCCAATTGAAATTTCATTGCCAAGTGAAATGCGAAAAAGACTCACTTGAAAGCAATAACCTTCAAACACTAATGAATCATCGGGAATCGTTGTAAAACTGGAAAAAATCGTGTCAGAACTTAAATGCTTTTTAATGCTAGACTTTTGGTCATTTGTCACCCAAATATTTTTATCAGTAATGCATGAACTCACTCGCTGCTCTTGTATCAAACACTAAACAAAATGAGCATCCATTGGTGGTGGTCACTGTTGTCACCGTATTTCTTGAATAAACCGGAACACCACCACTGCAAAGAAATTACATAAAATTTCATTTTTGACAAATTACCGAACTTTTGTCAGAAGAAATTCGTCATTCAACGTTTCCGGTCCAATCGGAATCGGCATAGGACCGGCATAAAAAGAAAAAATTGTATCTGGATGACATTCGATCGATTGCTGTAATTTTTCTGTAATGATTTCCATTAGAAAGTACCCCAGGACAAAAATCATCGACATTTCCCGAATGTAACGCTTTCACCATGACAAGTGGGCCATTTTTGATTTCACTGAAACTCGTAAGTAATTCGAAATTTTTCTAATCGAACTCGTATGTCTCTGGATTGGCGATAATCGTTCCGTATTGAAATAGGACAGAAAATGTTAACGGGCTATTCACTCCATTGTTTCGTAGTCCCGGGAATGAAGGAATAATCTCGCCTGAATATGCCTTTGCCTTTACCTTTGCCTTTGCCATTAGCTTTTGCTACCTTTGCCATTAGCTTTTGCCAGCTTTGCCTTTGCCACCTTTGCCATTAGCAATCCGACTTTGAGCTCAAATCTCTTGATGTTGGGCTTTTTAATATAAATAGTTTTTGTACAAATCGATCGGGAAAGATTTGGCGCATCGAATAATATCAAGAATATTTAAATTTCAACAGCCCGACACCAAGAGACTTGAGCTTAAAGTTAGATTGCTAATGGGAAAGGGGCGGAACGCGTTTCAGATGTTGGATAAGCAAAAAAAGAGCTATATTGTTTATGTGTTGAGGTATGTTGTTTAAAAAAAGAGCTATGTGTATGTTGTTTGTAGGAATCGTACTCAAAACGACTGAGCTACTGCTTGAACGACTAAAAAACACGATCTCATTCGCTTACCGTTATCATCGTTGATTTGAACAGTCACCGAGTATTCCAATGAAAAAGAATCCCCAAATGGTGGTGCTTGAAAGATCAACTCGGATCTCGCATTCACTTGCCAAATCCAAGTGAACACCGTTCCGCGCCCACTTGGGACTACTCCATATACTCTAGGGGCGAAAATTTAAACAGAAAATCGATTTGCGTTACTTAGCACTTCACAAATATTCAGTTGACTAATAAAGTATCGAGCAAAACTAATACAGTACCGAACAAATATTCACTAATACAGTAAAAGTTTTGCAACATCACCTTTTTCAAACAAAATCGATGAAACTTTATAGAAAATCCCTCCCGTTATTTTTGCGTTGGGGTTTTTGTTTTGTTTTTGATTAGAATAATATCTGTACACTTTATTGACAAAAACAAATTTGAAGTTTAGTGTAAAATAAAAAAGTAAATGGCAAAAACCACAAAAAAACCTCTAAAAATTGGGTGCAAAAGTCTTGCAATATTATACGAGAAAATTAAAAATCAATATTCAAATCAATATTCAATTGGCCTACTAAAATCCGACTAAAATCACTTCATTGAGTCGACTAATTCGTGAAGAATCGCTGCTCGAATTGAGCTTCAAACTTTTCGCATGTAGAACCATAACAGAACCAACTTTTGTTTTGAAAGTCTTTTCCTCGTAACTTTGTCTTCACGTAAGCCCATAGATTCTCAATCTCAATATTCTCACATGATTGATCCTCCGCCAGCTCGCATTGTAGGTCGCACATATTTAAGGAGTATTCGCTTTCCCATGGGTCGTCTGATCAAGTGGTTGCCTTTTGGAGAAAATATATCCTTATCATTCTCAGAACAGATATCATTCTCAATAACTTTCAAATCAGGTGACATAGGGAGCACATTGACTAACGAAACATTATTAAGAGCAAACCATCCAGGAATCAGCTTTTGCCCCTTTCGAGAGATTCACTGTGCAACCCATCAGGAGCTTGCTCTTGTGAACCGGCGAATTGTCCTGGTAGTTATTATTAAGAGAAACCATCCAGGAGTCATGTGATTCTGAGCAAATGGAAGTAGGCCCTCTTTTAGTATTCCCATATACTGGCGAGCATCCATGGTTGATTGGGCGAGGACGAGCGAACCTGCCACATTTTTTGCCATCGAATTGAGCCGAATTACTTTTTTGTTTTACGCTGAACCTCAAATTTGTTTTTGTCAATAAAGTTTACAGATATTATTCTAATCAAAAACAAAACAAAAACCCCAACGCAAAAAAGAACGGGAGGGATTTTCTATAAAAAATTTTCATTGATTTTTTTTGAAAAAGTGATTTTGCAAGACTTTTACTCGGTATTTTATCTTTAAAAATTAATCAGAAAATGAAAATAACTCTAAGTTAACTGTTCAAAGGTTTGGACAAATTTTTGGAATAACTTTTTACCGGCTACCCGTTTTTGGTGACTCCAAAGCCACGTCGACAATGGTGAACGGTGGCTTGTCATCGCACTATGAATTTCGTTTTATTATTGAATCTTTGAATCTTTAAATCTTTAAATCTTTAAACTAAACGAGTATTTCTATTTCCTCACTTTTACGTTCCCATTTTCAGTATCAAGATTATTGCATCCATTCTGAGTGTATCCAATTTCATAGCTCACCTCATTGCCCACTCTGATTGTGATTGTCTGAAAGCATGGTTTTTAGTTTTTTCAATTCTAAAGCTTTTTTGAAAGGTTTTGAAAGGTTTTGAAAGCTTTTGCAAGCTTTTGAAGGCTTTTGAAAGCTTTCAAAGCTCTGAGAGGTTTTTTTAAAACATAGATCGAAATTGATAGATCCAAAAGATAGATAGATCGAAATTGATAGATCCAAAAGTTGTTGTAGGTGAGAAATCTACTATACCAGACTTGGGACTTTCTCCATTTTTCTGTTTCTACGTTTACTCCGTCTTTTTTTCCGTCAAGGATCTCCGTCAAGGATTCTTCATTCGCCGTTAACTTCTTTCTTCATCTCAAGCATCGTACACCCACCTTTACTCGGCTTAAACGAGTCCCGTGAAAACCGAAACGCGGACGATCACTCGTCAACTCGAATACCAAATCATCTTCATCGTCTCCGTTGACAACACGAATCAGTAATAAGAAAAACAGAGACAAAGCCAGCATTCTCTTCAAATGGAGGGAAAGTTTTTAGCTTTTTTTGTTGCCGGTACTGAGTGTTTCGAACAGTAAGCTGCTTTCAAGCTCGACAAAGCTGTTATCTAAGGTACTAGGACATGCATTTTCTTCTATCCGACCGTTTTAGCGACTTAATGATTGAACCCGATGACCTGGCGACGAAATAAACTGATGATTGCGTGCAGAAAGAGAAGATTATGCGTCTCTTGGCTTAAGATTACAAAATCTCCGTCTCAACTGCTCCATTCAAACCGTCTTTTCACGAACGTGAATGTTCAGTGTTCACTCCAGAAATAATGCTTTTGATTATTCTCTTTTTTCGTGCTACTACTGCGGCTTGTGATAGTTGGTTATCTGAAGAATTATCTCTAGAATTGTCTAAATATAAAAGCTTGAAAGTTGCATGCTTGAAATTTACATACTTTCACTTCCTTTTAGTTAATCGCTATCCACTAAGCAAAACTCAACCATTTCTCGCTTTTCCAACAACAATATTCTCAGCGTATTCAGGTTTTAAAAAGTCATATAAATCTTGATCCTGTGATCCTGTGATTCTTTGTCATATAAATCTTAATCCTGTAATCTTTATCGTATAAAATCTTGATCCTGTAATCCTTTGTCATACAAAACCTTGATCCTGTAATCCTTTATCATATAAAACCTTGATCCTGTAATCCTTTGTCATATAAAACCTGTCCTGTGCCTTTCATATAAAATCTTGATCCTGTAATCCTTTGTCATATAAAACCTTGATCCTGTAATCCTTTGTCATATAAAATCTTGATCCTGTGATCCTTTGTCATATAAAACCTTGATCCTGTAATCCTTTGTCATATAAAATCTTGATCCTGTAATCCTTTGTCATATAAAACCTTGATCCTGTAATCCTTTGTCAACCAAAACCATCTAAACTTTCCCTATGATTTAGATATCGATCAAAAGATAACACAACAGAGAGAATTTCTTAAAGAAAAAGAGAATAAAAAGATTTTCTTAGAAAGAAAAGAAGTATGGATTTGTGTGGAGCCATCTTGCACCAATTGCGTTCATTTGTTGGAAATCGCGAGGATTTGTTTCTTGAACGATGATCAGGTTAGAAAAAAAAACATCTTCTATGTGAATGAGAACAATTTTTCTTCCAAAATAGTTACTTCAAGGATGTGCAGATGGAATCTCGTTGATACTCAACGAAAAACCCATCGAACTCGGCGATTGTAAGCCCAGGTGGGCATTGATTTTCAAAAGAAGTTTTTTTTTTAAAAAAATACCGACTGGGGCTACCAGTGGTGAATTTATCGCATACACGAAATATATCAATCACAATACAACGACACACACAATACTAGGCTATATCTTAACTTAACCCACGTCATGACAGACGGCTCCCTAACCCTAAGCTCAATGGGGAACTAAATAGCTTTTTTGGTGGTGAAGGGAAGATGACGATGAAGGAGTGGCTTGTCACTTTAAAGAACTGGGGCCACAACCACCAGACTGCCCTCCAGAAAACCTCTCAACCCGAAGGGAAAGGAAATCCGAAGGGGGTGACCATGTCGCATGTGGGGTTCGAACCCTCGACCTTCCGATTAAGATAAAAGACACTTAACCAGTCAGCCTCACTGCTCCTTTTGAAAGCAGTTTTTGAAAAAATCGTCTCAAAAAAGTTAATATTAATGAAGAAAAAAACAAAGTAAACGTTCTTTTGTTTTCTTAACCCTCATTTTCTTTTTCTTTTTCTTTGAATTGTTCTTTTTTAGCGCTTTCTACTGTATTTTACTCTTTTTACCGCGATCTGAAAAACTAAAAACCTTTTTAACCCATTCGAAACTTCTGCAGCGAATAATCGCTGCAACAAAAACTCAGGAACGGACCGCTGCAGCGATTATTCGCTGCAGCGCTAATTGAGCTATTTTCATTCAATTAATTGCTTTTTTTTTTGCTGTTTTTCAGCATTACATGTATATTCCAATTGTAGCAGATCTACAAATTATGTGGGCAAAAAAGATGTTTCATATTTACCCGGAATCAATGCAGTCTCTGGTTTGGCATTGAAATGTACCATAATAGCTCTAATCTTATAAAGCCGATCTCCTGCAGGATCCAGTTCATTATCACAAAAGCGCAGGTTGCGAAGAATAGATTCAAATTTTGCTCTTGACCTAATGTGGGACATGTGGGAAAATCCTCCTAATCCAGGCCTGCTACTCCAGTAGTCACGAATCATCGGTAATTTGACGATTCCCATTTGAAGCCAGGAAGAGCTTGAAAGATTTTGCATCGAAATCCTGCCAGTTTGTTTTCCTTTTTCCATGTTTATTAGATTCGCCTACTAAAATATGGTCGTCGATAAAATAAGAACAATAATCGATAGGATCTTGAAAAGTACTGAAGTCAAATCCAAATCGTTCTTCATCAAAAATAAATGGTGTAGGAGACTCTCTTACATCTTTCCAACCATAAATAAACTGCTTCGGAGTCAAAAATGTCAAAAAAGGGCTTGGTCCGTAGACGAAAAAAAAGAAAAAACGCTGCGGTTTCGAATGGGTTAAACAAATTTTCTTTTGATTTAGAAAAAATAAAATCCTGTCAATCCTGTGACTCTTTGTCATATAAAATCTTGATCCTGTGATCCTTTATCGTATAAAACCTTGATCCCGTGACTCTTTGTCATATAAATCTTGATCCTGTAATCCTTTGTCATATAAAATCTTGATCCTGTGATCCTTTATCAACCAAAATCATCTAAAATTTCCCTATGATTTAGATATCGATCAAAAGATAACACAACAGGATTAACGGAAACTTTGGAGCTATGTGAAATGAATATTACCGATAAATTGTTTCAATTCAAATGGGATTTCACAGCTGATGACAGATTGAATTATTTTGGTCAAAGTGCTTTCTCAATACGAGTGCCCGCATGGATGAATGGTTTGTGGGAAAGAGATTTACTCAAATTTTTGTTCAAATACAATTTCCGCTTAAAAATCAATTTAATGGCACATTTGAGCCGAATTCTAGCCAGCATTGCCTATCAACTTGAAGTATTCAATGAATATGAATCGTATGGAATCAGGCTCGACCTCGCTACACAACTTCAACCCCAATGGATCATTCTTCCACTTGAGATTAACACCATCGATACGCTTTCCAAATTAGAATCAGTTTGTTTAGTTTTCATTAGTTTAATCAAGAGATTGGAAACTTTTAAATTTTCTCTTAAAGCTTATTACCTTACTAATAACCGTATCGTCGCGTAGTCGCAAGAAAATTCCTACTAAATCATTTTTTTTCTAAGCGCCCATAATTTCTAAAAATACATGTTTAGTATCAAAAAATAGCTCTGAATTTCAGCTTTCATTTGATATTTAAGCGCACACTGTAGCTTAAACAAGTGTCGGGAGAAACTCGTTCAAAGCTAGACTACGCGACGCTTCGATCGTCATTATCTGGGGGGGCGGCGCTACTATTAGAGGTATTACGGTAAATAGAAACTAGAATTTGCACTTTTCTTGAATCTACATTGCATAGAAGACATCCGTTGAGCTTTCTTTTACAGTAAAATAATCTAAAAATGTTTAGATTTAGATTTAAAATAACCGAAACCTAAACTAAACATCATATTTAGTCAAGTGACGATTGCTCATTTTCACTCTTTATTGGATTACCCCCATTGGATGAGGATGAGTTTATCAAGCGGAGATTTATCACCTCTTCGTTAGTTTCTTAAAAGTAAATCAAGAGAGCTCACTTTTACACAGAAAACAAAATCCATTTGTTGATGTTGACCTTGAATCGTCGATCTATTCACTTTTTCAACCACAAAACTGCGACTTGAAGCTCGAAATAAATCCAACTCATGCCACATTCGGTTGGTTTAAAAAAGCTATGTTTTTTAGCAGCATGATAACGAGAAAGATCGAGTGCTTACGTGCTTACATTTGTTCGGGGAAATGGTAGTTCGCGGGAGTCAATCTGTAAACTCATCTTAACATTTTGAAATTTTACACTACCGATTTTTGATGATGCTGAATCGATTGGTGATATTTGCAAACTAGTTAAGTTGGAGTGTTTGAGGAAACAAAAAAAACTAAACTCACATTCAAGAGTGAAAAGGATTTCGATGATTGGCTGGCCGATATGGGACTGCTTTGGAAAGGTCGAGGTTGTCCGAATTGTGGAAAAATCCCGGAGTGTAAAATTTCCACGTGTCAAGACGAGTTTACAGATTACGTTGACGAGTTTACACGACGTCAAGACGAGTTTACAGATTACTCTCCCCTCCCCCAACTACTTTTGCACCCATTTGTTATAAAAATTTCCTCAAAAAAAAAAACAATATTCCTCAATTATTCTAGATCAAGAAGCGGGTTCTTGTGTGACGGGAGAACAGCGTTTCGTCACACCCGAATTTCAATCTCCCGTCGCTTTGAGCGCCAATCGCTCGATGCAGAGGACGTACGAATGCGGTGAGAGTCGTCCATTTACCGTTAACAGTACCTTGAATTACCTTGAATTACCTTGAATTTAAATAAACTTTCAACAATTTTCTCTGAATTTCAATCATTTCTATGTGCAGAAAACGCGACGGCGTTCACGTTTGAAATGCTCGAATATTTGGGTGGACAATTCACGATGGTCTTGTTTAACGGAAATCAATCACTCTATAATGAAACTATGTAAGCAAAATATCAAATCTTATGACAAACGAAGTATTAAATAGACTCACCTATTTATCGAAATTATCAGTGAATTTAGTAATAGCGCTGCCGCTTTCCATAACAAAACGTTCGATGAAACGGATCAAGTCATTGTAAGTGAAAAAAATCTACTTTATATAAAAGAGCAGTATCCGTCCGTGTCTGGCCGTCTGTCGGTAGTCCGTCTGTCTGTCCGTCTGTTTGTCCATCTATCCGTCCGTCTGTCCGTAGTCCGTCTGTTTGTCCGTCTGTCCGTCTGTTTGTCCATCTGTCTGTCTGTCTATCCGTCTGTCCGTCTGTCCGTCTGTTTGTCCATCTGTTCGTCTGTCCGTCCGTCTGTCCGTCTGTTTGTCCATCTGTCTGTCCGTCTCTCCGTCTGTCCGTCCGTCTGTCCGGCTTTTTCTCAGCCGTCTTTGGCTGTAAGGGCTTTTTCTCAGCCGTCTTTGGGCCAATAAAACTCAAATTTCTTAAAAAGTCTCAAATATAACAAATTTGTGCAATTTTAAATAAAAAATCAAACTTAAGTGGCACTATGGGGGTCGAACCCAGCTCGTGAGAGCTATAGACAAACACAAACGCTCTCGACTGCGCCACCGCGACTCGGAGCATCGAGCTAGAAAAACTCGCTGTTAAGCGGGTTTTCGGCTGATGAGAAAAATCTTGACAAAACCAGCTTTCAGTTAACATGGACGCCTGGGGAAAATTTAGCAAATGGAATGTCGTTGGTCATTCAAATCTTGGTCTCCACGACCACACACGCATCAACAACGGAAACACGTTATCACAATAATAAATTATTAACCCATCAACTAATTTAGCATCAGATGAGAAGAGAAAAGATATCTGGTATTATATTGGTAAAGTTTTCTTTTGGTAGTTTAAGATATCTGGTATTATATTGGTCGTTCTCTTTCGTTTTTCAGTTGCCAGTGTCTTGCTTTTCTGTTCAATCATTATTCTTTTATTTGGCATTATTTTCTTGCGTTTTCGAGCCTGGGCCACTGAAATGGTTAGAAGAGATTTCAGTGAAAATCGACAAAACTCAAACAAGTTTGTTGTCAAAGAAGTAAAAAATAATCAGAATTTATTTAGAATCAAAAAGTCACAGACGAAATTAAGTACAGTACTGGACAATGAAATATGATATTTGAAAAACGATCGTCACATTCGCACGTCTGTAACTTCCTTGTCTTTGAGTTTAAAGTATTAGTGTTATACATTTTCTGAAACCTCTTTTCAAGGGCTACACAATGGTAATATTAATATTTAGAAATTCCGTATTTTTTGAGGCATTTCAGCGCACGCGAAAGTGACGATCGTTTTTCAAATATGATATTTCATTGTCCAGTACTGTAATTAATAAAAAAAATCACTTTTCTCTTTCAGGATCTTGTCGCAAATGATTCAATTTGTGGCTAAAAACGAGTATCGACCGTTTAACGCGGTGCCCGGGTAATTCTAAACAATCTATTTGCAAGGAATTTCTTTATAAATCAAATCAATAACAAATTCTTTTCACTCAGCTTTTCCATGTTTATTTTTAGAATTTAAGAAAATCTCTTACGATTTTCGTTTAACATTTGTCTAAAAATTCTTCATTAAATCGAGTAAAACATGTTTATAACGTAATTTTTAACGCTAATTTCGAAAATAAACATACAAAAGCCACAAAAAGAGAATAGTTACCGTGTTTTCTGTAATAGTAGTGCGCACTACTATTTTGTCAACACCCCTCCCTCAAGAACTATAAAGAAACAAATAGGAATCAAATAGGAATCAAATAGGAACCTTAAAAAAACAAATAGGAATCAAGTGGGAACCTTAAAAACAAATAGGAATCAAGTGGGAACCTTAAAAACAAATAGGAATCAAATAGGAACCTTAGAAAACAAATAAGAATCAAATAGGAACCTTAAAAAACAAATAGGAATCGAGTGGGAACTATGAGGAACCAAATAGGAATCAAATGGGAACCTTAAAAAACAAATAAGAATCAAATAGGAACCTTAAAAACAAATAGGAATCAAGTGGGAACCTTAAAAAACAAATAGGAACCAAATAGGAACTATAAAGAAAAAATTGTAAGAAAATACGAACCAAATAGGAACCAAATAGGAACCTCAAGCCCGCACCACTATTACAGAAAATACGGTAATAGTTCTTTCCTCTTTAGCTCAAAACCCTATACCCCAATGGGGGATGATGTGTGGGAAGTGGATCGAGATCAACTCTTTGTCTCCGAACACAAACTCGGCTCCGGTGCCTATGCAGTCGTTTATAAAGGTCAACTCAAAGGAGTCCCACCGGTTATCAATATCTATCCACGGCTCAATGTATTCTTTTTGTGGCTTAATGTTTAATTTGATCGTTTTTTAGATTTCCGCTCTGTATCTCGATCAAGAGCACACAGTGGCGATAAAAATGGCTCATTTGAAAGCGAACGAAAAAGACAAGTGACGAAAAAAAAAAGCAGCCAAAATGACATCAGATAGACATAAACACTATAAACTACAAAAATGACGAACTATAAAACTATAAACGCTTGTAACTTACTTCAAATCAAAACTTACTACCGAATTGATATGATCTATAGCTCGAAAAATAGAGAATCTTAAGAGCTTTCGAATGGACTAAAGCACATCTAAAAATATTTATTTTTAATGCTAAAGAAAGTTAAAGTAGTTTCTAGCCTGATTTGATCGCTTCAACTACGCGCGAGTACTACAAACAACTATAACTTTCTTTAGCATTCATATCTTTGTGTTTGCTTTAATCCATTCGAAAGCTCATAAGATTCTCGATTTTTTGAGCTATAGATCATATCAATTCGGTGGATTTGAAGTAAGTTACAAGCGTTTATAGTTTTCTAGTTTACATTTTTAGTGCCCATATCTAGCATCAGATAACAGTTTTTCATTAAATGTGATATTAATCCGTTTCAGAGCCGATCTCCTTCAAGAGATCGAATTCATGAAAACCCTTGAGGTTCATCCGCACATTTTGACGATGTTAGGTTGCTCGAAAGATCCGAATTCTCCACTCATCATCACACAACTCTGCTCAAAAGGAGATTTGCTCAATTTGTTGAGAAAATCGAAAGAAATTGAGGAAGAAAGCATACAAGTGTCTACTTTTTTGTAACGATTTTCAAAATTACTTCAAAACTAGAAACTAGAAACTAGAAACATTGCACAATCAAGAAAATGAATAGAATTATATCGTTAGTATTGCATAAAAGAATATGAAATGATTAACCCTGTAAACAGCTTTTTCAGGACAAGCTAACCGATGATGATTTGGTGCCGTTGGCTTGGCAAATAAGCGATGCGCTGGTGAGAGAAAATTGAGAGTCTTGTAGATTTTTACGTTTTCTAAACTTTAACACCACTTTCCACAGTCTTCACTCTATAAATTTATGGCGATTAACTTGCAGAGTTATCTGTCCTCTCGAAAGATGATTCATCGCGACGTGGCGGCAAGGAATGTTTTGTTGGCTGGGACAAAAATGGCGAAAGTGGGTAATATGAATCGAAAAAAGGGGATTGAAGAGGAAGAAATGATTGTAGACATTCGTAAAGTAAAGTAGAGTAAAGTAGAGGAAAGTAGAGGAAAGTAGAGGAAAGTAGAGGAAAGTAAAGTAAAGTAAAGGAAAGTAAAGTAAAGCAAAACAAAGTAAAGCAAAGCAAAGCAAAGTACTGTATTTGTTTAAGACAAAAGTCGTAACAAAATCTCAAAATGTTATTTCAAATGAGCCAAGAACAACCGCCGAAGTTAGTGGCCGATTCGAATCCCAATTTGTTAATATCTGGGCTGAACAAGCTCAGCTTTCTACAGCTAAATTGAAGAAAAAATCAGTTAAAGAATCTTTTCTAGAACTCAACCTTTTAACATTTGATTATTCTACTTTTTTTGGATTTTCGAGAAAGAATTGAGACTCAATCAAGAGCTCTTCACACTAGAGCTCTTCATTTTCCGTCTGATTGTCAATAGATGTACAACAGAAAAACGAGATTTGACCACTTTAACACCAACTTTTTCAAAGGTTTTCAGATAGAGCTTGGAAAATTCTACCTGTGGCAAGAAATCCTGAAAAAGTAGTCATTGAAATGATCAAATCTTGTTACTCCGTTGTACACTCATTGACACAGGGAAAATGAACAGCTGAACAGAAAAGCTGAAAAGAAAAGCTGAACAGAAATGTTCTAGTAAAGTTGAAATAATTTCTTACTTAGTTGAGTGATTTCGGTCTATGCCGTCTCTCCGATGAGATGTTTTACACGACAAAAGGCGGCAAATTGCCCATAAAATGGATGGCTCCCGAATCATTGGAGTTCGGCGTTTTCACTGAGAAAACCGATGTGTAGGTGAACGTTGATTGAAAGAAAGGGTAAATCAAGAGTCCACTAGCTTCTCTTTACCGTATTTATTTTTCTCTAATAGACTTCTCTAATAGTCTAATAGACTTCTCTAATAGTCTAATAGACTTCTCTAATAGTCTAATAGACTTCTCTAATAGTCTTCTCTAGTCTCCAATTATAGTACCACATAAACCCTCGAAAGATTGACTTTAGAGAAAATTTTTTTCAGCAAAAAAAACTATAGATTTTAGTCTAGAAGAACGTATTTTTTTCTTTTAATTTTAGCTGGTCTTTTGGCGTTTTCCTCTATGAATTATTCACCTATGGAGCCGTTCCCTATATCGGTGTGGATCCCGAGTTGATGTTGAGCCATTTGAAAGATCAAAAAACAATGCATTTACCTGATGCGGCTCCAGAAATCATGTGAGTGAAAAGGGAAAAAACAAGAGTTGAAAATCTGAAAGAAGCCATATATAAATACCGTAAATACTGTAATTGGACCCCACCCCCATAATGACGGTGCGGAGCGTTGCGTAGTCTAGCTTTGAACGCGTTTTTCTTGACACTGGTTTATGCTACAATGCGCGCTTAGGTATCAAAAAATAACTGAAATTCAGGGCTGTTTTTTGATACCAAAGACGCATTTTTTTGAAAGTACGGGCGCTTTGAAAAAAATGAAATACCGTATTCTCTCTAATAGTAGTGCGCATTACTATTTTTTCAACCCCCTCCTGGACTAGAGTGTGTTCCTTGCAGACAACGCGTTTTCTAAAAAGCGCGCGCCAAGGATAAGCTACCGTAACCCTATGCTTTGCATCAGCAAATTTTTCAAAATGCAAATGTACATGAAAATCTTGCGCTCTTTTTTTCTATTACTCTTTCCTTAACTCTATTACTCTTTCCTTAACTCTATTACTCTTTCCTTAACTCTATTACTCTTTCCTTAACTCTATTACTCTTTCCTTAACTCTATTACTCTTTCGCTAAAACTTAAACATTTTTAAATGCTATTTAAAATTAAAGAAAACATTTAAAACGGGAAAAGTTAAGAAACACTATTAAAAAATTATATTATTTACGAATTTACCAGGCCTATTGTCTACATTTGCACTAGAACCATTCCAAAAAAAATTCCACGCCCTAAAAAACCTAAATCCTTAAATAAAACTATCCATTACTATATTTTAAGAAAAGTTTTTTGCAAATTTTTTTCGCGCGACCTTTATAGCTTTGCTTAAAAAGCGCACCTTTTAGAAAACGCGTTGTCGGAAGTTTGTCGGATCAATTGTCTGACAAAAAAGTTGTCAATGAAAATTTGTCTGACAATATGTCTGTCAACAAGGAGCACACTCTATCCTGGACCGCAATACTATTAGAGAGTGCACTACTATTAAAGAGTTTTATCATTTACCAAAGTAAGACAGATATAAGATTTGTTCCAAAAATTCTTTCAATTCTTTCACGTACTCCTTTGGCTTCTTTTGACTTACAGTTGTGGGCCGGCGAGTTGACAATTTGTGTCTTGACAAATAACAAAAAGATTTTTTTGCACTTTGCACAACAATTTTAGATTTTTTGCTAACTTTTTCATGTGAAGAATAGCTAATAAATGAATAAAAAAAAGCTCACTTTTGCTTGCTTGAATACCTTTAGAATGTTACATAAACATAAAGTCAAAAAGGTTTAGATGAAAAGGAAGCACCAGAAATTCAAATTTTCGAGGGTGCACTACTATTTTTTAACCCCCTCTCGGACCGCAATACTATTAGAGAGTGCACCACTATTAGAGCGAATACGGTACTAAAAAACTTTTGCGACTACGCGACTGTACGAGGGGGGTGGGGTACTATTACAGTATTTACGGTAGTTATATTTTTACTCATATTTTTGGCACATTACAGAAAATCTCTTTTCAACGATTGTCACGAATTTTGTGCAACGGAAAGGCCTCGTTTTTGTGAAATTCAAGAGATTCTTTATCAATTCATCGATAAGCAAAACGCTCGTCAGAATGGATATCTCGACTTTCACAACAAATTTTCCGAGTTCGACGAAGAGGACAAAGAGAAGCGAGAAAAAACCTCCATAGTCAGGCAATAAATTATATTGTTTTTTTTTTTGTTCTGCAATATCCTTTCAATATTAGACCAACAAAAAGTTGTGATTATTGAAGGTAGTGCTTATAAAATTGCTTAGCTTATTAAAGCTAGTGCTTAGCTTATTGAAGCTAGTGCTTAGCTTATTGAAGCTAGTGCTTAGCTTATTGAAGCTAGTGCTTAGCTTATTGAAGCTAGTGCTTAGCTTATTGAAGCTAGTGCTTAGCTTATTGAAGCTAGTGCTTAGCTTATTGAAGCTAGTGCTTAGCTTATTGAAGCTAGTGCTTAGCTTATTGAAGCTAGTGCTTAGCTTATTGAAGCTAGTGCTTAGCTTATTGAAGCTAGTGCTTAGCTTATTAAAACGGCGTTTTCCTTGGTCGACTTTAAACCTTGAAAAAACCCTCAAAATAAAAATAACTTTCAAAAGCTTTAATTTTTTTAACTTTCAAAAGCCATCTTCTAGAAAAGCATTAGATCTTTCTAATGGCTAAGATAGAAATTACTTTACTTACTTACTTACTTACTGCTTGCTTACTTACTAAATTACTTACTTGAATGCTTCAACATCCTGAAAAAAATCTTTGAAAAAAAAAATGTATGAAAATTTTTGGGCATAACTAAATAATTGAATAAAGCCTCTCGAATAAAAGGCACTTTTGAGAGGAAAGTGGGAGTGGGACAAATGCGACCTTTTTTTTGCGCACCTGGACATTTGCGCACCTTTTTTTTTGCTAGAAAAGGCCTTAGGAAAGGTCGTAGAGCTTCAAAAAAGTTTTCATAGAAGGGAATCATATGCGTAGATTCCGAATTTCGACAAATCAGATTTCGCTGACACGTCAAATTTGGACTAAAAGGCAAAAACTACGCAACTTAACGCTTTTCCGCAGTTTTTGCCCTTTAGCCCAAATTTGACGTGTCAGCGAGGTCTGATTTGTCGAAATTCGGAATCTACGCATACGATTCCCTTATATGGAAGTATTTTCGAAATATTTTCGAAGCTCTACGACCTTTCCTAAGGCCTTTTCCAGCAAACAAAAGGTGCGCAAATGTCCAGGTGCGCAAAAAAAAGGTCGCATTTGTCCCACCCCCAGGAAAGTTGAAAAATAGAAGGGAATACCCGTTTTTAGGATAAGATCGTACTAATTTTTGATTTTATTTCACTTTGTTAGTCGGATTGAAAAATTTCTCGTTTCCACGAGCTTCCACAACCATTTTTTTTAGCTAATTTCTTTCTTTCTTTCGCTTAGATTCAATAACGAACGTAACATATACGTATTAGAAATTCGAAAGCATTTCCAAACCTTCATCAGCTTCCATCCACCACGTGAAAAAATCCAATGAAATTGCCAAAAGCACATGGAATATCCGATTGAAAAATTTCTCGTTTCCACTAGCTTGAACAACTGAACAACCATTTCTTTAGCTACTTTTCTTTCTTTTTCACAGCAACATTACAGATATTAAAATAAAATCAATATTTATAAGTCAAATGTTAAGTCAAATGTTAAATAAAATGTTCAACTTGTCAAGAAATAAAACAAGAAATGTTAGTGAGAAAAGCGGTAAATTTCATATAGACGAAGCGAAGATTTCCGCCAACGACATAAAGAAAAACACAGATTTCTTATTCATTAAGGTCAAAATCGATTTCATTAATCATCGTAGAACTCTGGAAATTCCAAAATGTCTTTTAGATTCGATAAACGAGTCAACATCATTGAGGCTTCAGAGTGGAGAACTTTGTCATTGTTAAGTCATTTTTTTATGTTCGTAGTCGAACTCCCAAATAGTAAAAGGCTTTATTTCCTTGGCTTTAATCTTTTTCTACTTAAATAATCGTTTATGTATAAAATGAGAATTTTTTATGTATAAAATGAGAGAATTCTGCTTTCGTAAGCTTATTTTATTTTACATTTTATTTTACAAGTTTATTTTACAAATTCATTTTACAAATTCATTTTACAAATTCATTTTACAAATTCATTTTACAAGTTTATTTAGTTCAATATTTATTCTGTGCCTTTTTGCAGATGTACCGAGAGACGCCTCTCAGCCACTCGGGCCAATCATTCCAGACATATTCCGAGAAGCAATTTATGTCATTGATCATCTAAATGTCAAAGAATTTTGAAAATAAATGTACTCAACAATCATTTTCATCTAATCCTTTGTGCTTTAGGCGATTAGAAACAGAAAACAGAACACGAACTTTAACAGAACTTTAACAGAGAGTAACTTTAAATTCAAATCCTCAATAGTCTGTCTAAATTTATCTTCAGCAAAACTCTTTCTTCTTGAAATCTTCTATAAATGTTTAGGAGACTTTCTACATAAAATGCCAGTGTTAGAAAATAGATTACTATTTAAGTTTGTAAATTTGTAAAGCTAGGTGATTTTGCTCATTTGCTCATGCGCAATTTCGATCGAATTTCATCCAGAGTCTGCCCGTTTGACAGACAGAGTTTTCAATGTTAAATAAAACTTAAAAGTTTAGCAATTCTCTCAGATGAAAGATGAGGTTCCCTCAGTTGAAAGCCGAGTTTTTAGAGGATTCAGCAAAATTCCCCAACTATCACTAGCAGTTCAGTTTTTTTTTGCAAAAAATTGAATGCAAAAATGTGAATGCTTACGTCAAATCGTTAGAATTTCTGATTACCCTAAAGTCTCGAGTATAAGTTGATCCGAGTATGAGTTGATCCGAGTATAAGTTGGTCCGAGTATAAGTTCTGCCTTAATTTACATTTAAAGGGCTCTGATGGAAAATTTTCTTCTTTCTTTCATTTTTATTGTTTTTTTTTTAATTTTTTATTTTACTAACGTTTTTTCATTTTAGATACGATGAGGAGAAAGTCGTACACCGCCGAAACGAAGCTCGAAGCGGTCAAATTTGCGAGGAAATTTGGAACGAACGCGGCTGCGATCGAATTTGAAGTCGCCGAACAGATGATTAACCGCTGGAAACAAGCTGAGCCGGCACTGATGAGTTCACCAAAAAATAATCGAGCTTTCCGAGGATTGAGGGCAAAATGGCCGGATGTGGAGAAAGATCTGAAGGCATGGGTTCTGGAGAGGCGATCAAAACAACGAGCTGTAAATGGACCTGCAATGAAACGAGAAGCCATCAAGATTGCAACGAAACTTGGGATTCATCCGTTTTCACCCAGCAATTCATGGATTCAAAATTTCCTGAGGCGGAATGGTTTGTCGATGCGGCGGAGGACGAGCGTTTGACAACCACTTCCAAAGGGCTGTCAAAGCAAGAAATCATCTTTTCGATCGTTCTGTCGAGAATTTTATGATGTTTCACCAAACAATTTTGGAAATTTAGACGAGGTTCCGGTTCCATTCGAAGGCATAGGTTCTGGAGAGGCGATCAAAACAACGAGCTGTAAATGAGCTGTAAAAGCAAAAAAAAGTTATGCTGCAGCGGGGTTCGAACCCTCGACACACCACAGCGGAGACAGCCGTCAATTTGCATGCGAAAACCAAACAGAACTTATACTCGCGGCTTTAGGGTATATCGGAAAAATATTTTCTTTTGTCTTTTACCCAACTCCGAATTCTTTAGCTTTATCATCAATCATTTCTAGAGAAAAGGAGAGAAACTTAAAATTAAATAAAAAAACTAAAGATCGAATTCAAATGAGCAAAGCAAAGATTCCTTACCGAATACTCGGGCCGACACAAGACGTTTTCTCTTGGAAAATAATCGACACTTGTTCCATCACTCCATATCCATGAATTCGAATAAGCTGTCCTTGGCGAGCACGATAAACCGATTAGCACTCCAGCATTTACACACGATGTTCCATCATGGAAAAAATTTGTGAAAATTTGATCTGAAAATGTTAAATCTTAAAACAACTAAACAAAACTTTAGCTTTGTCGATTGACTGAACAGACTCTTTCAATTGTTAGCATTAAACATGGGCGCTATAAACGTGTAGAATGACGATTTTTACAAGCTTCGCTTTTGGGCTTTTGAATGATACCAAGATTAGACCAATTCACTATCACTGCTCTGAGAACATGCTATTTATAACAGTTTATAGTCTCATCTCATGAAATAGGAATATAAAGCTAGAAAAAAAAACGTTATATTTCAGCGTGGCTATGGTGGATTGGTTTGATCTAAATGCCATTCGAAAGCCCAAATTTCACTCGATTTTTTGGTAAAAAAAAGTGTTGGAAAATCTGTGTTCTACACGTTTCTACAAGCGTTTGTAGTCTGGCCTTGTAGCTTGTAGTCTGTCTGACCTTGTAGCCTATGTCTAGTTGGCACTATTAGCTCTTTTTTGTGGTTCTGTTCAAGAGTTTTATGCAAGGCTTTTGTTTTATTCCTAATTTTACATCAATAACGTTTAAATTGTAAACGATTAGCCATACAATCCAACAGGAAATTTCCCCCACTCACTCAATAAGAAATCGTTTTCACGAGAGCTGTGAATCGAGGCAAGATGAGCGCCCATCCTATTGCATGCTGATTCGGCGCTGGTTCGAGTGAATTTTTCGTTTCGCATTTGCAGATTTTTATTCTGAAAGAAAAAATTGTTTGCTTTTATCTCAGTGCAAGAAAAAGAAAAAACTTACAAAGAAATAGTAGCAATTGTCTTCGAAAAATATCCAATCTTTTGAACAACCTAAAGTTGAAGTGATTTGGTGGGATGAGGATCTTAAAAATATTAAAGATCTTAATCTTAATCTTAAAGATCTTAATCTTAATCCTAATCTTAAAAATCTTAAAGATCTTAATCTTAATCTTAATCTTAATCTTAATCTTAAAGATCTTAATCTTAATCTTAATCTTAATCATAAAAATCTTAAAGATCTTAATTTTAAGCATAAAAATCTTAAAGTTCTTAAAGAAAGAAAAACTTAAAAACGATCGAAACGCACGTAAAATCTCGGAAATTGTGCAAATAAAGTTTTGCTTCGAAGCACAATCGACAGGAAACCACAGTCCTTTGGCGTTGATGACTACGCAAGAGCTTCTGTTTACGGAAATCTCTTCAAATTCTCATTTAGCAATATAGCAATATAGCAATACCTCCAAATCCTCTAGAAATCGATTTAGGGAACATCTCATTTTCGAAAGTCTCCCGTCCTCCACCTCAAACAGATATAAAGCAGAAAATATAAAGCAAACTGACAAGAAGATGGATTTTGAATTTCTGTAGAAATTTTCCCAATAAATCAGAAAAAATAGAAACCTTGAGCCCAGTTCTGATAAGAACTCGGAGTTCCATCATCGTAGAACCATTCCCCATTCGATCGCCTGTGGACACCGATTAGCGCAACTGGAAGCTAGATTTTATTTTCCAACTTTAGTCTTAAATAAACAATTGATATTTATCCTTACACGTTCCGGCCGCATTCCCGATCGCCGCATTCTCGTTGGTGTCTCGCGGCATAGCAAGATTTCCGCCAAGCAAGCGACACTCGTCTCTTGCCTCTGCATAGTCACTACCTAAAACATTACCTATTGACTAATAAAAAAAGAAACTGATACTATGTAGAGTCTTTTTTTAGATCAGAACGTTATGCTTTAGGTTTAGCTTTCATTGAGCTTATTTTGGTATGGATTGGACCAACTCAGCTCACCCAAAAAGCAGTTAAAAGAAATTTTTTCCCGAATACGAATACTTTTATCTATATTTGGCCAGAGAGTTAGTAAATCTAGACACAACAAAATTATTATTGTAACTATTTTTATGTAAATTTTTGGAATTATTGAATATGTTATGCTTGATTCAAATCAATAAACACAAACTTTTTACACTCATGTGAAAACAAGCGGAGAGACGCGGGAATTTTATGAAATCTTTTGGACAAAAAGCAGTAGTTGAATGAAAGAAAAGAAAAAAGTGAAATAGAAATAGAAATCGAAAGTGGATTTTCATTTTTTTTCGTTTAGCTAAGCAATGTCGAATAGTAGCAATGTAAAAGCGATTGCACGTAAACGCTTTTGTTTGTCTTCGAGAACACGAGCAAACACATTCCCTAGTATACCCATTCCCAAGTATCTATGTGACAATACGAAGATTGATTAGTTTAAGTTTAAGAAAATCATTGAAAACTATGAAAGACAACCAAGACAAATCTATTCCTCGGCTCGTTTTTTTGCTAAACACAGCTGTTTCTAGTGCATTGCAATAACCATTGTAAAAAGAAACATTTAGAAATTGTACTTTCATTTTTAAACTCAAATGCACTTTGAAACATTGAATTGTCTGGAAAAGTGATAGCTGAATATCTGAAAATTTATGAGAGGTTCAAGTTATTCTGTTAACAAGTACCAAAAATATACCCAGTGTTGCTTCATTTTTCTCAGTTTTACAATGTCCCTACCAAAACGATGGGGCAGAGATCAATTATTTTTCTCTCATTTCAAATGAATTATCAATGAAATGGGCAAAGATAGCTTCTTTTGTTTGGAGAAAATCTAAATTCAAAGAAACATAGATGAAGAAGTGTGATCAATTTATGGATGAAAAGATCATGAGTTGAAGGAAAAGGAAAAGGAAAGCAAAGAGCCACTATCATTCACTTAAAAATGAGCTCCTTTTTTTAGAGAGATTTCTCAATCATCATTTCCCCATTTTGCACTGCTAATTAATTGCATTTTTTGCGTGAACGGGGAGAAACTTTAGAAATGATCGTTGCACGCAATTTGTTGTTTTGTTTGTTTTGTTTGTTTTGTTTGTTTTGTTTGTTTGTTTGTTTTGTTTGTTTGTTTGTTTGTTTGTTTGTTTCGCAATTTGTTTCAACATTCCACATATGATGATGTTTTTACTTTTGTACAGCGGCTAACTGTATTTCTGAAAAAACTACTAGCTAGCAACTAACTAGAAAATGATTTCTTTCTTGTAGTCAACAGATCATTTCATTTATTTGCCGCTTTTTTGCATACATATCTCGCGTTCAGATTGCCACCTCCATAATAGTGATAGTTGTTCTCGTTTGCATCATCGTTGCAAAACTGAAAATAGTATTAGAGAAGTATTGTATGCACAAATGGCTTTCAAAGGCTTACAAATGGCACAAATGGCTTTCAAAGGCTTACAAATGGCACAAATAGCTTACAAAGGCTTACAAAAACAAGAAAAATCAAATACAAATGATGTTGTTTGGTATGGAAACAGGATTGAAGATTGAAACCAAACCGCTGACCATATAGTTGAGACCACGCGAGTAATCATCTCCATTTCCATGATAATCATCAGCACTTCCATCACTCAACTTTCTTGTTCCATTCACGATGTGCAGACCATTCCAAACGTAGAACTCGGTGTAAGCACACGGATTATGAGGAAGCGCTTTCGGGTTCAACGATTTCATGTCAACATCCGGGATGATCAACTCTATAAAAAGAATACAATAGCTAGAGTTTAGCTAGAAAAATCATCAAAAGAATATCGATTTACCAACGGGTTCAAAAAAGCACAAACTCGTTAGTTATTTAAATTGTTTGTTGGAAATAGCATTAGAAAAATATTGTATGCACAAATGGCTTACAAAATTTGACTTAAACAAAAACTTGTTGTTTAAAAATTGTTTTGAAGTTAAAACAAGTGAAAATCTGTTTGGCTCTGGCTCTGGTTTGGCTCTGGTTCTGGTTTCGCTCAATTTTGAAGAAGTTTATTCTAGCCTGGGTCTGGGCTGGAAAGCTTTTAGTTCAGCTCTCGGACTACGAATTTCACTTTGCTATCAAAGTTTATCTACTGTCGAAGTTTAACGAGTTACTAACGAGGTTTAACTCTAGTTTTCACTGTAATTCTCCTTTGAATCTCGTCTACCAACTTTTCATGAAATTCAACTCATCATACGAGTGAATTGACACCAAATGTCCGCCCAACAACACACAGTTCGACTCGGCTGTTTTCCAGTCATATTTCACTATGTCTCCTTGAGCATTTCTGGTGAAACCCTGGAAACTTTTCCTTAGAAAAACCTACAGTTAAAGCCATTAAAACCTGATAGTAATAGCAAAAGTTATTAAAGTATCTCCACGCGAAATGACATTTCGAATCAGTTGAAGGGATTCCTTCAAGCTTGGTCTTCATTTTCGCTCTATGACTGTAACAGTAACTTCCCAGATGAACATTTAAAAGTTTCAAAACTTTTCCCTCCACTCACCTCTCACTTTCCAACAATCCCTTCTCGGCATCGCATTTGCTCAGATTTCCTTTTAGCATTCGGGAAAAAGAACTGAAAGATTTAGAATCTACAAAAGCAACAAAGCAACAAAAAAACTCTTTTTCTTGAAGCTTTTCTTGATTGCTTTAGATAAAGCTAAGATAGATAAGATAAAGAAATTATATATAGAAATAGAAATATAGAAATAGAAATAGAAATATAGAAATATAGAATATAGAAAAAAAAAAAAAAAAGAACGAACGGGCATTCAGCATGTTGTATTTTAAACGCAAGCTTTACGAAAATTCAAAACTTTTTCATGTTCAAGTGGACTTAAATACGTGAAAGGCCGAAGTTGAAATAGAAATAGAAATAGAACGTCACTGAAAATGAGGCCGCTCCATGATCCATGGATCATGGAGCTTCTAAGCGATTCTAAGCGATTCTAAACGATTCTAAACGATTCTAAACGATTCTAAACGACTCTAAACGATTCTAAACGATTCTAAGCGATTCTAAACAATTCTAAGCTTCTAAAAGACCTGTATTTTCAACCGAATACTCACAGTTTCATTCGAGAATTTTCTGTGTCGACAAACTGAGAGAAGTGACTGTAAAAAGAAAAAGTTGAATCACAATGAAGTTAGGCTTTCTTCTCCCCACAATCATTTACCTTTTTGCAATCCAAAATGTGCCAGCAGTACCAACGATCAATCCAATATAATAAAAAAACACAAAAAGAATAATAACATGCCATTTTATTGTTTTAGTCGAATTCTTTTCTGGTCTAAATTCGATTTTTGAGTATTTTTGAGGTTTTTAAACTCACATCTTTTGAGGCAATAAAAGAAGTTCTTCAGCGATCATTTTTATGCGATAAAAAGTTTATTATAAGATTTCTAAATATTAGGTTGTCCAATAAGTAATGCGTGTTACTTATTTCGAAACTATTGCGAAATCGCTTCGAGCAAATATATGCTCTTTTTAATCATCAGCATCTTGTGTTTATTTTTATATATTATTTTATTCATTTGCCTTTGTTTTATAATAGCTATGTTGTTTTGCAGATGAAAGACAAAAAGTTTGTTGTCCGCGCATCAATGCTGTATGATTTCAAACGAGGTAAAACTGCAGCGGATTGCCATCGAACTATCTGTGCCGCATTTGGAGAGGATTCAATTTCAATCAGCCAGTGCCAGCGCTGGTTTAAACGATTTGCGGACGGAAACGAGTCAAAAGTGTTGACGAGGTGCAAAAATGGCTCGACGATTTCTTCTCATCGAAACCAGCTTCATTCTATTATGACGGACTTCACTCTTTGCTCGGACGATGGAGAAATGTTGTTGATTGTTGTGGAGAATATATCGATTAATAAAGTTCTCTTTTGTTAATTTTGTGATATTTTGAAAGTCGTGTCAAAACACGCATTACTTATTGGACAACCTAATAGAATAGCCTCTTTGCTTATGAAAGATTTTCAGAAAACCAAGAAAATAGACAATTCTTTGAACAAGTTACAGGAATGAGCTGAATGAATGAATGAAGGAAATGACCTTCACGTGAAATCTTTTCCATTTTCCTACAAATGATAAATGAAAATGAGTTGTCAATGTTGATTTGCAATCTCAATAACAAGTGTTTATTTTTGAAAATCTCTACAAAAAATCGAAAGCTTCTATGGCTTGATTAGGTTGAAATTTTAATTTGAGATGGACGAGGTCATTGAGTTCTTTGTCGCTCTTCTCCTTGATGTCATTTTCTCTGAAGACTCGGGCACAAATTCTTTCTTCTCCTCTCGTTTTCGGAAGAAAAGAATCCCAAGGAAACTAGAGATAACAATTGGATATTTGCGATTAAGCGTTTAAGGAATTTTCACTAAAGGAAATGTGAGAGATTTTTGTGTGAAACAGTAGATCTTCTATAGGATCAAGGGAGGTCATAGAGGTGGCGCGGAAAGTTTCGTACAATTGTGGACGACTATGGGCACAAGTTAACCCATTCGGAAACGTTTCGCACGATTGTGGACGACTATGGGCACAAGTTAACCCATTCGGAAACGTCCCGCATGATTTGCGAGCTCCAAAAACTTCAAAACTTGCTTGATTTGCAATATTTTTTCAATCTCTTTTTAATAAAATTTCTTTATCTTTTAATAGTAAATTTATTTGGTTAGAACAATAAATAGGGTCTTTTAAAGTTTTCTTCATGCAAAATTTTGTTTTTTCAAATGCTGAATGCGGAATGGAATGAAAACTAATGAATTTACTATCGAAAAATAGAGAATTATATATATTTTATTAAAAATATTGAAAATAAAGGAAATTTTGAAAGTTTTTCGTGCTCGCAAATCGTGCGGAACGTTTCCGAATGGGTTAACATGTGCCCACAGTCGTCCACAATCGTGCGGAACGTTTCCGAATGGGTTAACTTGTTCCCCGAGTTTGTGTGTTTTAAAGTTATCAAATTTAAAAAGCTTAAATGATATTTAAATAGCTTAGAATTTTCTCTTTCTAAATCTATTTGAGTTACTTGAAATTGTTTGATAAAAAAATGTATTGGCTGCTATTTTGCACACTTCGATATGTAAACTTAAAAATAGATTGAACAAATCTTCTAGTAACTCGTTTATTTCCCCTTTAAAAAATTGAAATTAGGTTTAAAATTGAGAATTAGAAACGTTTTTGTGTTTTTGAAATGGAAAAAAATCGAATTTATCAAACCTCAACAAGAAAGTGAAAGCGAAACTCTCAACGAAATCACGAAAAGTTCTCCAAATTAGCGAAATGCCAAATCCGAAGAGAATATTGCCGATAATACCGATAAATGATGAAACAATTGTTTTTACTAAATAAGCAATAGTACTTGCAATCATCTAAATTGTTATTTGTTTGTGTGAGTGTTTATGTTTGACTCATCCACCTCCCACATCAGTAACACCTCGGCTCTTGAGGCTACACCATCTTGTTGTCGCTGAAAAAAAACAAAGTTTTCTTTAACACATTCACGAAAATACGGTCCGCCGGTGCGCGTAATAATAACGATAACTAATAACGATTATTTTTTCATGTCAACACAAGTTTTCAAAAAAGCTTTTATTATTTATTTCGTAGCAATTTCTCGCTAACTTTATACTCTTTTTCAAGAGGAGATTCAGGGCTATCGAATGACTATAATATTTTAGTTTATCAATAAAACCGTTAACGACTACGCGTTAAACTAGTTTATCAATAAATTATCAGTAAAACAGTTAACGACTACGCGACTGTACACTCAAAATGCCCTCGTCGTGAATGTGTTAAATAACTCTTTTGCTGAATAAACTTTTTAATCATTTCTAGCACTACAATCAATCTTTTCTTCTCTTTACTTAATAATTTATTAAGCATAATTTGTGTTTTTTTTTGCTAAAAAGAGCTAGATTTATTTCTATTCTCTTCACTATACCAATTCAAGAACTTTCTTAGCATTTTTCTACAGGGTGCGCCAAAAGTTCCCGTACTTGTATTTTCTGCATTTTTAGTAATTTTAGATAAAAGATATGATTTTAAAAGTAAGAAATTCGAATTCCTCGGAAAAAACTGATTTAAAAAACGTTCCTGGTTAATTTATAAGTGCAACACTATTTAAGACAAGTGACTGAGAAGAGGGTCCGCTCAGGGGCGCTTTGGTCGCACAGTTACAGGGCACAGTTACGGCCTGTAACTGTGCCCTGTAACTGTGCCCTGTAAGTGTGCCCTGTAAGTGTGCCCTGTAACTGTGCCCTGTAACTGTGCCCTGTAAGTGTGCCCTGTAAGTGTGCCCTGTAACTGTGCCCTGTAACTGTAACTGTGCGACCAAAGCGCCTCTGAGCGGACCCTCTTCTCAGTCACTTGTCTTAAATAGTGTTGCACTTATAAATTAGCCAGAAACGTTTTCTAAATCAGTTTTTCACGAGGAATTCGAATTCCTTACTTTTAAAATCGTATCTTTTATCTAAAATTACCAAAAATGCAGAAAATACAAGTACGGGAACTTTTGGCGCACCCTGTATTGTTAAGATAAAAAAAAGCATAAAATCATTGAAACCAACCATTTTTAGATTACGATTTGTCACAAAATCCAAGCCACATAGCATAAAGAAAGCGATAGGGAGCAGCGTCTCGTAATCCAATCCCTCGCTTACATCATAAATCTCGGTGTTCCATTCCGAGCCCAGAAAACCGTAAAGTCGCAAATATTTGTCAGTGACAATTGCGATGCCAAAATGAAGCAAATATGGCAGGAAGAGTTGAAGAAATGGCAAACGGATAGTGTAACGAAAGTACACTCCATCAAAAGCCAACGCCATGAAACGGCTGAAAATGTATAATGATATTTGTAAGGGTTTAAAATTCGAATACGGAACTTAAACAAAAAATTCATTGCTTTCCTTTGTTTACCTGATCGAAATGATTGCTTGACAGTACTGGGAAGCGTAGAGAATTTTGTATTTAATCGGAACATACAGCCAATCAGAAACTCTTCGTGAGCAAGTGATTCTAAAAATGAAATGAAAATTCTGGGGATTCCACTCACTTGAGAGCTTTTGATTTCAAGCCACAAATGTTGTGAAAGATTGTGTAGCAAAAAGCGTAAACGAATCGATTTACGTTCATGGCGACTGCGAGAAGCCTAAAAGGTATGTTATACATAAAAACTTTTACTAATTCATTTCGTTTATGCTTGCCATATTCTCTCTAATAGTTGGGCACCCCGCTGAGCCGAGTTGATCACTATTTTACAGTTTCCAAGTTTTCCCCAGAAGTCCAACACTCAAGTCCCCCACAAGATCTCATCGTCAGCTACATTTTCCGACCCCACATCGATAGGTTCTGATAAGCGGTTCTCGAGATTTCGAGGAATTTAGGCGACGCTCAGGGTATACTACTATTAGAGAGAAGACGGTATATTATTCCAGGTTAGGCTGGTAGATCAGACTGATCTATTTCTCTAATATTTCCCGCTGAGCCGAGTTGATCACTATTTTACAGTTTCCAAGTTTTCCCCAGAAGTCCAACACTCAAGTCCCCCACAAGATCTCATCGTCAGCTACATTTTCCGACCCCACATCGATAGGTTCTGATAAGCGCTTTTCTAGATTTCAAAGAATTTAGGCAACCCTTTAGAAAGAATACGATATTTTCATTTTAAAATGATATACTTCTTTGTCACTTTTTATCTAGGTTCAGCAAAAATGCCTGACTCAACACTTTAAAAACACTTATAAAACAAAAATAATAACAATTATTCATCAAAGTATAACCCATCATCTACGACTTTCTGCCATCGATCTGCAAGCTTTTAGATCTGATCGAAGTACCACTCCGGAACCAACTCAAAGTGCAAGACTCCTTTTCGCAGCTGAGTCAGACCTTTTTTCTTAACCTAATAACTAGGTTTTGTACACGATTGATAAGAGAAACGCTGATCGTGATCGAACCTGATCGGCAGAGCCAATCGATTGTTGGTTGCGGCGAAAAAAGCAGCAACTGGAGCAGTGAGCATAGTGAGAGCAATAGTCTAGAAAATACTTATAAACCATAAACTCGAGAGATACAAGGAGTCTATCAAGAGATGTGGATTTGAATTTGAATTGAAAAGGATTTGAATCTCCGACCTCGAAACAGATCTCATCAAGTGCGAGAAAGGTTTTCGAATTCTCACTTTTGAAAGACTTTTGTATCTAGTTGTTTATAATCTTGCCATTTCTACAAAAGAAATGTTTGCCTTATTCACCCAGTTCTGAATTGCTTGCAAGTATTGAACGATTGGCGCGTATATTGAGAAATCGATATCGATTCCGAGATTTCCATGCCATTGACTCTCTCCAACATATCTCCATGGTTCACTCTCGAGAAACGCCAACGCCCAATAGATTCCTAAAACTATCTATTGTGTTGTTGGTGAATTGAAAACTGCCGAACTTTGAAATAAAATTTATTCAAAAGTTACCTAACTCTGGCAGCCTAAAAATTGGAAAAATATTGAGGAAATCGGTGCGCCTTCATTCTATTTCACGCCCCAAATCATTTATTGTTTTGTAGCTTGTTAGCTGAGTATCTTTAAAATTAAGAGCTGAGTTAAAGCCTATATAAGGCAACTGTTGTTCATTTTGTTTTTGTTATCTTTCATTTCTTTCTGCTTTCCTCTCATTGTGTGAAAGTTGTGTTCTAATTAGAACGAAATTGTTTCTGTTTTTATCGTCGTTTTTAATTCAATTGTCGATCTTGTGTGAAAATTGCTCAAGTGAGAGCCCAAAGATTCCGAGTCAGTCGGCTATTGAACAAAGTGTTTTTTAGTTCAAGTGAGATCAGATATCTCGAAACAAGAAATAACGTGTGAAGAGTGAAGAGTACCAAGCACGGGAAGAATATTTCTTTACAAAACCATCAATTCATTCCAAATAATTTCCATTATTATTGACGACTTCTGCCCATTTTACAGGCGATTTGCGGATTCCTCTTTCGGTACTTGTGGAGTATCCGGGGAACCACGTGATGCGCCATTTTCTCCAGGATCATTGAAAGACCCCCCCGGATACTCCACAAGTACCCCTCTTTCGTAGTAGGTTTGGTTTTGGTTTGAATCGAAAAACTCAAAGCCAATTTCTGACTGCTTCTTCCGAATCGAAGTGTTCTCCCGCAAGCTCATTACTCATGATCCGGAATAAATAGTAATCAAAAGAGGCGAGGTCCGGACCGTATGGGGAATGCGCCAAAAGTTCCCCAACAAGGCTATTTATTTTAGAGCGAGTCAGTTTTGCTGAATTCAATTGAAAACTGCGGGACTTTGAACTAAAATTTATTCAACATAAAACGATCAATTCATTCCAAATAATTTCCATTATTATTGGCGATTTCTGCCCATTTTACAGGCAATTTGCGGATTCCTCTTTCGTAGTAGGATTTTGGTTTATGTGTGAGACAAGTGTGAGACTCAAAAATCGAGGACTGGAGATGTCCCAGTTTGAGCACTTTCTTCAAAAGAAACCCATTTTGGTGTCAATGGAAAAGTTGTAGAGAATCAAAAATTAGGCTTATAGCCAAATTTTCAGAAACATTCAAAAACTGGTTTTCAAGAAATGCCAAATTTATGAATTTTCACAAAACTTGAATTTCACAAAACATTTTAAGCGAAACTACTAAGTGTATCTTTTTGGAAATTTGGATATAAGCTTCATTTTTGATTTCTACAACTTTTCCATTGACACCAAATGGGTTTCTTTTGAAGAAAGTGCTCAATGACAATAGCCGGCAGTTTTCAATTCACCAACCCAATAGTAAGATCTATCTAGTAAAATCTATCTAGTAAGACTATCTAGTAGTTTCAGTGAGAACGTTATCCGTTACTCTCTTCATTTTAGTTCATTTTTTAATAAATATATCGTTGAACTTGACTCAAATAAGTGTTCAGCGATCTGTTGAACACAAAATTCGCCTCGATTTTCTCACATACCATTCAAACTGGCGGCTATAATAACAGCAATGAGAATATCGTGAAATCGATTCCAAATCGATTTCAAAATCACAGGAATCTTTATTTTCATTTGAAAGACAAAAATAATTTTTGCTGAACCTGGAGGCACTGTAGCTGTCCTTTCCTGACCTTTGCACCAAAGAAAAACTCTCTTTAGCCGCAAAATTATAGCCTACTGGTAGTAAATCATGGTTTCTAGTTAGTAATTTGACAAAAAACGGAACCAATTCTCTGAAGTACAAGACATTTTTTGTAATCATTATAAATTTTTAGAAATGTAGAAAACATTTCTGGTTCATTGAAGACTTTTTCTGGTGAGAAATTGAATTCAATGATAGGAAAGAGAAACAAATAATCGGAGTACTAAAGAAAAAGCTATTAGATGATATTTATTCCTTTCTCTCTCTGAGCGCTATTTTTCAAATATCAGATTTATTTATCTTTCACCCATCAATTAGCATAGATTTATTTTTTATTTTCTTTAAATCAGTCCACAAAAGACAAGATTTCTATCAAAACCAACTGAAAATCATAAAATTTCTATGAAAACCAATCAAAATCATAAAATTTCTATCAAAAACAACCAAAACCATCAAATTTCTATCAAAACCAACTGAAAACCATCAAATTTCTATCAAAAACCAACCAAAACCATCAAATGTCTATCCAAACCAACCAAAACCATCAAATTTCCATCAAAACCAACCAAAATCATAAAATTTCTATCCAAACCAACTCAAAATCTTATAAAAGTTTTCTAAATAATTTCTGCTCCGATTCGGACGTTTGAATTCGATCATTCTATTTTGAACAATCAAAATCAAAAAATGAGGAACATAAAAGCCAAAATTTTTCAATAATATGAGCTTAGTTGATTGGCTACAATAGAAAAAGAAAAAAGCTAACTCATTTCCAGTTTTGGAGTGATTTCACAGATACACTAAGGTTTATTAAAATTAACTTGATTTATGGCTTTTTTAGTTTAGACAATCGGAAAACTGGAAGACAATTGGAAATACGATCATTATTTTGAGATGAAAGAGAGTTGTTGCTGGTGGTTGCAGGGTTAGAATAGCCATTTCAACAATCATTTCAAACGTGTAAAGGAAAAATGTCTGGTGAAATTGAGTAAAATTTGATTCCTTAATCTCATGTAACTTGTAAACAATCACGAGTTCGTTCTTCTTTCATCATCTAACAATCATTCTTGCATCATCTAACAATGATTCTTTCATCATCTAACAATCATTCTTGCATCATCTAACAATGATTCTCTCATCATCTAATAATCATTCTTTATCATCTAACAATGATTCTTTATCATCTAACAATCATTCTCTCATCATCCAACAATCATTCTTTATCATCTAACAATGATTCTTTCATCTTTCTTGAGATAATCACATTTCAAATGCCGATGTTTTCAAGCTATTGAAAAAAATTAAAATTACTTTATTAATATTATATGAAGACAAAGAAAATTGAAATGCACAACATGATCAAAACAATGCTTGTTGACATTGAGCCTTTGTGATTACATAGGAGTTGAGGTAGAACCTAAAATTATATGATAAAACTAAATTCATTTAATGAATTAGAGATTCGAACAATCAAGCTAGATCATAAGCTTTGTTGCTGCATGTCCACGATCTCTCGCATTTTAAACTAGAGATACTCTAGAATCTCGTTGAAAGAACAATTCGTGTTTAATGTCTCAAATTCGAGAACCTTAAAAGCTGTTTTTCTTTCACACAAACCATTGTTTGTTCATGCAAGCCAACTGAACGATGACCGTGTTTCCACTTGGTGGCGGTCCACCAATATTGCCATTGAGCTAAAATTGAGCTACCGATTTACTAAACAAATTATTCAATACAAATTCTATTGTATCGAATTGGATAGACAGATATTTACGTCATTATTGAATACGATTCGATTGGATAACATATCGACTCTTTTCTCACTATTCAAATCCCTTTTTTCTATGGAAAGTCAACCTGCATGAATGGTGTATAGAGCTCATCGGCGACACATTTCAGATTCATCTTGAAACAACCAGTCCCATTAACAGGGCCACTAAAAGAAAGAAAGAAAACTCCAATATATACAAGCATCACATACACAACAGTAACAGGAATCGATCCGGACAGGAGAGTGATTTGGCTTGGAGTACATTGTGCACAAAGTGGTGGTGGTGCCTGTAAGTGATTGGCTCAATAATTTTAGTGATCAATCGGATCGAGTCAAACCTAGTTTCCGATAACAATAAGCACAAAGTTCTCTGTTCAAGTCTGCGTGATTTTGAAGGCCTATGAAGGCCTAATGAAGGCCATACTTATGATAATAGGTACTTTTTTTAATGTAACTTATCGGAGATTTGTCTAATCTTCTATAGATTGAAATTTATTGAATCAATTATTAAAATGAACTTGTTTTCGACTCTGTAATCGAAATAGTAACTGAAAACAATACTTTAGCAAACGATTGACCGACTTTTCGATGAGTTATACTTAAAACTACTGACTCTATAACATTCGCTAGTATCTTTGAAAAGCTGTAAACCAAAATCTTTAATCTTTTGTCAACTAGATAGCTTAGAGGTTTTCAAACCGTTGTTGTCTGGCCATTGAGGAACGCTGGGAGGATGAAGAGGGAAACGATGTGGAGAAGGCTCATCTCGTGTAAAGGTCGAGAATATGGATGCCATCCGATCACCGTTTCAGCTATTTATCCCTCATCTCTCCATTGATTTTCCGATTTTTGAACGCCTCCGTCTTTCCACTCTTTCCCTAGAGCATTTGTGCGTTGACCTAGACCTTTGCCATTCAATTCTCGGGATCTCGAACCATTCAAAATTCTCCCGTTTTTAGGGGACAAATCGAATTTTAATTTTGAACTTTGCCCGCTAACAATAGCAAAAAGTTTTTCCTGACTGGCACTTATTGTTAAAGTTTTGTGGAACACAGCTGGAGATCACAAACTCTCCAAAATTGCACACCACAAATCCCAAAAATGGACGAGGTTCAACACTTTGGAACAATTGAATTGACTGTGTGGGGCTTCGACTCTCGTCGATGAGGAGTCGATGAGGAGAGGAGACATTTCAAATCGACATACAAACTGCAATTCATATCGATCCGTTTCGCTATGAACAGTAAACGGAATAGAGATGAGCAACACCAACCATCAGTCAGTCAGCCTCTGATTATAAGTGATAAAAATCAGATTAACAATGCTTATAACCCTGGAAATTTCCTCAATCCTCAATTTTGGATATTTTTGGATTAAGCAAAAGATCTAAAAATGCAATAAAACTTATCACTTTAGACAGAACTCTTATGACTAAAAGTTTCATTAGATTAGAGATTCATTGGGCGACATCGCTCATCGGGCGACATCGCTCATCGACTCCTCATCGACGAGAGTCGAAATTATTTAGAAAAATTTTATAAGATTTTGAGTTGGTTTTTGATAGAAATTTGATGGTTTTGGTTGTTTTTGATAGAAATTTTATGATTTTCAGTTGGTTTTGATAGAAATTTTATGGTTTTGAGTTGTTTTTGATAGAAATTTGATGGTTTTGGTTGTTTTTGATAGAAATTTTATGATTTTCAGTTGGTTTTGATAGAAATTTTATGGTTTTGAGTTGTTTTTGATAGAAATTTGATGGTTTTGGTTGTTTTTGATAGAAATTTTATGATTTTCAGTTGGTTTTGTAGAAATTTTATGGTTTTGAGTTGTTTTTGATAGAAATTTGATGGTTTTGGTTGTTTTTGATAGAAATTTTATGATTTTCAGTTGGTTTTGATAGAAATCTTGTCTTTTGTGGACTGATTTAAAGAAAATAAAAAGTAAATCTATGCTAATTGATGGGTGAAAGATAAATAAATCTGATATTTGAAAAATAGCGCTCAGAGAGAGAAAGGAATAAATATCATCTAATAGCTTTTTCTTTAGTACTCCGATTATTTGTTTCTCTTTCCTATCATTGAATTCAATTTCTCACCAGAAAAAGTCTTCAATGAACCAGAAATGTTTTCTACATTTCTAAAAATTTATAATGATTACAAAAAATGTCTTGTACTTCAGAGAATTGGTTCCGTTTTTTGTCAAATTACTAACTAGAAACCATGATTTACTACCAGTAGGCTATAATTTTGCGGCTAAAGATAGCTTTTCTTTGGAGCAAAGGAAAAAAAGCCTACTCCTGCTTAAATTCTTAAAACTATGTGTCGAAAAAAAGTTGAGAAGGAAGGCAGTTTTTGCCCGCTCCGCTTTGCCACCCGACCGCCCGGCCACACACAGCAGCAGCCGTACTCCCTTAAAAAAAAGCCCATAGCAATCTAATTCATCAATTCAACACCTATCAAAATTACCCACAAAAGCTGCCTTTCTTCTCAACTTTTTTCGACACATTGTTTTAAGCATTCTTTCAATTTGCTTAATAAAATTTATAACGATCGGGAAACAAAAAAGTTATACAAAAAAGTTATAAAAAAAAGCCTACTCCTCCCGATTCCCGGAGGCGGAGTGGCACAATTTTTAGAAAGTCTCCCCGAAAGGGGGGACGAAAAGAGCCTGAGACTAGAGATCTTTTTTTATTTATCACCAAGTTGGAATTGGAAACTAGCCTATATTATAGCAAATTGTAGCAGTAAGAGTACCCCACCCCCCTCGGACAGTCGCGTAGTCGTTTTGCTTCAATAACCTTCAAAAGTCAGGCTTTAATTCTACGTGTTGTGACTTTGACTGAATAACTTTGATAACAGTACTGTTGGATATTGTTTATTGTAGCTATTGTAGCTTACAATATCTTACAATACCTACCGTAAATACTGTAATAGTACCCCACCGCCCTCGGACAGTCGCGTAGTCGCAAAAGTTTTTTAGTATTTCATTTTTTTCAAAGCACCCGTACTTTCAAAAAATGCGTCTTTAATATCAAAAAATAGCCCTGAATTTCGGCTATTTTTTGACACCTAAGCGCACATTGTAGCATAAACCAGTGTCGAGAAAAACTCGTTCAAAGCTAGACTACGCAACAATCCGCACCGTCATTATGGGGTGGGGTACTATTATAGTATTTACGGTAGGTCTTTTGTGTGTTATGGGTTCAAATTCTCGTGCAAATTTTCACAAAAAAAAATCTATAAACTATCATCTAGAAAAAAGAGTTGAAGGAATCTTCCTGAATATTTGACAACTTATTTAATTGAGTGTGCTATATCTTTTTATGTAGACACTAAAGGAGATTTATGTGAAAGAAACTGTTCAAATGATGAGCGGGATTTCATTTTGACTAGCTTTATTTGAGAGTCGATAAACTCTCGACGAAAGAAAACCTTTGTGGCATTACTTAAAAGTCATTTTGTACAGAAATAGTGGTTCCGTTTAATGAAAAAAAAACTTGTATTTAAAGAAGGTTTTATACGTGTAAAAAGTGTCTTTAAAGTTCGACTTTAAAGTCCGACTTTAAAGCTTTATCTTTCAGTTCGGCTTTAAACCTTTATCTTTCAGTTCAGCTTTAAAGCTTTATCTTTCAGTCCGACTTTAAAGCTTTATCTTTCAGTTCGGCTCTAAAGTTTTATCTTTCAGTTTGGCTTTAAAGCTTTATCTTTCAGTTAGGCTTTAAACCTTTATCTTTAAAGTTTAAAATATTCAATGTACGACTTAAAAGAAAGACTTTTATACCGATTCAATTCTAAAATAGAAAACCTTAAAGGGGATGCATTAAACGCGACCGGATTTTGAAGAAAACGTTTTCTTAGTAACACTGTGTTTTTATATTTTTATATTGACATTTATTAAGTGAAAGGGGCGCAAAAAAAACCCGGCTGCGGTGGCTGATTTGCCCGTAACTTGGTATTCTTCAAAATCCCGCCGCGATTAATGCACCCCCTTTCATAAAAACAGCGGAAATGAGATCAAAGGGCTTTTTTTTTGATTGGGAAACAAGACTTGAAAGGATCTAGTGAGTGTTTCAATTGAATATCTTTCATAAAGTTTATGGTTAATCAAAAATGGTGTAGATGTATTTCCTTGCAGGCGGGAGCCTTCTTCCTAATTCATCCATTTCTCCCGCATCACTCTCATCAGATGAACCCTCTTCGTCCGAATAGGAGCACTCGGATTCCCATTCACCTAGATAAAACATCATTTTTGAGCTATAGCTAGACTCTATTGTTTTTTAAAAAAGATTTTTTGGGCTTCGAACAAGTGTGGCTTGAAATAAGGCTATGGTACTCGGAAAAGATTTCCTGGGCTTTGAACAAGTGTGGCTTGAAATAAGGCTATCGTACTAGGAAAAGGTTTCCTGAGCTTCGAACAAGTGTGGCTTGAAATAAGGCTATCGTACTACGGTAACCTTTTTCTAGGTGCGCTTTTTTCTTTTTCTAGGAAGCATTAGAAGTTTTAAAATTCGATAGTATCAAAAGAAAAAAGAATTTTAAACCCTGCCAAACCGAATTCCAAATACAAACCCTCTTCGCCAACATTTGGCTGATCGTAGACCCGATTGCCTGTTTGCACAAATTTGTCAGCTTTCGAGGGATAGGTCTGAGTGATTCTGAAATCATTTTCAAATTTTCAAAACAATTCCGAAATTTTGCCTTTCTTTACCGATTAATCATTCGACTTTTCTGTCTCCACCTTTCCCTCAACATACTCATCTTGTGCTCGTCCATCGCAATGAAAACGAGACGATCTTGAAGCGGTTGTGAATCGCATAACCTAAGAATTTAACATTTGAGAACATTGAGCGCTTTTTGATCTCAGAAGCTTGAAAGCTTGAAAATTCAGTACTTTGTGTACTTTAGTACTTTAGTAGAAAAATGCTACACGATTTCTAAAGAACTAACAAACTTGTGCTCCAGAAAACTAGACATTCTTGCATAGAGACTTTGAGTGTTATTTCTTTAGATTTCTTTAGATTGTTAAGGATTAAGAGAATTGAAAATTCTCTTAATCCTTAATCCTTAATCCTCTTAATTACCGCTTAATTCCCTCATATTCATCGGTGATGATGCTCATCGTGGCCACATTCTGATCGATCTGTTTTATGCGATACTGGGCATCGATCGATCGAATCAATCGGTCGAACACCAAACGGACTTTACTCTGAAAATTGTTTTACTTAGAAAACTTGAATTTTAACTTGAATAGCTCTTTAAAGCTCTTTAAAGCTTTTAAAGTTTATAAAGCTTCTATAAACCTATACCTGCACAATGGCGATACTCAACCCGACAACTGATAACCCAACCAATGTCATCGACAATTGGAACATGATAAACTTTGGAGATTTCGTGACAACATCACCGAGACCTTTAAAATGCAATTAGCTTTGAAATTTTAAATTTATTTCATCAACTTACCGATTGTTGTCAATGAAGTAAAGAAAAAGTAGAAAGCCGTAAAGTAAGACCAATCAAATTCCCATAAACGGACGACGCCCGCCGAGAAACAAATCCACATCATGAAAAAGATGAGAGCTGACTGGAAATCATTGATAAGAAGCCTGATAATAAGTCAATTAGAAAACCTTTTTGTACAAAATCTACAATTTGTACAGTACAAAATACTGAGTAGTGGACTAGAGCTCTTTTCTAGGCTAACTTAAGCTAAAACCAAATACGTAACCAATCATGAGCTCTCAGGATTTGAAAGTACGCAAGAAAAAATGATCTTTAACCGCACGCTCGTCACTTCTTTCTCCTTCTTCTCTGGCAAGAAGATAGAAGATAGCTTAATGGTTAGAGCATTTACCCGGGAAGAGGTCGAGGGTTCAATCTTCTCTTCGGAAATCTTGCCTGGCCATTAAGTCTTTATTAAGCCAAAGCCAAATACGTAGCCAATCATGAGTTCTCAGGATTTGAAAGTACACAAGAAAACATGATTCTCCCACCTTTAACGGCACGGTTTTCACTTGTTCACTCTCAGCCAGCAACAACTCGAGCTCTTGAAGCGGTTTATTTGATTCAATCTAAATCGTGATCATTTATTGAAGTGATTGGATTCAACCGTAAGTAACTTTAAAGCAGAAACTAGCCTCGCCTCTAGGCTTGGCTAGTTCCTAGTAACACAAAAGTTCCTAGTTCCTAGTAACACAAAAGTTCCTAGCTCCTAGTAACACAAAAGTTCCTAGTTCCTAGTAACACAAAAGTTCCTAGCTCCTAGTAACACAAAAGTTCCTAGCTTCTAGTAACACAAAATTTCCTAGCTCCTAGTAACACAAAAGTTCCTAGCTCCTAGTAACACGTTCCTAGCTCCTGTAACACAAAAGTTCCTAGCTCTAGTAACACAAATCCAGCTCCTAGTAACACAAAAGTTCCTAGCTCCTAGTAACACAAAGTTCCTGTCCTAGTAACACAAAAGTTCCTAGCTCCTAGTAACACAAAAGTTCCTAGCTTCTAGTAACACAAAAGTTCCTAGCTTCTAGTAACACAAAATTTCCTAGCTCCTAGTAACACAGAAGTTCCTAGCTCCTAGTAACACAAAAGTTCCTAGCTCCTAGTAACACAAAAGTTCCTAGCTCCTAGTAACACAAAAGTTCCTAACCTCGTTTATCGATTAAATACTAAGAACTCGGTTAGAAAAGTCTTTGTATATCTCAAAAAAAAACAAACAAACATGATGATCGGTGTTGTTGACGAGTTCACGATTTGCGGTGTGCACAGAGAGAAGTGGCATTGTGGATGTGGATCTCAACGAGAGTTCACTGCCCACTCGACGAACCCTAAAACCTTTTCTTGGTATCAATTTTAGAAAACCTAAAACCCTAAAAATGCAATCGTTATCTTTTTTTTCTTTTTCCAAACCTCTCATTCCGCAGCTTCTTCTCCTTTTCCTTGGCCATTTGACTGGAAAACTTTTCATTTAAAAGCATCTTTAAAGCATTAAAAGCATTTTAAAAGCATTTAAAAGCATCATCTATTTCTCGTCAAACCTTTGACAAAGTTTTTGATTCATGTGATTCCAAAAGTACTCAATCCATGTGAAATACAAAAATCCCCAATCAAGTAAAATAGTGAAAACAAGAGGAATGCCAACGAAGGCGTAAATCATTGAAACGATTCGACCGGCTGTCGTCCGAGGATAGTAGTTACCATAACCTATAAGAAAACCTTTTTATACAAAATCTACAATCAGTAAAGTACAAAATGCTGAGTAGTGGACTAGAGCTCTTTTCCAGGCTAACTTAAGCTAAAACCAAATACGTAACCAATTTATCTGAATTTTCTCTGAAACCCTCGAAGAATAAAAGAATTGGGAAAGAATGGGAAAGATTTCCTAGAGATTTCTTCTTTTACAATCTCTCACCAATCGTCGTGTAGAGACTCGCCGAATAGTAGATTCCACCGAAAACATCCCATTTCGTGTCCTCCATCACCGGCTCTTCCACCACAATACCCAACTTTTTCTCATACCTGAAATGCAAATTCAGCTCTAGGTTTTCAAAAGATTACAATCGTCAGAGTGTCTCCTCACTCACCACTCCAACGCATCCCTCACAAGTCCCATCTTTGACTCGTCCAATGTCAACCCTCGCCGATCCGCGTAATTCTGCACATCATCTTCAATATTTCGAAAGCTAGAAATAGAAATATCTAGTTTGTAAAATATTTTCAGAAATTTACCGATTAAATATTTGTTCTTGATAACTTTGCCGTTTATCGAAGAGATCCTTTTTCCGTTCGTACTCTTGTAGAAGTAAAGTTCGATCGTGACCACCTGAACGATTGGATGCTGTATGCTGATTCTAATGTGATTGATTGAACTTTTAATACTACTTGTAATAGTACTTGTAATAGTACTTGTAATACTATTTGTAATACTACTTGACCATAGTGTTCCAGTACTAGTATAAAAGTTAGTCATAGTGTTGTTAACTGGGGGTCGCTACTTTCCACCAAAGATTTTGCGTAACTCGTCATAACTTTCTTATAAGTCGGCCAATCTTTATGACTTTGATGTCATTTTGTTGCTCTTCTTGAGATCTACAAAATGAAACCAAAATCATAAAGATTGACCCACGTAGAACAAAAGTTATAAAGAGTGGCGCAAATGACTCAAAAATGCTATCATACCTTCAATGGCGCTGAAGATCAAGCCGCCGAAAACAGACCACACAAAAAGAACGACCATCCAAATCATATGACGCCAAAATGTTCTAAAAATAGGTTGATTGTTTTCCATTTTCAAACTAGAAACCCACTTGCTTCGACTCTCCGCTTCAATCGCTTTCAAATCGGGTGGCGGTGGTTCTGTGTCGGAAGCTATTGATGGAGCCTAAATGGAGCCTATTGTTGAGATTAACGTGAGCAAATTCACGTTGATTCTTTTAATTTACTACTTAAGAAATTAAGCTTTTAAAACGACTCACTCAGCTAGTTTTCAAAGGAGTTTTAAGAAATTTAATTGCTGAAACTGAAAGCTCTGGTTCAGTGACTAATTTTAGCCTAATCTTGAACGCCTACCTACAGCTACTAAGTGAATACTTTTGGTCATCAAGTACTCAAAATGTCATTTTGTTGTGATCTATTTCCTTAACTCATCCTCAATTAATTTACTACTTAAGGAATTAAGCTTTTAAAAGGACTCACCTTTTCCTTTCTTCTCCTCCTTCTTTTTTTCTTCTTTTCATCTCCTTGTGCATCTCCATGTTTCACCTTTCCTTTGTTGATATTCGGTAAACTTTTCGACACATTTTGCACCACTGTAAACACTCCTCCATCAACCACGGACAATGGTCGATCTGAACAGAAAAAAAAAGATGCATTCACGGGGAGAGCATTCAGGGATATTTCATGCTAGGGTTTATTACAAGGTAAAGAAACACGATAAAGTATGAGAGTTGAGATGAGATTGATATTATGGTTTACTGAAAACAAACCGGCTCGTAAACCACCGGGTTTCTTCTCGGGTTCTATGCTTTTACTCCGAGGCCCCTTTGCGGCTCCATTACCGTTTTGGGCTTTGATCTGAAAATGTTCACTGTTAGTAGATACCGTAAATACTATAATAGTACCCCACCGCCCTCGTACAGTCGCGTAGTCGCAAAAGTTTTTTAGTATTTCATTTTTTGCAAAGCACCCGTACTTTCGAAAAATGCGTCTTTGGTATCAAAAAAATAGCTGAAATTCAGGGCTATTTTTTGATACCTAAGCGCGCATTGTAGCATAAACCAGTGTTGAGAAAAACTCGTTCAAAGCTAGACTACGCAACACTCCGCACCGTCATTATTGGGATGGGGTACTATTACAGTATTTACGGTAGGTATTTCATTTTGTTGCTCTGCTACACTATGGAGACTTTATTATAGACTATATTTATCAAACTTGTTTACCCCCATCATTTCATCAGGTTTTTTCTTTTTCTTATGCTTTGAATTGGTATCAGATTGACAGTGATCCTGCATCGGAGCTACAAAATTGTTGCAGAAAAATGACACTCTGATACTGGCTTTTATCTTAATAACTTAATTACTGCACTATGAAGATAAAATATGAAATATCTAGCACACAAAACTTTGTAGATTTTTGTATTGGGTTGATGGAAAAGTGTACCCTAAAATTTCCCTTCTAACAACATCAAAAAAATGATAAAACAAAAAAAAACGAGAAAAACGAAGGAAAATCGCGAAAAGCGGCGGAAAGGCTATTGATCTGAGGGTCGCTGGTTCGACTTCCACCGGTGACAATATTTTTCAAAAATTTTTTGCTAAGATTCTGAAAATGCGTGTCTAGGGGTTATTTTTGACGCCGATCACGAAACACATGCTTTTAGCCTAGGTTTCTGCACGGAAAACTTACGAAACGTGAAAACAGCCATTTTTTGGCCTTGCCGCCCTTTACTAAAATAGCTGTAAAAACTTTTAGAAAAGAGATATCTCAAAACGGTTTTTACCAATCGATCCGTCTTGAATTCAGCTTTAGGATGAGCTATAAAACGTCGAAATTCGACAAATTTAAGGTACTCTCCCAAAAAATCGGAAAGGACTTTTCCATCAATCCAATATATGTCATTTTGGATATGTAACTCTACGACAAAGCTCTTTTTAAAGAAATATCTTATTATTGTAACTTTTAATATACTGAGATGTACCAAATGGAATGTTTAAACTGCAAACAGTCACTGAGTTCGACAAGCCGATCCTTTTATGCCTGGGAACATGGTCGGCCAAGACATGGCCGGCCAAAACATAGTCGGCACCGGGATTCGAACCCGCAACCTCCCGCTTACCGAGCGAATTCTCTACCAATGAGCTACACGGACATCTATCCTATAGGGCCTCGTACCTTACTACAGTTTCTACAATCAACCCTAGCAATCTTACGCTCTGACATCGTAATCAGCAATCAATAGCAATCAATAGCTTGAATATCAGTATTTTAACGAAAAGTTATCACGAATCTAATTATTGTAACTTTTAATATACTGAGATGTACCAAATGGAATGTTTAACAGGTTTGGACAAGTTTGTTTTTCAACAGGTTTGGACAAGCCGATCCTTTTATGGCTGGGAATGCAAAATATAGGCGGCACCGGGATTCGATCTCGCAACCTCCCGCTTACCGAGCGAACTCTCTACCAATGAGCTACATCGACATCTATCCTGTTACCAGGATAGGGCCTTATACCTTACTACTGTTTCTACAACCAACCTTAGCAATCTTACGCTCTGACATCGTGAATTTTCAGTAATTAGCAATCAATATTAGCTTGAATATCAGTATTTTATCGAAAAGTTATCACGAATCGAGGAAACAATCAATTTGAGGGAAAGGAGTTAAAGGAAAAGGAAAAAAAAGAGAAAAGCGACCTCCTGTTGAACATTGGTGCTCACGAGGAAGTCAAAGAGAGAGCAGATTCCTCAAAGCATCTCCAGTACCTGGCCCTTTCTTCTTTTTCTAACCTTCCCCCCTCTTTCCCTTTCTTTCATCTCATCTCTCATCTCTTTTATCTTCTTTTCCCAATTTTTGTAACACTCCCCTTCAACTGATCCTCACCCTCTCTTTTCCTTTTCTTTAACGAAAAAACACACATCCCAAAAATCCATCAACTTGAAGTAAACGCCCGTTACAGAGCAAGTATCTCATTTGTGATGAGATTTGGAAGTAGTTTTGCTTTTCGAAAACTGTGATGTCATTGAGATGTCATTGAGATGTCAAAAAAATTTGTCAAACCCTCAGCTCTTAACAAGAAAAATTCTTGAAAAGAAAACATAGTCAAGTAAAAAGTTTTAGCAATTAAGGGTGAACAAGGTGAAATCTGTACCTAGCTTACAAAAAAAAGCGATTATGGATGATCGCTAATCAATCCACTAAACATCTTGACTGTTTTCATTACTTTTCAGCTTAGTTTAAGTTTGAATCTGTACTTTGTTTGATTTCAGTCTTATATCTTTACAGTTTACTCATCGACAACCCACATTTATCTTACTAGAAAAAAGGACGAAAACAAGGTGAGTTTTTTCTTCTGGACACCTCGTCTACTTTATAGAATCGGCTATGAGGAATTCGAATCTAAAATCTAAAATCAAACAAGGTGAGCTTCTTTTCTGGACACCTCGTCTACTTTACAGAATCGGCTATGAGGAATTCAAATCTAAAATCAAAATCTACCAAATCACTTTCCAGGCTGAACTTCAATCGAAAATTTGCTTTAAACGGATGCTTTAAAAATGTCCTTCTCTAGCGAGAGAACAGAGCGTTGCTGGCCTAGTGGATAGCGCATTTCGCTTCCACCGACAGGATCTTGGTTCGATCCCTGATGGAGCCTTTCGTTTTTTTGCTTTTGGAGCAATTTGCAGCAACATTATTGGTTTTTCTTTTAATTTCTTCGATCGTATATTGTTTACACAATTTGCACATATTCCTTACAAAATTTACACTAAAATTCAATATTTTACAGGAAGATGAAGAAGGAAGGAAAGGAAGGAAAGGAAAATTTAAAGGAAAAAAGCAACCAAAAGAAAAAAAACGAAAAGCTCCATCAGGGATCGAACCAAGATCCTGTGGGTGGAAGCGCAGTGGGCTATCCACCAGGCCAGCAACGCTCTGCTCTCTCGCTAGAGAAGGATCGTTTTAAAGCATCCGTTTATTTTCGATTAAAGATCTTCGATTTTCGATTAAATTTTCGATTAAAGTTCAGCCTGGAAAGTGATTTGGCAGATTTTGATTTTAGATTCGAATTCCTCATACTTGATTCTATAAAGAAAAAAGGTGTCCAGACAAAAGCTCGCCTTGAGTTCGTGCTTTTCCCTAGCTAGAGTAGATGTATTATTGGTAAATTTGGGATATTTGCGTAACTGAAGCAGTTCCCTGTACTGTATTTGATTCGTGACCTTTTGCAGCAAAGAGAAAAATGAGAATGTTTCTGATAATGAGCACAAAGTACACGCACAGAGTCCGGCTCACATCAGCTTTCACAATCAAATCTGATTCGAATAGCAAGTGCAACAATTCATTCGATTATAAAAGCTAGAATCATTCAACTTGCTAAACTCGCCATTTGATTTTAAAAAAAAAACTTTGATGAGTTTCAAAGACAGAGATTTGTCCTTTCTCATCCCTCATTTCACAATATTTCCCCTTTTCCACTCACATATCCCAGCTGATCGTTGTAATCGTAAAGGGAGATCCGATCTCTTCACATCTCTGTTATTGGCTTTCCGTCTACACCTCGGTGACTAAGTGGTCTCCGATTTAAATACAGTTTTTAGTATTTAATTCGAATTTATTCTTATTTTCACCTCAATTCTAACAATTTTGAGGAAATTTTAGCATATTCCATTTTAGCTACTACAGTCCGTTTCATATTTCTATGATTTCTTGAATACCCTTCTTGTCGATCTTCTAGGCATCGATCTGTCATCGATCATCGATCCTTCTCGTAATCGGAAAGCACTTTTTCCAACGTCCCATTTCCTAAAATGACAACAAATGATTACAAAAAATAGAAAAAAATTTAAGAAAAGCAAAAAAATGAATAGTAAAATACGCGTTGGTTCGTTGAATCAAATAAGCGTTGTTTTTCAAAGTTCCTAAGGGTGGATAAAGAAATGTGAAACGGTCGCAGAATCTTCTTTCTTTCTTAGTTTTGTTTTTTTGTTGAGAATCTGCAGTAAGTCAACTATAGCTTTCAATTTTACTTGATTTCGAATTGTTAGATTGCCAGAAATTCTCGAAACATGCTGATTTCTCTTTGAGAAAGTTATCTAGAGACTAGTTCTCTCGAAATTTCCTCCACCAGTTCATTTCTCTTGCCGAATCGTATCGTTCATTTCTTTCCCCCGATCGCAAAAGTTTTATCGTAGTGTATGTGCGGATGATCACATCAAATCGCACAACCATTTGTCGTCCCTCTTTTTGTCCCTCGTAAAAGAAAGCCCATTCTGTTGCTCTTGCTCTTGCTTTAAAATAGTGTTATCTCCCTTGTACAACCTTGTACGAATCGTGACCACAAACTGATAGATTTCACAGTCGATCCGATCAGTTGATCACTTCCGTTAACTGATAAAAGATCGTTTTATCCGATTTCTGCTAATAATAATGCCTCAAAATGTAACAGCCAAAAAACGAAAATTCACCCGGTGTAAAACCATACGCTACCCCCCAATTTTTTAGGGAGTGGCGTATGATTTTGCACCGCACGGAATTAATAATAGTTCTAAGATAGTTGTCTAAGCTGTAGGTTGAGCTAAAACTTACTCCTGGAGTACCTGAGGGAACCTGTGGTGAACCCAGTTACGCGAAAACGAACACACAACTTGCCAGGCCCGCATTTTTCTTTTCACAACTTGCCAGATCCGCATTTTTCTTGCCAGCCCCGCATTTTTCTTTTCTTTTCTCAAATCTTTCAACTTTTTTTCTACAACATGTCATCTACACAAATCTAAAAGTAAAGACTTCCGCTTTTAAATGAAATTGACCAATAACAGCACAAGGAACTCCTCTCCACCATGTTTTGATGAGTAAGCTATAGAAAAAAATCTTTTTAATTGTCTTTTACATTTTTCCCTTGACCCCTTTTTGGTCTCATTTACCGGAAAACAGAGCTCATTTTTTCATTTCCTCCAGAAATTTTGCTGACGACCGAGAGGTGAGGGCGGTAATCCCCTGCCACTCCACAAATAAACCAAAATGGTGACAAATTTTTTTCATCGAAATTCTTTTTGAAATGTTTTTCAAACTTTTCCAATACATCTTTCCAATTTTAAGATAAATTGTGTCAAAATTTTCAGCTCATTAGCCGGCTTTTCTTTCACGGATTCAGATTAGCTAAAAACACACAGATGGCCCAACCACATGCATCCATTAGCCTTTATTCTTTTGTTTGCCCTTTTCCCCGCAGAAATTTGACCATTAACACTGGTGTTTCGTTTTGGTTTTTGTTGCTGACAAGTGTGAGATAGAGAAGACAAAAGATAGCTTACTCAACTATCAAAGCATCTTAACGCATGGCATGGCATTAGAACATAATCCTTGCGGTTGAACAATTAACCGAATAAATTTGCATCATTGTTTTTTTAGTCGGTTAAAGCGACGGTTAAATCAATTGATTTATGCAAATCTTTTTCGAATTCATACTGTTGCAACTAGACTTGATTATGAATATTATCGATACAAACGGTATGCTCATTTTTGACCGTTCAGATCTCAGTTTCTAGAAGAGCTATCAATCTGCAAGTAGTTTCATTGGAGAGCCAAGAATGTCAGCTTTTGATTGCTATCTCACACATAGCGACTTTTGCGGAGCAAGCACCTCAAAACTGATCGATACTTATCGAAAAGCTTATCGATATTTGAGTATCGATAAGTATCGATAAGCTTTTTAAGGCATTCACCTATGAGAACTTGCTATGTATGAGATAGCAAACATAAGCTGGCATTCTTGGCTTTCCATTGAAACAATTTGCAGATTGATAACTGTTTTAGAAACTGAGATCTGAACGGTCAAACATGAGCATGCCGTTTGTATCGATAATATTCGTAAGTAAGTCTACTCTACATGCTATTAGCCATGTCAATGTCATTATCAATGCTATTAGCAAAATCGTTAACAAAAGCAAAGCAAGCTTTCGTAAATTTCAAAGTTAAGCTTAGTTTTTTGTAGATCTGACTCTAGAATACTTATTTTAGTTTTTGTCCGATTAATTTTGTCTGAGTTTCCGGTACCAAATGAACACTATTACTCTGGCTACAAAACCCCTTCAGCATGCTATTTGCATTTATAGTCTCCGCTAACCGGGAAAACAGTCAGTGTAATCGACTTTTTGACTTTAATTAGTACTTAAACTTTACCAGTATCAATGTAGTGAATCAAATTTCTACCTACTGTAAATACTGTAGTATCCCACCGCCATAATGACGGTGCGGAGTGTTGCGTAGTCTAGCTTTAAACGCGTTTTTCTCGACACTGATTTATGCTACAATGTGCGCTTGGGTATCAAAAAATAGCTGAAATTCGGGGCTATTTTTTGGTATTAAAGACGCATTTTTTGAAAGTACGGACAAAAAATGAAATAGTAAAAACCTTTTGCGATTACGTGACTGGAGTACTATTACAGTATTCATGTATGACTAAACCTAAAGTCAATTTAGAGAAAGAATCAAAGTTTACAACTTCGATAATGACTTAGCATCTAGAGCTTTAGAGCCAAGTTTCTAGTCAACCCAAAAAAAAACAACTTACCACTCCGATACTGGAAAAGTACCGTTTGAGTTTGCAAATGATTGCAAAAGCTGCGATTCTGTGACGCTCTCCAATGCGATTCTGTAACGCTCTCCAATGCGATTCTGTGACGCTTTCCAATTTTCCAATAACGTGCATTTCGCTGCTGACAAACACGGATTCCCATCAAAATACCCGTTTTCTTCAAATCCAAAAATTCGTCAATGTTTCTCTGTTTCACATTTGATCCGATTTGAGTCACGCAAAATCTCAAATCCTTCCCCCCCCCTGCTTTGTTCTCGGAAATGAATTGCACAATTTGCGTCCATTGTCCATTCTTATATGGCAGTTAAAGCCATTTTTTCTCCTTCTATGCTCGTTTTTTGCGCATTGACGATAAAACCTTTTTAGTTGTCCATTGTTATCCGCAAATTCTCAATTTGAAAGGGATTTTCAAATCGAGATCATCCCCTGGATTTGAGGGTGGATTCTTAATTTCACTCTTTCACTCCCACATTTTTCCCAAATTGTAATTCTTAAAAATTTTTGATTCTTACAGCATTCCTCAGGCGATATTCAGATTAAAATTTGAAATTGTTATGTAAATGTTGAAGTGTTTCATTTTCTTGAAAGGCTTTTACAAGTTTTTACAAATAAATTCAACAAGGTCTTGTAGGCATCGATCTGTCCCTTCTGATCAGCTGATCGTTGTAATCGTAAAGGGAGATCCGATCTCTTCACATCTCTGTTATTGGCTTTCCGTCTACACCTCGGTGACTAAGTGGTCTCCGATTTAAATACAGTTTTTAGTATTTAATTCGAATTTATTCTTATTTTCACCACAATTCTAACAATTTTGAGGAAATTTTAGCATATTCCATTTTAGCTACTACAGTCCGTTTCATATTTCTATGATTTCTTGAATACCCTTCTTGTCGATCTTGTAGGCATCGATCTGTCATCGATCATCGATCCTTCTCGTAATCGGAAAGCACTTTTTCCAACGTCCCATTTCCTAAAATGACAACAGCATTCTTACAGCATTCCTCAGGCGATATTCAGATTAAAATTTTAAATTTTTATGTAAATGTTGAAGAGTTTCATTTTCTATTTGCTTTTACAAGTTTTTAAAAATAAATTCAACAAGTCCGAGTTAGATTTTTGCTTAAAACTTTTGAAAATTCGCCTTTTCAAACTACAGAACTTTTTGTTTACGTAAAAATTCAACGTTTTGTTCTATTTGCCTTCGAATTGAGCACATGTTCTCCTATGTAACATCCCAAAAAAACATCTCCAATTTCAATTACTAAATTTTTCATCACTCATTCCCACGTCTTCTCACTTTTCTCAACGACGCACGACACAATTCTCATAAATTTTAGCATGTGAGCGCGGCTCTCCTCTCGCATTCGATGTTCTTCTACGTAACAATCGGCATCCTTTTCTGCTACACATTGTTGTTGATCGGTTTCTTCATGGGATGGTGTACGCTGATCCCGGCAAAGTGAGTGCAAAAGCTTGGAAAACTCCTGTAAAAATGTGTGCGTAATTTTGAGATTAATCTTTTCATTGCTTGCTGAGAAAGCTCTATCTTAAAAGAAAGATAACTTTGGTTAATCGAAAGCTAATTAAACTATCTCAAACCAGCGTAATAGATCAATCGTTTCATTGATCAATGAAATGATCAATGATCAATGAGCTTAAAGAAATTTCTATCTTAAATCGAGCTTAAACCACAAGGGAAATCTTCGACAATGCAGGCAGGGGCAGGGGCCCGTCAATGGCTGCGTCATGCTGGCTAAAGATTTCTTCTTGAAACAAAGGTAACTTTGGTTAATCGAAAGCTAATTGAACTAGCGCAAACTAGATTTTTTTTTCAGATTCCATTCGAGGAAAGGTCTCCCCTTCTCGACGATAAAATCGCCACGGAGAAACACAAAATTCGTGGCCATCGATACAGTTTCCTCGAGGTGAGTTTAAGCAAAAGCTATCTCACAAATTTCACTTTTAAAACTCTCTGCAACCGAAACTTGAAATTTTCATAGAAACAAACTCATTCCAGTGCCTCTCTCGAGCAAATCCGACACATTTCCGATCGTGAAAGGCTCTATTCGTTAGCAAAGAAAAAGGCAAGACTAAACTTGAATTGAATCTCGAATTAATCACGAAATTTCAGAAATGCTCACTACCACTCGTTGACTCGAGAAAACTGGATGACTATCTTCATCCAAAGTACTCGTTACCACCAAGAACAAGCGACATTCTGCAGAGAAAGGTGAGTTAAAGCTCAACACGGTGTTACCGTAATCTGTAGAACACCCTGAAATCTTTCCAGCTTTCTAGCTTAGACTCTAAATTTTGCAAACTGTTAAATATTTAAGAGTTAGTGTTTCACTCAACTTCAATTCCTAATCTTCAGCTCGACTTCGAAAGTTTTCTCCGTGTCCCCGGTCGAACATCTCGTTCCGAGTCGATTCCCTCAGCCAAATCAATTGAAAACTTTCGCCGGGTTTCTGTGCCAGAAGTGAAAATTATTATTGAAGAATTCTAATCTGATCGCTCAATTAAATCTGAATTTAATCTTGCTATCAATCCAATATCAATTTTCTCATTGTTAGCAATAGCTCATCATTTCTTTTTTGGTATCCTATTTACGGGAGCTCCTTTTTCTAGCTTTTATATGAGTTTCACACAAATTTGCGGGTTTCTCTGTATGTATCGATATAAATACTGTACATATTACGACACTACTCGACACACGTCAAATGAGCATAAATCAGTTACATCAAATGGTAGTAAAAAGTTAAGGCTCTCGATTGGATCACAGCAAAGACAAAAGAACTATAAAACAAAAAGCACAAGCTAATAGGGTAAGACATCACACTTAAAGCACATCATAATAATCCTCGAAGAAAGGCATACGAACGCGTTTGATCGATCGAAGACTGGTCTCTGGCTCGGAATCGCGCGTTGCTGCGACCAATGGCTGGTCAGGAGGAATCTAAAAAACAAAGTTTTCTATGATCGATGCAATTTAGATAAAATTAACCAAGAATAAATAGATCTTACCCCATTAGCTTGTACTTTTTGTTTTATAGTTAACTTTAAATAGAGCTTAAAAACCAACATTTGTTCCAATTTCGACTACTCTCGAGATGTTCTCCTTCCAGGCCAGACGTTGCTTTTCTTTCCCAGACTTTTCCTTTTTCTCTAAATACAACTTTTACAATGCAATCAATATTACGTTGGAAAGAAAGTTCTCGGAAAAAGTTTGACTGGAATTTCTTAAAAACGAATCCACCAATTCAAGAACATTTTGTTCTATTATTTACAAGTCGTAAAAAATTACTCGTACGTAAAAGTACGTAAAAAATTACAAGTCTATTACTCGTAAAAAAATGAGTGCAGCTTTCCCTTAAAATTTTAGAGATTTTTGAAAAATTATTATTTTCCAGCTTAAATTCAGCTCACTTTTTTGCACCAGAAAAACGATTCATGAGGTAAAGCTAGCATAAATGAGCAATACGCTCTATAATCTCTATTTTTGGCCAAAAATTTTTTACAAAGAAGCAGTATTTCAAAAAATAATTTTTTTTGATGCCATCTTCTTGGCACTGAATGTTCGGTAAAAGAGACTATTCTGAAAAGTTAAAGCATTAGATCAAATTTGTCTTAATCACAAAGTTTCCCTATTTTAAGTACTTGATTTTAGATTTTGAATGGGACCCATTAGCTATCCATTTACCCATTAAAAACTTGTCTAAAAGCTGGTCACTCAAAAAGTGACCAAGTCACTTCAGCTAAAGAAATCTCTTATTTTTTACCTGAAGCCCACTCTGATTTTTTTGTCAAAAACTTTTTGAAATATAGTCAAATTTATCAAAAAATCTGGGAAGAATTGATGGGTTGGTTTTTGAGAAATCACCGTGCAAACTTTTTTCCGAGAACTTTCTTGCCAATCTAATAAAAGCGAACCCTTGGTTGTTTTCATTTTTGTGGGTATTAGAATCGACTTGGGAGTGGCGAAACGATCTACTCGAAGAAACTCGCGAGCAGCTCGGCATCCGATTTCCAAAGCATCTGGTGACATCGATGAATTTGCTGCACATGGTCTAAAATTAATATTTTAATATTTTCCATCAAATAAGATCCTAGCCTAATGTATTCTTTAAAATACTTCACTTCTTTGTGACATCATCTGCAATTGCTCGGGCAATATGATCGAAAATTGGCCGCTCGATGGCACACGTGAACTTTCCGACTCGCCGCATCAAATCTAAAATTATTTTAAATCTTTAACAAGTGATCTAAGGAATTACCCCCAATTTGTTTTGTGAAGGCAACAATATCGGACTTTATGGGTTTGTCGTCAATGTCGAGAATCGCATCACCGGCTTGCAATATATTTTCGGCAACACTCGATTTCACAACCTAAACAATGTTACTTACGTTTCCAATTTTAAGCTAACTTGTCCAATGTAGATTCGATCATTCTTTGCAGCAACAACAATGCCCACCGGTTGGTCTTTCGTTTTATCGCCTAAAAAGAAAGCAACTATAAAAGATCCGAAGTTACACAAACCCTGTCCAACGCTTATCAACAAATATCCAAATTGTGGCCGCCTTTTCACAGATAGAGCATTGAGTCGAGTCGTTAATATCGGTTGCACATTCACATCGCGCTGGATTTGGATGGTTCTCTGAAAAGTACACAAGTACAAAAGTTTAAAGTAACACAAGCCCGTCCAACGTTGTCAATAAATATTAACAAATATAAAAGTTTAGTAAAAACATTTAGAAAAAAACCTCGCCCTTTTCGTGCAGCAAATCTTCACATTCGAACGGATTCATGATCGGCTTACCGTTGACCTGTAAGAAAACAAAGTTACATCAAAATATTAAAAAAGAAACCTTTTGAATGAGATCTCCAAAAGCGAGTTTGTCGATGGCAAACGACGCCTTGTCGCTTACAAAAGCCACTCTCATCTGCGGGCCCAGCTCAATAAAATTCCCCTAAACTTTTATGTGAAAGTATATATTAAAGTTGAAAATATGACTAATTTGTAAATTTCTTTGTTTTTTTGTTGCAAAAATTCATATTCAGCACACTTAACTGTAAAAAAAACCTGTTTTTTTCGATCCCAATCGGGAACGTCGACTTTTATCGTGAGCACGGCTAACGATTGCATTGCACGTGAAAATGATTCGAAAAAATTTACGCCCCAATAAACCTTGTTTCTCGTATGCAAATCTTTATTTAAATCTAAATTTTGGCAAATCTTACGGTATTTATTTTTCTCTAAACATTCTGTTTTCAGAGTGAAAAGTGCAGGTCATGAGGTTTCTCTGACCCGAAACCTAGTGAGTGTTTGCGAAAAAATCCGGTCCAACTTTCTCTTTTCAAAAAAAATGATCATGAATATAAATGTGAGTGTCGGGAGAGACTGTGCGAATTATCTCCTCTTTTTTTTCCTCTAGTCAGACACTTCTCTTTCATGATGAAAGAGCCCACAATGCCTATTCCACCATAAACAATTCACCACACGGTCAACATACGATTGTTCATTCTCGACACGGAAAAAATAATGCTAAAAGTTGCTCTATTGTTGTCTGTCTTTTTCTTTTGCTCTTTGAAAGCTCAATTATGGGGTGGTTACTATAACAGTTATGGAAGCTGGCCAATGGGCTCTTACGGTAAGTGATGCTATTTTATGTTTGTTTGTGAAAGACAGCCCAGTTGATGATTAGCTGTTTGAAAATTGCAAAGATCTGTAAATCTAGGTTACCCTGGAGCTGGTGGACTTTATGGAAACAGTTTGTATGGAAATGGGATGTATGGTAACAGCATGTATGGAAGCGGGAATCTTTATGGAAGCGGGATGTATGGCAGTGGATGGGGAATGAATGGAATGTGGATGGGTAAGAAGAGATAACCAGCCCTCAATTCAGTTTCCCATGATCTCATTGTAATTTACAAATGTTCGACATAAATGTGAATATTTCTTCAAAATTACAAAATACCAACAAAATGATGTAACAAACGACACAGAAATCGATTCACAATCAGCGCTCGTATTTTTGCAGATGGCGGGTCAAGTGAGTAGAAAGTCCAAGTGCTTCAACCATTGCAACAAAGTATGCTAAAGAAAAAGTAGACTAACATTTCGAAAATATTATTTACTCGGCGGATCCAAGCTTGCTACCAAATCCAGCTGTTCCGCACTTGTTCCATAGTTCGGATACATTGTTCGATAAACATGCCACATCATTGGAAGCCGGTTTACCATAGACCTCGATATTCCGGTTATTCTCAGAAAGTCTGGCGGTAACCACTGACATTAACTGCTAAATTTTAAAAAAGCAAATTCTAACCGTAGGATTCTTCTGTCTGTATAGCTGTCTTGGATCTAAGAGTGCCGGTTTTCCGTCAAGCTAAAAGTTGTGTCTGAGAAAGTTCAAAAGAATGACATTTCTACCTCGATTATGCGATTCATGTACATAGTGTCCCCGAGAATTGGGCATAACAAATGTGAAAGGGCGACACGTGGAAAGTGACGAGCAACTGGAAAATGCAAAATAACCAAATATCTTTGAAATGCCCAATTACCGCTTACAGCCACTCACATTTCCAAACTGATACATCAAGCAGGCTAATTCCATTCGCCGTCCCCAAAACTTCCCAAGCAATCTGACTTTGTACGGCATATTTTCCAGTTCGCGCTCGTCTATCCGCTTTCGCTTCAACGAATACGTACTAAAATATACTATTTTAACAAAAAAAATTGTGAAAAACCTCTTTATGATTTCCGACTTTTTGAAAAGTGGTGTATCCTTTTAAGCTTTTAGTCGGTAAATCCGGCTGTCCGATTGCCAAAACTCTAAAGCATCATTATACATATAATGGTTTACTTTTTTATTCTCACAAAGCTTTATGTTGTTCAAAATCATCTGCTTTTGAAGAAGTTCGTTTCAATGATGCCAACAAATGTTGAAAATCAGTTTTATTCGCTGGCAATACAATAGGGCCCGAAACATTTCTAAAAAGCGAAATGATTTGTGAATAGGATAAAAAAACCTTTTGAGTCCAGTACAGAATTGAAGCTGAGGTTCTTGGAAGTGTTTCGCTAATAACGGTAAGCAATCGGATATTGTGATATCATTACCCTGAAACAGATACCTTTATACAGTAGCCCATAGACCTCAATTTGGCAACCAAAGTTTTACCTTTTTGCTCTGTTCCAATTCTTCATCGTCGTCGATTTGGTCGTGAACCGAATTTTTAAAAACACCGCCACCCTTTTGTTTCATCCCCAAACATGACACTCCATAAGGCTTTGGAATAATAAGAAAATGGCCTACAACAAAAATAAAATTTGCGAAACTGAACACTGATTACCCGGTTCATGAAGTATGACATTTTGTTGCAAATATTTAGCCAAAGTGTCGATTTTCGAAAAGCTTGGTATCCGAAATGCCGCATCGATTAAACCACTCGTGACTTCTTGACCACGTTGATTTCTCTGTTCAAAAGCCTCATCGGATGTTGTTTTTGCGTAAGATCGGCTGAAAAATATTTTTTTCTAGCAACTCAAATAATTAAAAAATTACCTGGAAGCAATTCCACGTCTGCAAATACGCGGCAAGAGTGTCGTCATTTGTGAAATCCGAATCTACACAAATCATACATTTTCCGCATTTGCTGTAAAAAACTTTTGTAATTGTAGAAATCACTTATCAAGTGCATTTACTTCAAATAAACGTAGACAAATAAATTTTTATTCTGCAACATAGATTTCACTCAAAATAGCAATAAAACTTTGGAAACAAACGTTACTAAACAGAGATCGATTGCTTATTTTGGTCGCTTTTGCCACGCTTCCATCATTTTCGCTTGTACATCCCCTAAATGCATTTTATCGAATAACAGCCCAAAAACTAAATTACCTAGTTTATCATAAAAACAGTCTTCTGGGAACATGTTTGGGTCAAAAAGCGACTTTGAGAAATTCGTTCCTGTCTCGTCGATGTTAAACCTGAATAAAATATCTTAATTAAAATAAGAAAGCAGCTTCAAACATATTTCAGAAATTGTAAATAATAAAGACCTACCTCTTTTTGATGTTTACATAACCGCTTGGATTAGTGAATTTTCGATCACTCTGTAGTAGACCATTAAAATCAAATCCATTCGCTTTCTGTTCAAAACAGCGAGCAAACTTCTCCTAAAATGGGCATGCTACTGGAATCCGTTACAAAAACTAACCATCACTTTTGGATCGGGATCGTCTTCTGCATCTGATGGCAATTCACAAGGACCATCCTCCTAAAATACAAAAAAAACCTAATGGCTTGGTAATTAGCAAGGTTGATAATCATTAAAAATTATTTTAAAACGTGCAGGTTACTACACTACCTTTTCTGGCCCTTCAACATATTCTTTGTCGTCAATTTGGCCAGGCATTGGACTAGGAGATCCGGGAGAACGATCATCAGCAAACTAAAGATGGAACTTTGATGGGCTCTCAGGAAAAGAAATACCATATGTCCTTCATTTATCGCTTCTTGACCTTCTCTGATTATCTGGTCGATGGTTTCTTCATCATCGTAAGACTAAATACCCAATATGAAGCCTTCCAAGATGTTCCAAGATGTGCTTTAATTTGCTGTAGCAGCAGCATAGATAGAGAACCTATCAATAAAAAGTGATAATGCAACTACCTAGTTAACTAGACTTTAGTCGGTTCCCCGTAACTTAACATTAGTGTTCAAGCTTTCAACAGTCTTACAAAAAAATCAAATCCCTACTAATCTAGCAGGTGGTCGTGGTTCCTTGTTTTCCCTTTCATGTGATTCGACTTTTGGTGATGATTGTCGCATTTCCATTCCTGATCTACTGCTGCTGCCACTGCTTTCCGGGTCATCCCTTGGTTTCATCCTCGAATCTTCTCGATGCTCTAAAAAGCAAACTACAAAATCGAAACAAACCAAAATATTTACCGTTATCATATTTAGTAAATGTGTCTTCTTCGCCTGAGTATCCAACGAGAGAAACCACGCTTTCAACCTAAACAAAATGTATTTAAACACAAATAAGAAATAGCTTTACTTTATGGAAATTTGTGGCAAATACTGAAGGTGGAGTGTTTCTTCTATTGTTGTGTCCAGGTGGAGGCGGGGGTTCTAAGGGAGAAGCTAAAACTAGGCAATTATAAATTGTGACACAAAGTCATAATACCTGATTTGTTACTGGACCGTCTTTCTTCATCGCTGTCATCCGCGTTGTCAAATGTGCCATCTAAAACGACGATTATCAGAAAATCAAGATTATCTTCAACCAACCATCCCACAACTCAGATTCCTTTCTCACATTTTTGCTTACATCCATCGGGCTTTCGTCGACATTTGATTGAGTTCCTAAAAAGTTGTCGAGTTTTAGTATCCTTAAATTCCATACTTTGGTCTCCTGTGTCCATTTCTTCATTGCTGTCCGAATCGTCACCTCCATAAGCGACGAGTGATGGAAGAGACATCGGTCTAAAAGGAAAAAGTACATGAAAGTTTTTTACGACAGAGGAAAACAAGAAAAACACACGAAAGAGTGAAGAGGCAAATGGATAAAATACTTTAATTTTCCAGATTTCCAGAATTTTCAGATATTCAGTTATTTACTTGTGATTGCAATATTTACCAAAATGCAAGGTTTTAAAAGTTGAACGGCTAAAAGTTTTGGTTGGCTAAGCTTTGTTACTGGCATGCTAATGCAAAAATGCGTGCGCTGTTTTTCGAAATTATAAGACCCCGTAAAGTAAAGATATGTTTGTAGTGTATAGTCGCCGCCGCTAAACGGCACCCAAACAACCGTATTTGCTGGCGTAAGTCCAGCCGCCTACTGTCGCTTGGGTCAAACTGGGACATAAATCGATACCCAAGAACACCTCCCGCTCACTCTCTTGACAGTTTGACCCCGTTCCCTTTTCTTTTGGCTTAATTTTTGAATCATTTTTTGTTTTAACTTTACAAACTCTTATCCTTTCAGGATCAAGTCAAGATGTCGGACGATTTGGAAGTGAAGGAGAACCTCAAAAGAACGCACGATGAGTCGAATGGACCCGCCTCAAAGCGAGCTCACATTTCTGACAAAGACGATGATGGTGCGTAAAGTTGTTTTATTGTTGTTAACTAAAAAACTCTCAATTTCTGTTCTATTAATTTTTGTTATAAAGCTTATGCTTCAATCTTACCTAACTAAGAGCTAACTTGATATTTTTAGATACGGTTCAAGTGAAGGTGCTGATCCCGTCAGCGGCTGTTGGGGCTATCATTGGAAAGGGTGGAGAGACGATGCGTAACTTGAAGAACGACAGCAAATGCCGAGTCCAAATGAGCAAAAATCAAGAAGTGTATCCAGGTGTGTTATCTAATGAAGTACGTTATTTTCTCTTTTGTAGGCACCAATGAGCGGATTTGCTTGGTGAAAGGCAAGGTCAGTCATGCTATGATCGTCATCGAATCCTTAGCCGAGAAGATTCGAGATAAAGTTGAAGGTGTCACACGAGATCCTTTTGATCATAAAGACACCCCTCGCGCACAAGAGGTTTTATCCCTTTTACATTCAGCTTATCTGTAATAATTTAGATTAAACTTCTTATGCCCAATACCTCAGCTGGAATGGTTATTGGAAAATCCGGAGCTAGCATCAAAGAGATTCGTGATGGTTGTGGATGCCAAATTCAGGTAAATCTGGTCAGATAGATCTTACTCGTGGTATATTTTAGGTTTTCCCAAAGTCTGGCAGTGTAGAGGCAAAGAACTCGGTCGAAAGAGTAGTTACTGTCGCACACGAAGACGTTTCGGTTAGATTTAATTTTTTTACGAAACGTCAATGGCTTTAGAAGCTTATGGAGGCTGTCCAACGCGTTTTGGAGAAAGTGGCTGCGGATCCCATGCACGCCCAGCCAGTAGACAGCAAGGATCATGAGAACTTTGGAATTGGACCAGTGCGTTGTAAAATATTTGTCTCTAATTTTTCTGTTATAGCCAACCGGTAACACTGGAGGCTTTGGATCTTCAAATCAAAATGCTGGTGGATTTGGAGGCAATCAGAACTTTGGAGGAAACAAATTCAACGGAACTGGCAATACAATGCAGTTCAATCCGATGCAAGGATTAGGCAATAATGAGGTTTTAAGAAATTATTTGGTGATTAAGCATTGTGAGTATTTTAGCTCCTTCAGTTCTTGGATAGTCTCCAATCGACTCTCCGCACCTCGGGATTTAACGAAGCCGCTGTCGCGGAAGTGATGCAAGCAATGCAGGTTTGTGTTATCATTTGGGTAACATTTCATTTTTTGTTTGTTTTAGATTCTTGCCAAGTATAACATCATGGGGCTGGGTCTTGGTCTAGGAGTGGCAGCGATGGCCCAGATGCGCTCTGGTAATGAGTCAAGCAACTACGGAATGCAACAAAGCCAGTTCGGAAGCACTCAAAATTTGGACAACTCGTTCAGCAGTGGAATGGGAGGAGTAAGTACATTTTTTCTATATCTTATTTTACGGCTGTAGACTGGTACTAATGCCGGTGGGCAATGTTGGGGATACAGTGCTTCCCAGTTGGGGCAACAGCAGCAGCAACAGCCTCAGAACCAGCAACAAACGGTCAGTTTTAGCATGCCCTTAGTTTACCAACTTTTTTACTAGTCTCACCTCTGCAAGACTTTGCTATGTGTGTTTGTTTAGACCACATTAGGCCGTTTAAATAACGTTGATGCTGGTGGATTCGCCAGTACAGTCATGGTCGAGCGATTTGCTTCGACCGAAGGAAACACCGAGCTAGAGGTATGCAAGCGGTGTCATTGCGCAGTTTTGCAACTTGACGGCTTTGTTGCAGAGCATGTTGCCGATTGACATTCATAAGATCTCATCTTTGTCTTAATCCCATCTAAATAATTTGCAAGAACGGCCGAAGTCTTTTGTACAAAATCTTTTGTCAACCTTAACCAATGAAATTTAATGAAAGCTGTTTAGGCAAATTACTTTCAGACAAGCTTTAACCACTACTCTTATTGTATCTTTTTCACTCTTCTCTTGCAGGTCCCAGATGCAGTTGTTGGCGCTATTCTTGGCCCTAAAGCCAGAACTCTCGTTGAAATCCAGCAAAAGACTGGATGCAAAGTCGTGGTCCACAGATCGGGCGACGGAGACTCGGATGTCTCTGAGGGAAAACGGCTCGTTAGGTTGATCTTATCTTCTTCTTTTCAATACGAAATATTATTTCTTAAATGCTTCTCCAGAGTCTTTTCTGAATCGAAAATCTTATCTCCTTAAATAACTTTTGCGAAAAAATACTCTGGTGACACCGGTTTGCATATCTCTAGGCCAAAATTTTGGCTACTGGTTAATTTAATTTAATTTCAGTCTAACTGGCGATCGTGATCAAATGAAAAACGCTCGCAAGCTCATAGAAAAGATCATCAATGATTTCCAACAGCGCCGAAAAGAGGTTCAACATTAATCCTTTCAATATCTTTCTCTTCTCCTTGAGCTCTATTGTATTTCTTCAATTCTTTCGGTCATAAAGCAAATCGCTCTCTCTTTACTGTAACCCTAAGTTGTTGTATTCTTTGTCAATTTTGCGTTTCACGAGCTGCTAACTTATTGATTTTTCTATTTTGTCATATTGCTATTACAATAAGTTATTTCTTTGCAAAAAATTTTCATTGATAAAGCTACCACTTCTATCATTTCCTGTTGAATAAATGAACTTTTGTCATTTTGCCTTCTATTTTAGTCTTTTTAATTCATGCTACAAGCGAAAGTCCTCACGGTTTCTTTTACTCATCATTGAAATGAGAAAACGGTTTTTCTTTTCCAAATAATCCGGCATCCATTCAATTGACCAAGAGTTGGATTATATTGATGCCAAAGCGGTGTCTGGTATCCATATGCCGAGCTCAAGCCAGACACCCATCTACTCTACTACATTGCGCCTTTCATTTCATTGAAGATTTTCTCATTCGAACGATTTTGCTTACTCAAAATAGTTAAACATGCTGATGTTTTCAGGTATGTCACAATCGGCAAGACTAGCAGAGGCAGATCAATGCGAGAAAAAGGCTGCCGAATGGTCAGCTTTTAAAACTTCAAGCATATAACCATTGTTTTTAGTTTGAAAACCTCGATGATCAAACTGAAATTCAATCCCGACTATGACGGTGCTGCCACGGCTTTGGAGAGAGCATCAGTCTGTTATAAGAACGCCGGGGATCCGAAAAAGGTTTAATTTTCTTTTTGAGATGTACCCATTTGATTTGTATTCAGGCAGCAAAAGTGCTTCAAGATGCGGCAGGCTATTATGAGCAAACGAGGAATGGGTTTCATGCCGCAAAGTACGTTTCTTTTGAAGATTATTGTTGTGAGAAGCTAATAGAAAATTTTGATTTTTCGTTAACGCTTAAATTTAGGGCAAGAGAAAATGCAGCAATATTGCTACGGGATGCTGGCGATACGACGGCCGCTTTCACATTGCTTGAACAAGCCATTAACGGGTATTTTTTCGTTTGTAAGAACTCTTCAAGCATAGGTAGTAAGAACAAGCGTTTAAACATTTCAATTTTAGTTATGCTGAATGCGGAAGTATGGATACCGCAGCTTTGTCAATTGATCGAGGAGTGAAATTGGTGGAGAAGGATCAGCCTGAAAAAGCGATAATGGTATAAAAGTTTTTTTGTCTTTCTCTTTATCAAAAAGTTTTTAGCTTTATGAACGTGGACTTGAATTAGTGCAGCAAAGTGATCGCTCGAAAATGGCTGGAGAATTTCTTACAGGAATTACGAAATTGAGCCTTCGGTATGTTGAGACTTCTAGTGTTGATATGCAGTGAGTTTGTTCCATCATCTTTTTGTTTCGTTTAGATTAGAAGATTACCCTCGAGCAATACGATCGATTCGTATGGAAATTGAAAAATATGCAGAAGTTAAAGTGAGTTTGTTCCATAATCCTGGTCTTACTATTGGTGAATTTTAGGAATCACTTCGTATTGGTCAATTAGCGCTCGGCGCTGTTCTTGTACAGCTAGCTCGTGAAGATTATGTTGCAGCACTAAAAGAATACGCTTGGGCTATTCAGTGAGTTTGTCATTAATATAATGTTAATAACTTTGTAAAACTTTGTAATTTAAGTTTTACAGGCAGTGTCCGGACTTTGAACGAACAGACGATGCCGCGGCGTGTCAGAGTTTAATTGCGTCATATGAAGCTGGTGATGATAGCGCTTTCCAGAATGCCCTCCGGCGTGGAAATGTGAGATCAATGGATAATGATGTAAATATATGATTTTTGAACAATTAATATTTTTTTATTTAGTATCTTCGCCTTCAAAAGAAGTTGAAAGTTCCGACAGTTGTACGCTCAGAAGGCGGATTAGAGGAAGACGATGATGATTTGCGATAATTAAAATTTCACATCTATTCAGAAAATCATTTTAATTTTATCTCTGATGTTAGTTCTAGATAGTTAGTACTCTAGTCAAAACCGCAAAATTGTGATTTTTCTACTAACTTGCTGTAGCTTCATTTCCGGTTAGATGATCTCTATTCGTGTTTGTGTTTTGGGGCAATACTGTTAGTTGATGCCTTCATTGACCATTCCATTTTGCCATAATTGTGTTCACTTGTGCTTGTTGTGTGTAGCTTATTGTACATTTTATGTATTCATTTGGCTATCAGGGATAAATTATGGTTTTTAATTGTTGTTTTGACCAAAATGCAGAAACATGATGACATTACTTGAAAATGATTTAAACTCGAAGAATCAACTTAACTGATTTTGATAGATGTTTGCACAACAAGACCCGCTGATACTGGAGAAAGAGGATTTGGTGCAGGCGTTATTTGATGCATTGCCGAGCGATGGTGAGTACGCTCACTTGTGATGAACAACGCGAACGTCGAAGTAATAACATCAATCCACTTTTTAGACAAGTACGCATATCCCGGTCCATCAGATCTGAACAACATTGGCAGTCTTTCGCCCCTCGCAGCTGATATTGGTCTCGAGTTTTTGAAAGAAACCTACGTAGGTCCTATGAATCCTCGGGCATCTACAAAGAAGTAGAAATTTACATATTAAAACGATTAAAGCATAACGGCAAATTTTGTACTGTAAGTGGCAAGTTTTAGGGATACAATTTTGACGCCTTTGACCTCGACGACTTCTCACCCGAGCCAGGAACAAGCCGAATAGAGGTAAATCACAAAATCTATTGTCAAAACATCAATTGTCTCTCAGTTAAAACCAATTCGGAGTCACCGAAAGAAGTGCAATCTTTGCGGGAAATGGTTCTTGTCAAGGTGGAAAGCAAAAGCTTGAATCTAAATTAAAATTTAGAAGGAGACTGTTTGCGCACAAAACACTGCATTATCCGAATCGACGGGTCTGCCTCTTCTGCGGAATCGTTTTGAAGTAAGTTTTAGCGGAAAAGAGCGTACTGATGGTTTGTTGATCAAAAAAACAAATAGCTATATAGCGATACTCGGTTAAATGCAAATTTTGGTTTATTCATAGTTCGGCAAAGATTCTTGAAACCCCGTTTCAGACCTGATGTTGATTATTCAATTCACTTGGAAAGAAAACATCATCGTCCCCGTTATGGATGGGATGAAAGCAATGAAGAGGTGAAGAGCAACGAGAAGTTGACGTGCTTTGAGTGCGGATATGAGGCGAATTCGGTGAAACAGCTGTGGAGGTGAGAAATTTTCCAACTAAGTCAATATCTTTACCCAGGCATGGCACCCGAACAAAGCACGCAACTCGTCCGACGAAATTGCGAATCGCCGAGTGGTTTTGCACCGAATGCCCATATAGGACTCGAGTGAAGATGAATTGGCAAAGGCATTTGTGGAGAAAACACAAGATTGGGTAGAGTTTTTTTTTGCGAACTGTCTGAAAAACATTGAGAGACTTCAAAAATTCAATGATAAAACTTCTAGAAAGCCATCCAATGCCCCAAAACTAGCGACCACCGATGAGCGAATGTGTTCAACGTGTGCAAAGAGTTTCGCAAATTTGTCGAGCTTAACGCGACATTTTAGGTAGTTCAAGATCGCAATTATTGTATTTGCTAAAAGAAATTCATTAGAAAAAAAACTATCGTGATAAAGTTTGATAAAGTTCACTCAATTGACCCAAATTTGGTATCATTCGATGAGGATTCGACAAGGCTCAGTCAAAGAAAACAAAATTAGGCCGATTGGATGTAAAATAGCGGTGTAAAAATGGTGCCTTTTAAAAAAATGAAAGAGAAACAATTGAAGAATGTAGCCTCAATGTAGCCTCAAGAAATTAAACATTCAAATCAAATTCAAATGGTCGCGTCCGTTTCCTTCCTATTTGCGTTGCTATTTTGCAATTATTCGCGTCGCATTTTTCGCCCTTTTCTCCCTTCCCGAAATTGTTTTTTTGGTCGGCGGGTTGCTTTTGCCTTCCCTCTTGGGGACTTTTGTTGTTTCTTTTGATGCGCATGCTGTCTTTGTAATAGGTATTGTTGCTTTTTGGTTTTGTACTAATAAACAGTAAAAATATAAACTCAACTTACTTTTTTAGCTACCCTTCAGGTTTTAAATCCTGTTTAGATAACTGGTTTAACATTGTAGCGAGAGCTTACTAACATTTGTGTCGCCACCGACGAGTATTAATCTTGTGTTGGATGCTGCTCGTTCTTGTTATGTTGTAAGCGCTTTGGGGAAACCCTTTTTAACCTTCTTTGTGCAATTCGGCTATTCTGAAGCAAAATCATCCTCGATGATAAGGTTAAAGCGGGTCGCACCCCAAACTGGGGGCCGAACCGATCCACAAGCCTTTGGGAGGACGGTGGTTGAACCAAGAGGAAAAATGAAAGATCCAGCTGAACAGAAAGGCTGAAAGGGATCTGTTAGGAGAAACGGTTGATCCGACTCTTATGACCCGAGAGAAAGGGTAAATTTTGACCTCATTGGAATCATAAGTCGAATAGAAAGACTTGCAGAGGCGCTTTGAACAAACATTCGTTTAGTTCAATGAATCCGACCAGGAACAATTCATTTGTGATTTGAATCAATTATTTTCCTCATGAGTCGAAGAATTTTGATTCTTGAAAGTATCGGCATATTTCTTGCGCATGAAACTCCGAAATTACTTTCCCCACGATCGTTATTCGCAAATTTACACCCATGTTGATTATATTGCTTTGTTTTCGATTACTTTCCGTCTACAACGCTAATTTATATATTTTCAGGGTAAATTGAAAAGATGACAGGCAAGATAACTGATGCTGCGAGTCGACACGAAGAGGGGCTCCTAGAGAATGTAAGTGTTTCGAAACAAGTGTTTGGGAATCTTGTGGAAAAGCTGAAAGAAGGCGTCGAAGAAAAAGTTGAAACTCTTGTAAGTGTTCTATGCTCTTGCAAGAAAACAACTAATCGTCAAAAAGCGGCCATTAGCATCGAGAGCAAGAAATTGCTTGAAGAGCTTTGGCTCGACTGCGATAAGTTGAAGGAGGCGGAAGCAAAATTGGCTGAAGCCTACGCAATAGAACCGAAAAGAAAGGGGTTGCGGGGAATGATTGTATGATCAAAGTATGCAATGAACTGGGCTTTGAATCGAAAGAAGCGCTTACAGAGTTCTATGAGAAATACATAGAACAGAAAGAGTTGATTGACTCACTTTGCGATACGTTTATGATCAAGCAAACAGAGTTGATTAGGAAAGTTGATAGATGTATTGGAGACCACAATACACTAATAAAAATTTGTGACATGTTGAACTGCAAAGAGGAAGAAGCATATTCTGTTATTCAGGCGATGCTCACCGATTCGGTCGAAGACAGGACCAATTACATGAAGGAGCCCTCAGCCTATAAGAAAGGTATAAAGTTTGAGGAGCATATAGAGAAGGAGTGGGAAAGAGGAAACAAGTATTTGATTCAGGCATCACCGTTGCGCACCGCGGAGACGATGATGAGCCAGAGCCACTGGAGGGAAACACTCGAGGAAGGAACAACGCAGAACGGTATGGGGGATAGTAACGAGTCAAAACTCACCACAAAAAACATAACAGTTGTTGACACAGCCGCAGCGTTCCTAGATGCCGCATATGTATCCAACTTACCCCCGATCAAAACGTTCGCAAATAAGCCCAACCAAGAACCCTTTTGCGATTTTGTTCTCTCGATAAAAGCGCGCTTTAATGCGACCACCTCAGAAGAAAAAAAGCATTATCTCTTCAAGACACATTTGATTGGAAATGCTAAATCGATCTACGAGACTATACCCAAATATTTGAAAGAAGGCTCGTTTGATGGCATGGTCAGCTATATGAGTAGCGAACTCAGAGGACCCGCCGCCATGGCTAAAATAGTCGCACAGAATCAACTCACCGCCTACACTGGTTCAATTACGGATCTTATTGGTGCTTGCCAACGCATTGAAACACTGGCACAACAAGGATATCCTAACGCTGCAGAAACAGAACAGCGGCTCGGGCAGCAATGCCAAGCTCTGCTAAGAATTTTAGACGGCGACCCAGGATTTTCCAGCTTTGTTGAGGCATGTGTCGATAAGCAAGGAAATCTGACCCAGTATACTGAGTTGAAAAATCGTCTTCTCCGTAGCCAATACTATTCCAAGCTTTCCATGACACCCAAAATTCAAGTCATTCAACCAAACCAAGGATTCAATCGCCGATTCAATTCTTTTGTGCCGAATCGCGGCAACAATCAGGCGAACATGCAGCCACAAAAACAAATGAATAGATTAAATAGTAGTGAATGGTTTCAGAATTCTACGGATTCCAACCAGCAAAATGGTACGGAGAATTTGAATTACTTCGGACAGAAGCCTAGAGAAACAATGCAACAAGTATCGAACGGTAGAAACGTAAACGCGCGGAGCTTGCGAAACAACAATTGCTTTAAATGCGGAAAGTCCGGACATAGTATACGGTTTTGTCACAAAAACCAAACCGTTAGCCAGATTGTTATAGGCAAGGAAGCTGTACAACAAAGAGAGGTGGCGTCCGTCACACTGGGTCAAATCCCAGAGGATTTCTTGGCCCCTACTCAGAACAAAGGAAATCATAACTCGTGCAAGTCAAATGGTGTCGTTTGGTCGATCCGTGTCGAGTGTCCCGAGGTCAGGGAGATGAGTGTGGTGGCCGAAAAGAATCACGATGGCCACGTGAGCCCCAATAGGCCCATACTCGGTTGTGTTTTTGTATTCAATACAACCAACCCCCTGGCTTCGAGCGCGAATCTTGTGAAATTATGTCCCACTAACAAAAATTTTGTCTTTATTTGTTGTACACAAGTAGGTTCGCCGGTATCGAGCAGGAACATCTCGATTGGGGCTGTAAGTCGAATTCTACAGCTGAGTCTTTGGGAGGCTTTAGCGACTTGGTATCCTACTGCAGCTGGACCAAGTTTTACTGACGATTTGTCGAGGTTTTTGGGAAACCTGGGAGAAGACAGGTTTTTGGGAAACCTGGGAGAAGATCGGTTTTTGGGAAACCTGAGAGAAGAGAGGTTTTTGGGAAACCTGGGAGAAGATAGGCTTTTGGGAAGCCTGAACGGAGAAAGGTTTTTGGGAAACCTTGTCAAGAGCGGTCTTTGGGAGACCTTGCCGACTGTTTTGAGACAGTTGAGGAATGGAAACGTTGTGCTAAGTGCTGCACAAAAAGCTTGTGTGTCGCCGACGGATTTTCGGCTTGCTGCGGTGGTCATCGACCCAGGCAACTATTGAGGAAGGGGAACTCGACCCCTAAATCCCATTTATTTTGCTTAAATCAGCTATTTTATAACCCAATATTAAGTGAATCGAATTCTAGTATTTCACGTTCTTTAACTGTTAATGAATTGAGAATGGTCTCCATAAAAGGTGACCAAAGCGAATTTACGGGAGAACAATTGAAGCTTCGGGGTCAAATTGCTTTTTATGGATGCTACTATAGTGATTGACACAGGCGCAGATATCTCGCTAGTATCTAAAGCATTTTTAAGAAAAGCTAACTCGAATCCACATGCGGCCTTGAAAAATTTCGATATTTCCCTTGAAAGAAAATCGGCTCAAGAACTCCACATTCTTGATGCTTCAAGAAATTTGATGCCATTAATCGGACGTTGCAAACTGCCAGTGAAAGTCAATGACGGCCAGACGGCAACCATCGGTTTTTATATTCTTGATCGGGAAGATGACACAGTGTTGCTAGGTATGAACGGTCTACATAAAGCAGGAATTCGTGTCTCGTTGTGGGTTGATGAAGAATCTATCGCCGCAGATAAGTCACCAATTGAAACAAAGCACACAACTGTGAGCTTTACAAGCAATGAAGTCATACTACCGGGCAGTAACCGAATTATACCTATCCGAGGAGAGTACTCAGGAGTACACCTTGTGTCGTTCTTTAAGCATGAATATGTTGTGGCTTTGGACAAAAATGGCAATGGCAAATTACTAGTTCGAAATGCACAAGAAAACCCCCTCTTGTTGCGTAAACGTGACCCTCTTCTAGCTGAAATGATCGATGGGAAAAATGTCATCGAATGGGAGGCAGTTGAATCACAACTAGGAACAAAGTCCACCAAACAATGCTCGGAAATGTTGAATTTGAATACGGAGAATAATCAGTGCACCGCTGAACAGCTTTTTGACTCAGTGCGAATTGAAAGTATTTGGCACAAACTAGTTGAGAACAAATGCCCTATAGATACAGAGTTACAGGAGATCATCGCTGAATTTGCAGATGTGTTTGCGCTATCGGATTTTGAGTTGGGACAGGCGAAGCACGTTCAACACTTTATTGATACAGGGGACGCCTTGCCAATAAAGCAGAAAGCTCGCCCAGTACCACTCGCAATGATTGATACAGTCAAACAAATGTTACAGAAGCTAAAGGATCAAAAAGTTGTACAGAAATCTAGTTCACCGTGGGCTTCACCTGTCGTGCTAGTTAAAAAGAAAGACGGAACCATACGTCTCTGTATTGATTATAGGAAACTGAATATTCTGATGAAACAGGATGCGTTCCCACTGCCAAATATGGATTTGACGCTACAAAGCTTGTCGAACAAAAAATTCTTCTCCACCTTTGATATGGTTGCGGGCTTTTGGCAAATCCCAATTGCCAAAGAAAGTGCTGAGAAGACAGCTTTTGCTATCTTGAATGAATTACTAGAATTCACCGTTATGCCATTTGGACTCTGTAACGCTCCAGCCACTTGTCAAAGACTAATGCATAGCGTTTTAGAAGATCTACTTGGAGACACGGTCTTCGTGTACATTGATGACGTGATTATCGCAACAGAAACTTGGGAGAAACACCTAGAAACATTTCGGAAAGTTCTGAGCCGGATGAGATCCGAAGGACTAAGATTTAAGGCATCAAAATGTATGATTGGACAAAAATCAGTAAAATTCTTGGGTCACCTGATCACTGACCAAGGAGTTCAAACCGATCCCGACAAGATCGAAAAGATCATGTCATGTCATGCACCGAGATCTGTTTCAGAACTACGTACTTTTCTAGGAATGTGCTCCTACTACCGTAAATTTATACTTGGCTTTGCGAAAATAGCTGGACCTTTGTATATATTGACTTCGACAAATGTTCATTGGAATTGGACTGAAGCCCAAGAGTCAGCTTTCAGACAGCTCAAAGAGAAATTGTGCTCACCTCCAGTTTTAGCTCAACCAGATGTAAATTTGGCCAGAAACGGCACAAAGCCATTTATTATTTACGTTGATGCTTCGAAATCTGGTTTAGGTGCTGTCCTTTGTCAAGAAGATAACAAAAAGCAATTGCATCCGATTCATTTCATGAGTAGAAGGCTGAATAGTGCCCAAACAAAGTATCACCCTACCGACCTTGAAGCGCTTGCAATCAAAGTTGCCTTAGAAAAATTTCGTCAATACATTTATGGTTTAACTGTGATCGTTCGCACCGATCATCAGGCACTCGTTTCGTTGTTAACTCGAACAAACTTGGCAGAAAGAACAATGAGATGGGCGTTAGAAATTCAGGATGAAAATATAAAAATTGAGTATGTGAAGGGAATGGCCAACAAGGTGGCCGATGCATTGTCTCGTGGTCCGCTTGTACTTTCGGAATTGGAACAAGCCGAAGAAGCCAACACAAGCAAGTATGGGCTCGACAGAATTGTAAATGAAATGTTTGTAGGTGAGACACGAGAGTCGAAAGACTCATGGCAAAAGAGTATGGAAATGGACCCAGCTTTTGAACAATTTAAGAGATTCTGGGAGAATCAAAAGTGGGACGAGTCGGTTTGCTTTGAAGGAAACAAAAGCCCCATGAAAATGGGTGACTTTGTGTTCTCGGAAAACAAGATATTTTATGTTGTTAGGGATGGAACGCTTAGAAGATGGGTGCCATTTAAAGCTCGTAAAGAACTTTGGGAAACAATTCATAAAGGTGTTCTTGGAGGACATGCCGGTACAAAAGCATGCATGGAGAAACTTTCCAAGGAATTTTACTGGCCCTTTATGCTAGCAGATTTGAAGCTTTGGCAGAAACAATGTATCAATTGCTTGATACACAATCCTCGTCAAACGCTAGTCCCGCCTCTACATCCTAGAATTGCAAAAAGACCTTTACAGACCATCGCTGTTGATCTGATCGACTTGCATTACCCGACAACGAGAGGAAACCGGTACATTCTTACGGTTTTAGACCTGTTCACGAAATTTGGATTTGCAGAAGCACTGGTCTCTAAAAGCTCGATAGTAGTTGCTCAAGCGCTTTTGTCATACTTGCTCAAAAACTGCATAATTCCGAGTGAAATTCTTTCAGATCGTGGCAAAGAATTTCTAAATGATACCGTTCAAAGTGTGTGTAAGGAAATGGGAATAACTTGGACTGTGGGAAAAGGCTACGTAAAAAGGGAAACCGGGTCAATTGAAAGATTTAACCAATCTTTAGAATCAATTCTAGCCAAAAACTCTGTCAGGAATTGTGACTGGGACGACATGCTACCATTTGCCCTTTTTGCGTATAATTCATCAGTACATTCGGCAACACAAGAAACACCTTGTTTCCTGGCCACAGGTCGTGATCCTGTAATTCCGATCAAGGGTGTCGATCGCGCAAAGTTGAACCCTTGTATGGTCGATCGTGATGACTATAAACTAGCTTTGTTTTCAGCCTTACAGGTAGCATATGAGGATGTCAGGGAAAATCTTGAAAAAGCGGCGGAGAAGATGAAAAAATACTTTGATAGAGAAAAAGTGACCATTGACCCTAGAGAATTGAAATCTGGCATGAGAGTGCTCTTAACTGAACCTTCCCAACCAGGAAAATTTAGCCAAAGGTTCACTGGACCTTACCGTCTATTGAAATTGGGAAACACCTCAGCAGAGATAAGTGATATTGTCAATCCAAACCGACCTATAATGAATGTGCAGTTGGAAAGATTGCGGCAAGTCCCCAAGGAAATGCCTGATACTGAAATTGTAATCCCTCACGCTAAAAGCAAAAGAAGGACCGCAATTAAAACTCAAGAAATGATTGAACCGGTCAGACGGAGTAAAAGAGTTCAAAAACTAAATTATCATGTGGATAATATGTTTTCTTTTAGGGTCTGGACCGAACTCAACGACGGTGAAGGATGGACTATGATTTCGTCCAACTCGATTGTTCACCCGGAGTTCAAACTGCCACGCCGCGTAGAAATCTCCGAGATTTGGGCGAACGGAAGCGAAGTACCAGAGGAGATCGCTTTTTTCGGCTCAACAAGTGTGAGAACGCTAGCTGGATATATCGAAGCAATGAGAGCCGGATACGACTATGAGGGATTTGCCAACTCCGAGAAGTCTCACTTCCCCGTGAGCGCAAAGTCCTTCAAGATTGCATTCCAAAGGTTGGCCAAGCTCTTCCCGGAACTTCAAGCCGACTTATGTGAAATCTACAGCTCTGGAAACGAAAATTTGAGATTGCAAGACTGTGCCTATCTGGACGATTGGGCAAAAGAAGTCTTCTTCGGAACCAGAGAGAATGTCAAGGCAAGGAAGCCGCTATCTCCTGCTCCCTTGCTGAAAGCGAAGGATCCAGCAATTGTGATGTTGACCGACACGCAAGTGGTCCTATTTGGTGACCAAACCGTCGTTCAACTGGCATATGTGCTGAAGAGCAAGGTGAAGTGTGAAATGCGAAAAGCCTCAATGAATCCTGAAGAGGATCTGAAACGACTCGCTGCTTCCATTTCTCCAACGACGCCACTGCAAGAGGTCTACATGCAAGTACCGGAAGCCACGAAGATTCTCGCCAACGACAAGATCTTTGAAGGGCTGATCAACGGAATGAAGGCAGTCAACAAAAAGCGCAACACGGTGAAAATCATCGTCTTTCCATCGCTCCACACGTCGGATTCAACCGGAGAATACGAGCGACTCTACCGCCAAAATATCTTGAAGCCAGCACTCAAACATGGCCACGAGTTGATGGATGTCCGTGATCTACAATACGGACCGTCACATCGTTTCGACACCAGGATCTACCTGCTCATGAGGACAGCCTCAGAAACGAGCCTATCCAACTTTCATCTCGAGCTGTGGGGATGTTATGTTTTGGACAATCAATGGAAAGACGTATGGATGCAAGCCATGGAATACCAAAGGAAGCCTCGTCAAGAAAATCGCCTAGCTCCGGTCAAGCGTCGACATCAAGAATGGTTTGAAGACGATGTGCCAGCTGCCTCGTCGTCGAGAATTGGTAGCCGAATGGAATCACCTCGTGGTCGTGGACGTGGTGGTCGCCGTTGAGGGAGCAAATGGTCTCATCAAAAAGGATTGCCTTGAAAGTTTGTTGAAATTTTTCTTTTTAGTTTGTCTTAACCTTGTCTTTTAACCCTTTTTGTCAGATTGTGATTATTACTCGGGCGTGGGTCCGCCCTTCTCGTGGAGGAGGGTGGTCGCGTCCGTTTCCTTCCTATTTGCGTTGCTATTTTGCAATTATTCGCGTCGCATTTTTCGCCCTTTTCTCCCTTCCCGAAATTGTTTTTTTGGTCGGCGGGTTGCTTTTGCCTTCCCTCTTGGGGACTTTTGTTGTTTCTTTTGATGCGCATGCTGTCTTTGTAATAGGTATTGTTGCTTTTTGGTTTTGTACTAATAAACAGTAAAAATATAAACTCAACTTACTTTATGCTACCCTTCAGGTTTCAAATCCTGTTTAGATAACTGGTTTAACATTGTAGCGAGAGCTTACTAACATTTGTGTCGCCACCGACGAGTATTAATCTTGTGTTGGATGCTGCTCGTTCTTGTTATGTTGTAAGCGCTTTGGGGAAACCCTTTTTAACCTTCTTTGTGCAATTCGGCTATTCTGAAGCAAAATCATCCTCGATGATAAGGTTAAAGCGGGTCGCACCCCAAACTAAATAACATTTTCAGAATGGTTCACCAAAATGAGCGCAATCACTCGTGCTCTTGTGGTCAGTCGTTTAAATTGGCTTCACACTTGCGGCGACATCAAACGCGAAGAAAATGCGCTTTAAGCAATTGATTTGAGTTTTATTTTATGATAACACTACGAGTAGTCCTTTATTTAAAGCAAATGGGTATAAAAATGTGCTTGCAATAAAGTTTTGAAAACTCTTCGTTTCTTATTCAAAGCTCTACCGTTGCTTTGAATCTCTGTGAATTTATCGATTTGTTGTTCTCTTATCAATTTCAGAAAAAACTTTTGTAGTTTTGAAAAATGTGCATGCTGTTTTTGACGTTTAATCGAGGTCGCTTCAAGTTGATCGTCGTCTCGCAAAGGGATGAGGTGAGTGTTGGAGAAAGTTTGAATAGAAAAATGAATCATGACTCGAGTAGAATCAAATTCTTTGAAATGACAAGAACTACTGGCTGCTTTTTGGTATAAAAAGTCTACTCGTTTGAATTCGATTTGAGCTAAAACGAGCTAAAACGTTCAGAACCTTTTTTTCGATTTTTTTTTTTAGAACCCAACTTTAAAATCTTATTTATCTTTCCGTTAGCAGTGCACTGATTGAAAATTTCTAGAAATTAACTTTGCTAAAAATTCTTCTTTAGGAACTTGATCGTCCTACTGCTGAAGCGCAATGGAGAGATGATATTTTAGCCGGTGAGCTTGAGCCGAATAGCTTAATGCTCGAGTTTTTAGTTTCTTTATAAAAAAGAAAATTCATTATAAAGTTGAAAACAATTACAGGCTATGATATGAAAGATCCCGCGCAAGGCACATGGTTTGGAGTGAATCGAAAAGGTCGAGTCGGTGTGGTGCTCTCGATCACACAACCCCGCGGCACGAAACATCAGAGTGCGCCCAGTAGAGGTGAAACAAAAATTAATTCTTCATAAGAAGTATATTCATTCTAAATCGCTTAAAGTTTAGCCATCAAAACCTAACTACTAGGTGCAATTGTGAAAGAGTATTTGGCGTCAAACGAACGTCCCCTTGACTATTGCGGAGATCTAGCGAATCGATCACAAGAGTTCAACGGTTTTCAATTTATCGCTATAAATCCGTGAGTAAAAAAAAAGCTTTTAGTTTTACAGTTAATACCCAAAAAGCTTCTAATAATTCTTTTTAATATTCAAAAAGTTTAGAGAAGCTTCATCAGACTTCTCGATGTGGTCAGTGACGAATATGTTTGTCGATCAGATCACGGTTAGAGATTGGAGACCGGGTGAGGGATTAGTTAACTCCCTTTAGAGTAAAGGAGATCAAGTGCGTTGTGGTGTATTGGTTAGTATCGTTGCTCGGTTAGCTTTTTAGCTTTTTAGCTATTGTCATTGTTCGATCTTTGCTGAAAGATCGCAGGTTCGTTCTCGGCGGCGCGGGCTTTCTTGATCTGCCCTAGTTCCAACTGATTTGAAAATTTAGAAAACGAATCTTTAATGATAGAAACGGTAACTCCAACTGTTTTTAGAGTTTTTGATTAATTTTTTTCCTTTAGAAACACATGTGATCGGCAACAGTCCACCAGAAATTCCGTTTGAGAAAACGAAACGAGGGGATAAAATTTGGAATGACGCTTTGGAAGGAGTAAGAAAAGAAATTTTTCTTTAAAATATATTAAAGATAATAGAATCAAATTCTTTGAAATGGCTTTGAAATGACAAGAACTACTGGCTGCTTTTTGATATAAAAAGTCTACCCGTTTGAATTCGATTTGAGTACTTAATAAATTTCTTATTTTAGAAAGAGTAATAGATACTTAATAAATTTCTTATTTTAGATTCTTGATCTCGAAGACGAGCGACAAATTGCCGAGTCGCTGCTTGAGGCGATCGACGACGATGAAAGGTGGGCTAAAAAAAATCAATATTAATCAATTAACAAAGCAAACTTCGATCTAAATAATCTGGAGATCTCAGTAATCTGGAGATCTCAACAAATTTCTTCAGATGTTTCCCCGATCCGCAATTAGCTGTTCAAACGGGTCTCCCAGAAGATCATCCATTTCTCGAGCCTCTCTCCTCGTTGCGAATCGTTTATCCAAAAGAGAGTGGCATTCGATACGGTAAAGGTTTAAATTTTTTAATATCAATCGACAGAGAAAGACTTGATGCATCTAATGGTATCAAAAATATTACAATTGAACAGCTCAACACCAAGATATTTGAGCTCAAAGTTAGATTGCTAATGGGAAAAGGGCGAGGCGCTTATCAAATGTCTGATAACCTTTAAATTGAGCTAAAGAAACCAGTCGAAAGCCAAGAAATATAAAATCCAAGTATCAATCTGTTTTCTAGGCACTCGAAGCTACACGGTTTTGCTGATCGATGAGGAGGGATCGGGCTATTTGCTCGAGAGACGTCTTGTCGGAAATCCAATCGACCCGCATCAACCAAAATGGGACACCGTTGAGCATTGGTTTGATGTCGAAAAACCGCAATAGATTTACATCTGACTTTTAAGTTTACACGTTGTTATTCCCAAGATACAAATCACTCCACTTACGGCCATTTATTGTGATTTTTACTCGAGCTTTTTCATGCGTTAATCAACGAATTTTCAAAGGAATTCTGTGCCAAGAAATTCGAATTTTGTGCCTTGCTAATGTTCAGCTTTACGCATAAACTGTCGATAAAGTTTTGTTTTTTTTGAAAACGCTGACTTTCTTTTCAAATAACACAGCTTGTTTATCATGAAGATAATAAAATCTTCTGAATCATTATTCTTTTGACGTCAATGAGATTTGTCGCATTGGAATGAGGATTGGAAAGAAGATGAGGGACAACATTGTTGATGTCTACCCTTTTCTCCTCCTCTACACTCCGCAAATCGAATCAGTGTCACCGTTGATCTTCACCGACGGGGAAAAGGAAAAGCAGAAGATTTAGAATAGACAAGATGACCTTTTTCTTCTAGAATCATTGATCATACAACATTATATTAAACAAAAAAGCTTGTTTGTTTAATTTGTTTAATATAAGAACATTAAAATTTAGCAATAATATTAGCTCTGGACAAAGTTGCTGATGGCTAAGATGGCTAAGATGGCTAAGATGGCTAAGATGGCTAAGATGGCTAAGAGCTCGATGGCTAAGATGGCTAAGATGGCTAAGATGGCTAAGATGGTTAAGATGGCTAAGAGCTCGATGGCTAAGATGGCTAAGATGGCTAAGATGGCTAAGATGGCTAAGAGCTCGATGGCTAAGAGCCAAATTCTCTCAACAAATCTGTTTTCACACAAAATTGACGACTTTCGGCTGAAGTGACCGTTTCCGGTGTCTGACAAACACAATCGAATTTAGCGTTGAAAGGTTGTATCAATGATTCTAGAAGAAAAGGGTCATCAATGATTACAAGCATCAACTCTATTTTGAGTTGATGCTTGTAATCATTGTCTTGTAATCTTTTTTAGATATTGTCATTGTTCTCATAAAACCCGAGAAGTTCTGTCCTTTTCTAGAGATCTTTTTAGCTGGCATTTATGGAATTTTTAGCTTTTTAGCTATAGATTTATAAACTTTTTAGCTTTTTTAGATATTGTCATTGTTCGATTCCCATTTTCATATCCATCCGCCGTTCAACTCTTCGCTCAATAGCCATACCTTTCAAAATCCCAGCATTTCCTCATTCATCCACACAAATTTCTTACCAAATTCTACATTTGATGCTACAATCACAATGAAAAATCCACTTTCGTTTATTATGCCACTTTTCTGAGCCCGAAATACGACTCCTCCGATCCTAAACAATCAAAAGCCCAACACTTCCTCATTCTCCACCCATTTATAGGCAAAGACAAGGAAGAATTGGTTCTCCTCACTTCATTCTATTCTCTTTTCCCCCCTCCTCACCCCACTCTCCTCTCATACATATCGGCACTCATTTGGGGGTAATTGAGAGTGCAAATTCGTTTATCTCTTTCATTTCTTTCTCATCTCTTTCATTCCATTTCTCCACCTCATCCGACTTCACTTCCACGAATAGATTTATTTGCTGGTGCTACTAAACGAAATCTTTAACGAGTGTCGGCATTGAATATACAATCTTAAAAAAAAATCAAGAGTTCTAAAATCTTAGAGCCCAGCCCCTCGTGCTGTAGAGTGGTGCAAACTTTGTAAGGAGTTTGGCTTAAGTTCTTTTTGAGGTTCTTTTTGATTGAGGTCTCAACCGACCTAGAACTGGGCAACGGTGACGACTACTGGTTGAAGGTCGGCATTGAAAAAAGGGGAAAAGGCCAAAAAAGATGGGGTGGACACAGGGGAATTCGAGGTTCAATCATGCGGAAGGGATTACTCCAGAAAAGAGGATCTTTTTTTGAAGCCCATAAGGGGAGTCTAGTGAGAGTCTCTACCTCGATCTCTCCTTTTTCACCACGAGGGCACGTTATGTGGTCACTATTTCTTTCAAGAAGAGATCTTTGAATTTGGAAAGCCGATCTTTTAATCTTTTAATCTTTCGAATTCCGTTTATCCTCTAGAATATCCGTTAGAATCAGGACAGAATCCTTTAGATGCTTTGGAAAAAGGATGAGAGAGTTGTTTACTTTAAGAATTGCGGTTTGCTTTATGCTTTGAACTTCTACTATGCTTTTAGAGTTCTTAGAACTATGCTTTGAACTTCTACTATGCTTTTAGAACTCTTAGAACTATGCTTTGAACTTCTACTATGCTTTTAGAGTTCTTAGAATTATGCTTTGGACTTCTACTATACTTTTAGAACTCTGCTAAGAACTATGCTTTGATAGAAAATTATTAGTAGAGTCTGGAATTCAATGCACAATTCATTTCCTCGTAACATCGAGAAAAGGAAAGCTAGAAGAAATGGAGAGCCAAAAAGGGTTCGTTTCCAGTTTCGAGCATAAAGTACATTCCAGAGATGTTTAGAATACGGTTTTCTCCTCAAAAGATTCATTCCCAGCCCCAATTCACAAAAATCTTGCGTGCCGTGTAGCCATTTATGTCCCTCAGGACCTCTCCTTTCCCCTCTTCTCCACCACTTCAAAGGTGTCTTTATCCTCTTCTTCACACATCACAGATTCACGGCTTTCCTCCCTCTTTTTTTTTTCCAAATTCTCCCGTTTGACTCTTCTCTTTTTCTTCAGTTACCCAACAACAAATTGGCCGTTCTCCCGACGGCAGTTCTCTTTTTTTTTTTGGATTTCGGCGTAAACACTTCAACAACACACCCTCGTCTTCCCTTGTTTCTATTTTTCCTATCCAAATCTTTCCAGTCCAATCTCGCTTTGTTTCTATTTTTGGGTGGCGTAAAGCTAAATGTTTTCTATTTCTGTTTACGAAAATCCTTGGGTACACGTCTTGTGCAAAGTTTTTGAATCGACAGGATTTTGAGATTTGCAAAAAGCTCAGCAAAAAGTGCCGCAAAAATTTGTCAATAACAAGTTTTAACTCGAAATTTCAATGGTATCAGCGTTGCCAAATGCATCAAAATTGAAGTCAATAAAATTTCATTGAAGATTTTCGGGTTTTAAGATTGATTGTTCATTGAAGCCTACACTCTATTCAAATAATCACCAAGCTTTCATATTCTTGAAGGTTTTAGCTAAACTTTAGTTGTTTTTTTTAGCCTTGAAATGATTGATTGATTGATTGATTTCCCCAATTTCTTATTAAGCATTTCTCCGTAAATTAAAACCCCTTGAAGATTTGCCTAATTTGTTTTCATCGCCGATTGATGGGAAGGAGGAAATGTGTAAATTAGCCGAAATGCTAATAAGCCTAAATGCTAATTTACACATTTCTTCCTTCACATCAATCGACGATGAAAACAAATTAGGCAAATCTTCAAGAGATCTATCACGAAGGCGAAACAAAACTATTTCTTTTGTTTTCTGTTCTCTGCTTTAGACACCTTTCCATATCATTTATGATAATGTATTTTTCTTATACAAAATCCAAGATATTCTCAAACAATCTCAGCAATGGATCTCTTTTTGGCTACATCTATGAAAATTGTAGTTTTCCTAAGAAATCAGAATTGTTCAACCATTCAACTTTTAAGCCAAACACAAGTCAACGAGTCAACTAACGTGTGAAAGCTCAGCTCATGCAAACTTTTGAGAGTTTTGTGTGTGTGTTTTCGAATTCATCATCACTTCAGAACCATTTTCTTTTCTGTCGGCTGATGGCGGTGGAACGGGATTTTTTTTTTGCTTTACTTTCTTATTATTCAACAAATTCAAGCAAATTGTAAGATTATTTAGCACTAATTTTTAAGATTCTTTAAGATTTTCAAAAGAATTACAATAACTTTGGAGTTTAGCTGATCACAGTTTGAGTTTGAGCAAAATGTATCCATTGAACAAGACCGAATTGTGAGATAAGCAAAGCCGAATTGTGTCAAAGAAAAATACTATTCAATTAAAAGAATCCTTTGCTATTTTGATCAGCTTTTATAGCTTGAAACACTATATTTTACCATAGATTTTCTACAAAACGATCTTTACGAAAAACCTTGATATTTTCAAAAGTTCATTTCTAAAAAAATCCTTCAAATAACCAGTTTCTCTTTCTATTTCTTCAAAATTGCAAGTTTAAATAAATCTCGAATCAAAGCCAATCAAAGCCAATCATTCGACACAAACCGGTAATTTGATTCGCTTTTTTTTGAGCGAAAAATTCCCTTCACTCTTTTCTCTGTTCCTCATTTGTTCCCAAATGCCGAGAACACAAAGAAGTCGAGAAGACGAGCAAAGGATTTCTTTACCCCGAAAAAAAAAGAGCCGCCAATTAGGGCTGAACATCACTGAATCTATTCATTCTTTCGCAGAAATGAGTAATATAATTTTTCTTGGGAGTATAGGTTTTGGGGATTTGTATGCATCATTTACATCTCACTAGATCTACTAGATCGTTTCGACTCTATAGAGATTTTACGGTAATTGTGCATCTTTCCCACTCCACAAGCTAATATGCAAATTTGGCTTCTTATGCACCAGCTTATTGACCTCTAGATGTCTACATATTGGATTACCGGAGGAAAAAAAAAGAAATTAATGTACAGTACTGGACAATGCAATATCATATTTGAAAAGCGATCGTCACTTTCGCGCGTCTGTAACTCCCTTGTCTTTGAGTTTAAACTATTAGTGTTATACATTTTCTGAAACCTCTTTTCAAGGGCTACACAATGGTAATATTAATATTTAGAAATATGGTAAAGACAAGGGAGTTACACACGCGCGAAAGTGATGATCTTTCTTTCAAATATGATATTTCATTGTCCAGTACTGTACATTAATTTCTTTTTTTTCCTCCGGTAATCCAATATGTAGACATTTAGAGGCCAATAAGCTGGTGCACAAGAAGTCAAATTTGCATATAAACTTGTGGAGTGGGAAAGATGCACAAGTACCATAAAATCTCTATAGAGGCGAAACGATCTAGTAGATCGTTTTTCGTTTTTTTTTCACGCATACATTTCATTGTCCAGTATTTTCTCTTATCTATGTGATATGTGAAAATTTTTTTTTTTTTTTTTGAAATTTCAAATTGCGATGGGAAAAAGGTGCACAAAGTGAACAATTTACAATTTGCAACAATTTAATTTAATTCTCTGCTTTAGACAGCTTTCCATATCAGGAAGAAATGTGTAAATTAGCCTAAATGCTAATAAGCCTAAATGCCTAAAGCCTAAATGCTAATTTGCACATTTCTTCCTTCACATCAATCGACGATGAAAACAAATTAGGCAAATCTTCAAGAGATCTATCACAAAGGCGCAACAAAACTATTTCTTTTGTTTTCTGTTCTCTGCTTTAGGCAGCTTTCCATATCATTTATGATAATGTATTTTTCTTATACAAAATCCAAGATTCTCAATCAATTCTCAAGCAATCTCAGCAATGGATCTCTTTTTGGCCACATCTATGAAAATTTTAGTTTTCCTAAGAAATCAGAATTGTTCAACCATTCAATTTTTAAGCCAAACACAAGCTGTACCTTTCTTTTGCTTTACTTTCTTATTACTCAGCAAGTTCAAGCAAATTGTAAGATTATTTAGCACTAATTTTTAAGATTCTTTAAGATTTTCAAAAGAATTACAATAACTTCGAAGTTTAGCTGATCACAGTTTGAGTTGAGACTCCGCAACACTCCGCACCGTCATTATGGGGGTGGGGTACTATTACAGTATTTACGGTAGGCAAATCTTCAAGTATCACGAAACACGAAACAAAACTATTTCTTTTGCTTTCTGTTCTCTGCTTTAGACACCTTTCCATATCATTTATGAAAATGTATTTTTCTTATTCAAAATCAAAGATATTCTCAAACAATCTCAGCAATGGATCTTTGCCTTCAAAAATCTTTTTCTTTAATCTTAATCATGGGAAAGACAACACAAATACCGATTTTTTTACATTTTATCTTGAAAACATTTTCATTTTCGAAAACACAAATACATGAAATCGAAATTTATTCAAAAAGTAGCCACAGAATGATCTTAAAAAATCATTTGACTTGAGCCTTGAGCCTTGAGCCTTCAGAGGTGTGCATTGGCTTTTTGCTTAAGCTCCTCGGATTTATTATCGAAAGATCTATTTGATTTTATAACTTAATTTGATTTCAACCTCGTTACCTTAAGTTTTTTTTGATGACTAATGTACCTTTCTTTTGCTTGAATCATTAGAAAAACTGATCCTAATAGCTCAAATTTTCAAATTCCAAGTCAAAAGCTTTATTTTTCTTCGCACAAAACGTTTCCCTTTTTCTGTGGAAACCAAAACCCATTTTGACGGCTTTAATCAAAGATTTTCACTCAATTTACTCGATATCAAAACTAGAAATTGTTCTTTTAATGTTTGGTGGTAAAATGTAATGAGATGAATTGTAGTCGGGTCGCCGGATAGGGCCCCGTCTCTCCTACACCGCTTCACCCCTTCACCGCTTCACCCCTACACCGCTTCACCCCTTCGCCCCTTCTCAACCCGCTAATCTCGCCTCCAATTTTCTCTAATTCCGTCAAATTTGTTCTCGTTCTCCCCTTTGGCTTTCCCCATTTTCTTGCTTTTGGTTTAAAAATAGCTTTTCTTTGAGATTAAAAAATAGCAATATCTCAGGATGATTGAAAGAAGAATTTGGCTTTGAAGCTTTAAAAATTTTCTTATTTTCTTAAAAATATGTTTACAAGAATGTACTTTGAATATCAATATTGGAGTAGGCTAATTTCCGCAATTTTCTTTTGCGCAACAGGGCCATTTGCGCTTATTGAGATCGACAAAATGAAACCAAAATCATAAAGATTGGCCGACTTAGAAGAAAGTTATGGCGAGTTGGGCAAACGACTCAGTTGCGTAAATGACCCAGTTGCGTAAATGACCCAGTTGCGTAAATGACTCAGTCGCGTAAATGGCCCAGTCGCGTAAATGACTCAGTCGCGCAAATGACTCAGTCGCGCAAATGACTCAGTCGCGTAAATGACCCAGTCGCGTAAATGACTCAGTCGCGTAAATGACTCAGTCGCGCAAATGACCCTGCAAAAAAATTGCGGAAATTAGCCTACCCCTAAACAATTCTTTGAATTTAAATTTGCGGATTCTTCATGCTTGCTGAATTTTTTTGAAAAACATTAGATCCCTAAAATTCTCAGCCATAATTCATGAATCTCTCGATGAATTCCACTCCACATTCAATAGATTTTTCATAAAGTCTTATGCTTGAAGTCTTATGATTCAAAATTGTGAAAAATTCGAAACACAAACTAAAACAGAAGTCTACACTTTTACGTCGACACTTTCCATAAATAATTTCACCAATAATTTTCTGTTCAACAACAGGTTTTTGAGATTTCGAAAAGGGTAAAAACTTGTAAATTTTACTTTTTTCTTTAGATTAATTGTCAGTTTTGGTGAAGAACTCGTTGATTTTTAAGCTTTTGAGCATTTAGTTCTTTTTGAATTTTCAATTTCATAAACAATTTTATTTCTTTTCAATTTCACTTCACGTAAATCTTTGCCTAAACGTTGTTCTTTCGTTTTTAAACCCTTTCTAATCATCTTTACTTCGTTTTTTGTTTTGTTTTTTGAGATTTAGAAAAGGGTTTTGTTATTCTCAAAGTTATTCTTAAAATTTAGACTATTTTCTGAAATTTTCGAAATGTAACTAAACTACGAAAACTCTTCTAGCCTTGAAATTTTGAAATTTACCGTCTCTAGGGATTTAATGATTTGAAAAAGTTTCAAGTTTAAAAAAGAAATTCAAAAGATTTTCCTTTTAAGCGTCTTTTTTTTGTTGCCAACTTTCAGGATTTCAGGTATGAAGAACAGAAAATTTCAATCATTTTTCCTTTTGAAAAACAGATACCGTATTTTTGCTCTAATAGTAGTGCACCCTAAGCTTCCCCTAAATTCCTCGAAATCTCGAGAACCACTTATCCAGAACCTATCGATGTGGGGTCGGAAAATGTAGCTGACGATGAGATCTTGGGGGGGATTTGAGTGTTGAGCTTCTGGGAAAAATTGGAAACTGTAAAATAGTCATCAACTCGGCTCGCCGAGGTGCACTACTATTAGAGAAAATACGGTATATATACTAACAGTTATAGGTCTTTCATATATACTAACATCTTAGTATTGATTGTGGGTCCCACCAAGATCTCCTTTGGTTTTTAGTTATATCGTTTTTTTCTATTATATCGTGTTGCTTTTTATCGGCCCTTTTCGTGTTATATGTAATGAGTTTATGTGTATTAATCTTAAACCTAGCGCACTCTATTTCAGGGCCTGAATAAAGTATCTATAGATGCCGTATTCTCTCTAACAGTAGTGCACCCTAAGCTTCCCCTAAATTGCTCGAAATCTCGAAAAGCGCTTATCAGACCCTATCGATGTGGGGTCGGAAAATGTAGCTGACGATGAGATCTTGTGGGGGATTTGAGTGTTGAGCTTCTGGGAAAACTTGAAAACCGTAAAATAGTGATCAACTCGGCTCAGCCGGGTGCACTACTATTAGAGAGAATCGAGAAGTAGTGCACCCTGAGCGTAGTGCACCCTGAGCGTAGTGCACCCTGAGCGTAGTGCACCCTGAGCGTAGTGCACCCTGAGCGTAGTGCACCCTGAGCGTAGTGCACCCTGAGCGTAGTGCACCCTGAGCGTAGTGCACCCTGAGCGTAGTGCACCCTGAGCGTAGTGCACCCTGAGCGTAGTGCACCCTGAGCGTAGTGCACCCTGAGCGTAGTGCACCCTGAGCGTAGTGCACCCTGAGCGTAGTGCACCCTGAGCGTAGTGCACCCTGAGCGTAGTGCACCCTGAGCGTAGTGCACCCTGAGCGTAGTGCACCCTGAGCGTCGCCTAAATTGCTCGAAATCTCGAGAACCGCTTATCAGAACCTATCGATGTGGGGTCGGAAAATGTAGCTGACGATGAGATCTTGTGGGGGATTTGAGTGTTGGACTTCTGGGAAAAATTGGAAACTGTAAAATCGTCATCAACTCGGCTCGGTCGGGTGTACTACTATTAGAGAAAATACGGTAATCTTTAAATTCACATTGTTTATAAGCTCAAATCATTTTTCCATTGTCAATTTCTTTCACGTTTCCCCTCACATTTTCCTAATCTCTTTCTTCATTGATCTTTTCTAAACCAAAAAATATTCAGGGATTTACGCGATACAACGACTTTTATCCGCTCATTTTCTCCTCACCTTTTTCTGCTTTTTTTTTGGATGAACCGATTCTCTTTCCAGGCACGCCCACGGAAATCCCTTCAAAAACAAAAAATTTTTTCTTTTTACCACGATTAATCAGATGAATAACTGAATATTTGAACTTTAACGGATCTAAACGATTCAAAGAAATCATTATCTAAATTATTTATTGGAACTATCCGTTTATCACGATGAAACTCGGCCCAACGAAACACCGCATCACCACAAAGTGGGGTTTAAAACTAAGCAAAAATAGAAAGCTTTTAAAATTTTTCTAATAGTTTCCTGCACTAAGTAAGATGTGTTTGTAAAGTGGAATGACAAAACCGATAAAGCTTTAAATCGAAGCTGTTAAAATACAAATTGTGCCAGTTCATTTGTAAATTTGAAACAAAGTAAGTTTTAAAGGAAAAAAAAGTCTAAATAAACCATTTGTTAAGCGAGTATAAAGTTTTTAACCGGAAAAGTGATAGCGTTTCAGGGGATTAGGCTTTATCATAGTTACCAAGGCTTTATCATATTTACCAAGGCTTTATCATAGTTACCAAGGCTTTATCAAAACTTCTAAACGATTGTAGATCATGTCGACTAGTCTTTTAGTGAATAGCTTAGTAATTGATTTTATTTTAAACAATAATTTAAAGAGTTAAAGAACTTAAGAAAGAAGAAAGAGAAAGAGAGAAAGACAAAGAAAGTAAAAATTGAGTGAAAGCATTTCGGACCCTGTCCTCCTGCTTACCATGCTTACCAGGCTGAAGTTCTACCACTGAACTATTCGCACTTTATTTAGCCGAGAAGAAATAGGGAACACAAGGAAGAAAGAGAGGGAAATACTGATGCATTGAACTCTCACTCATTTTTTCTACTTTTTCAGATGGACAACCTTTTTGCAACGTTTCGCCTCAATCCTGCTGGCATTCGGTGCCATTTTGACGCTTGCACTCATCGTCTCAACAGGGATTTTTCTCAAAACCATAAAGGAACCCAAAAATTTCTATGAAAGAGGTAATTTCCATTAGAAATTCTTGAAATCATGCAAATTTCAGAGTTCTCAAACATCTATCAGCCTCTTGTCGGCATCCTCATCGGTCTTCTCGTCATCGCCGCCTTTCTCCCATCATTTTCCACGATTATTTTCATCATTCTTCTCATTTTTCACTACTTTTTCATGAATTTCTTAATGGCTACCGTATTCGATTCAATAATTTCGAAATGGTTTCATCTCCTCATTTCTGTTTTCTTCCCGCACGCGTTGACGACAATTTTCTCGTTTCGCGCTACTTGGAAACTGTCGAGGTTTGGGATGAGATATTAAAAAATTCAAATAAACTGTAGGCCAAATTACCGTATTTTCTCTAATAGTAGTGCACCCTGAGCGTCGCCTAAATTCCTCGAAATCTCGAGAACCGCTTATCAGAACCTATCGATGTGGGGTCGGAAAATATAGCTGACGATGAGATCTTGTTGGGGATTTGAGTGTTGAGCTTCTGCAAAAGCTTGGAAACCGTAAAATCGTCACCAACTCGGCTCGCCGGGGTGCACTACTATTAGAGAAAATACGGTATTGATCTTTTATCGTTAAACAATGAACAAATTATTAAAAACTGTTCCAGGATTATAATCAAATAAAAATCTTTTAGAAAAGGTCCCTCCGAGGCTCCGCTTGGCCGTCTCCTCGAGAATTGCATGAGTCATTCGCTAGGCATTCTGCTGGCGCCAACTTTTTGTTACATATTATTGTTATTGGTAGGTCCCTAGTTATATCATCCCATCCATTCATACCCCGGCTAAGAGCGGGTTTTTCTGGCAGGGGCCTTGATGTCATCGTAGCTGAATCGGTAGCCCGCTCTACTGCAGCCCACGTAACCCCGGTTGGATTCCCCGGCCATCACTCAACTTCATTTTTGTTAAAAATTTTTCAAATGACACATCTACAATATATTCTAAGGTTTTCTAAAGAAGTTTTAACTTTATTGGTTAAAATACGAACGAGAAAAGACAGGCAGACAGACAGACACTGCTCTTTTATATAATAGATCTCAGGTTTGCCTTCCTTTCTCGAGTCTTCTCCTCCGTCCATTGATCTCCATTCAAATCTCTGCCATTTTCGAGTTCTACTTAATGATTCTAATATTTCTACCGCCATACCTCTTCTTAAAGCAAAAAGGAGCACTTTCGGTGAGTGTTAAGTGTTTGAATTTTCGAGAGTGTTTCTTTTAAACTTGGTTTCTGAAGATTTTTTTTTGCAAATATTAAAGAAACTCTTGAAAATTTCCCATGTTGAAATTGAAAATGATTTTAGTTATTCTCGTGGAGTCCTCTCTCGAAATGTCATCCAATTTACAATCTCCGTTTGTCTGTCGAAGAGAAATACATTCGTCTCTCACATTTTCTCGCAAACACCCTATCGTTGGCGATCACGAAACTGAAAATCGTGTTTCTCGGGCTGTTTGCAGTTCAATTTTTCATAATTATGTAAGTTTTTTTGGTAAATGTGGTAAATTTACGTAAATCAATAGCTTTTTCATTTTCAGAATTTTGCTATTCGGTCAACTCTCGGTGAGCTTTATCTTGGCCTCAAAGTACGAGATTTTTGTGGCCAATGGGACGAGTGCAGTCGAATTTTTTGCCTCAAAGGTGAGCATAAAATTGTAGTTTAAAAGAGTGTCAACATCGAAAACGATTTCACCCATCATGTAGCCAAGAAGGAAAGGAGTTTTTTTTGATATGAAAATTGAAGTTTATTTCTTTTTGGATTGTGAGAAATTGAGAAATTTGACGGCACTGTTTTGAAGGTTTACTTTGCTGGCACAGCATTCTATTTTTGATTGTAAAGCTCGATTTTTGACTGTAAAGCTCGATTTTTGACTGTAAAACTCGATTTTTGACTTAGCTTAGCTTTTCAATTAGCTTTTTTGATGTCACGAGTCTTATTGTCTTAAACATTAAATTACTAAACTAGCACTAAGACTGAATATCTTTTTTTGCCGAAGAAAGTCCATCCCATAGCTGTCTGTAATGAAGTGAAGAGCTCATTTTTAAGAAAATGATAAGCATAATGACGTTTATTTAGCTAAAAAGCGGGAGTGGGACAAATGCGACCCTTTTTTTTGCGCACCCGGACATTTGCGCACCTTTTTTTTCGCACCAGGCCCATTAGCGCACCTTTTTTCGCGTTTTTCAAAAGCTCTAAAAGCTAATATTAACCAATTTCTATTCCAAAAGTTGTTTTTCTAGGTAATTTTAGGGCGTAGAATGGAAATTTTGGCATATCAGAGCTTGTGGAACCAAGACAAAGCACAAGAACAAAAGACAAAACGGCTAGGTCAAATTACAGAAAATTGTTGATTTTTCTCTTTTTATAGCTCCGTCCGTTCGCTTCCACAAGCTCTGATATGTCAAAATTTCGATTCTACTACCTAAAATTACATAGAAAAACAGCTTTTGGAATAGAAATTGATTAATTTTAGCTTTTAGAGCTTTTTAAAACGCGAAAAAGGTGCGCTAATGGGCTAAGTGCGGAAAAAAAGGTGCGCAAATGTCCGGGTGCGCAAAAAAAAGGTCGCATTTGTCCCACTCCCCTAAAAAGCTTCTTATTTTATATAGAATGATTTCCTTAATGAATTCAGGGCTCAAATCGTGATTTCTGGTGTATCCTTGTCACCCTTTTCTCCTCATCAGCAATCCTCTCTCTCTTCACTCTTCGCAACATTGCTCTTTCAGCGATTCTTATGTGCTCGACGATGAATTCGGTTTTATCTACGGGAATTATTATTGTATGTAAAAGCTAGGCTTAATAATGCTGAAAATTTTTGTTCTAAAGAGATTTCTTTATTTCAGATGGGTACCTATTCGTTGGAGTCTCTCGAAGCGCATTTCGCGCTCATCACCTCTTTTCTAATCGCTTTCGATTTGAACTTGAAATTTTGTCTTTTCTATAGAGGTTTGTGAGCAATGAGAAATAGTAATTTGTACAAATTTGTACAAATTATCCCTTGGCTATTCGCATTCGCATTTCCAGGTAGCCATCGTGGTTCTCGGACCTCACGTAGCAGTGCCTCTTTCCATCAGGCTCTCTCCTCTTTCGTTGGTCCCACATTCTCCTCAATTCTCCTCTCAATCACTCTATTCTTTTGCACAAAGAATACGGTAATTAGCCTTAAACTTTTCTACCACTAGTAATCTAGATCTATACGGTATTCCTGTTCGTTCTTTTGTGGAATTTGATCCTGGTGCTTTTCTTTACAGCTTCTTTGTTGACAGTGGCGGGTAAGTGATAAAAGAATTGACAGATATGTAAATTTAGTGCAAATCATTATCTAAATCCTAGGTCCAATCGATAATGGATGGTTTTGCGGGGGAACGACGGCCAGTCAATACACATCCGAGTGCACTGATCGAATGGTTTCAACGCATGATTTGAATGACACGCGACGATTCAGCTCTGTTAACTATTCGGGTAGGGCACTGTAGCTGTAGATACTGTAACTGTAGATACTGTAACTGTAGCTGTAGATACTGTAACTGTAACTGTAGATACTGTAACGGTAACTGTAGATACTGTAACTGTAACTGTAGCTGTAACTGTAGATACTGTAGCTGTAACTGTAGCTGTAGATACTGTAGCTGCAACTGTAGATACTGTAACTTTAGATACTGTAACTGTAACTGTACTGAAACCTACTGTAACTATAGCGTATTCTAAAGCCGATCCATTTCCTAGGTCTCTACAAGAAGCGAATGTCTCTATCAGTGGCACCATCAGTGAGAAGAGCCTCGATGCCAGTGGTGGCTTTGGCTAATTCAAAGCACAACACACCCGGATGCAGTGCAAGGAAATTCTCGTAAGATTTTCGAAAACGAATCTATTGAATACCTTCAATTGCAGGAAATCATAGAAAGGCATAGATTGAAATGTTACAATACAAAATCCAAAGTCTTTTGACTCTGCAACTTTGCTAAACTCTATTTGAACGATTTAAAACCTTATCCATGATCTACAACTTTTGAACAATCAATCAACAATCTTCCAGAGCTGTCACCTATATGGGTAAACGGGGTATGTCAATTGATGGTGTGTCTTTGCCGGGAAATCGATCGATTCTCCGAAAAGAGCCTCTTCTCCATTCACAGCATTCGATCAACAGCCAACACTCAATTGGCAGTCAGAATAAATGATTTGGAAATGTTCTTTAATAAACTAGCTATAAAGTTCTTATAAAGTTGTCTTTAGGTTTACAAGACGCTAAACTATTGGCCAGTGCTGGTTACCCGGCGATCTGGTACGGCTTACCTTTTTAAACCGCATCATTTCCGTCAAATTGCATGCAATATTTCAAAAGCAATATATGAAAAATACTATTTACTATAAAATATACGAATAAGCTGAATCTAGCTTTGTGTTTTCGCTTTCTCGACGAGTTTTGTGTAGAGAGAATTGGGGTTCTCAAGAAGACGTCGAGGTGAATCGAATTCACACAAACGGCCATCAGCAAGCACCATCACTCTACAAAAGCTAACAATTAAATATAGCTTGATAGCTTGATCTGTACCAAATCTTAGATTAGATTAGTGATTCTTTTAGCCTATTCACCACAATCATCATAGCAATTAAATCCTTACAACAATCGTTACAAAATTACGCGTTTAACCTTGCAATCGCCTTGCCTTAAATCATTGCCTTAAACCCATTGCCTTAAAAACATTGCTTTAAACACATTGCCTTAAACACATTGCCTTAAACACATTGCCTTAAACACATTGCTTTAAACACATTGCCTTAAACACATTGCCTTAAATCATTGCCTTAAACACATTGCCTTAAACACATTGCCTTAAACACATTGCCTTAAACACATTGCCAATGGGCTTCGATCTGTGCCCCAGAAAGGGTGTGTTTCGATTTTGAGTACTACCTATCGTAGTCGGCAATTGTGTCCAGTCGATGAGCGATTCCCAAGACGGTCGACGTGGCAAAGTGCTTACGGATGACTGCTTGCACGATGCTATCCGTGTACGGATCGCAAGCTGCTGTTGCCTGGAATTGAATGCGACTTTCTATATCATTGATTTTGGGTCCCACCTCATCTAACACCAAAATTCGACTCTTCCTCAACAATGCTCGACCCAAACAGATCAGTTGTCGTTGACCAACGCTGAATTTTCCTTGAGTTGTACTTTCTTTTTCTTTAACCTCATATTCGCACCACTCTCCGATACTTTAAAGTTTAATTTCTCGGGAGTTGATGAGATGAAATCTTTCAATTGACATTCCTCCAAAGCCATCCAAATCTCTTCATCCGATTGTTCATCAAAGGGATCGAGATTGAATCGAATTGTGCCAGAGAAGAGGATTGGTTCCTAGAAAGAATTATATTTCGAGGACTGTCTTAGGCTTAGGATTAGGTCAAGATCAAGGTCAAGAAGGTCAAGAAGCTGGCTTCAATGTTCAAGAAGCTGGCTCATGGTACTTTTTTGTGAATTAAACCTAAAGTAAACAAGTCCAGGGTAGGCACTGCTCTGGCCTTGCCTGGATGAAATAGTTTTGGAGCAGTTTTGCATATGGTTCTATAATCTATTCTTCTATCCATGTACCTGTGGAATTATAGTGAGCCTTTCTCGTAGATCATGCAATCCAATCTCGGCCACATTCACTCCATCGATCATCAGAAAACCATCAGCCGGCTCCACCAAACGATACAACCCAATGGTCAAAGAGCTTTTACCTAAATGGAGAAATTGACATTCTACATTCTACTGAAATACAGTAGCCTATGGTTTTTACTCAAAAGTGGGAACACCTCTGCATTCTAAGCTATTCTACAAAGGTTCACGATAAGTCGAGGACTACAGAAAGGTTCACGTCAAGTCGAGGACGCTTACCCTTGTCACACAAGCACACCACTTGCCGAGTCTAACTTTGTTGCCAAAAACTTTTGCCTCACCCGATCCAGTCCTTCCAACAATCGCCACTTTCTCGGCACTCTGCGATGAGGCGGTGAAATTTCGCAAAACCAACGGCAGCTCGGATCTATAGTTTAAGCTTTGGATAGCTTGGAGATTACGATTCTTTTATAGCTCACCGATATCTTAATGAGTAATCTTTCCATTCGATCTTCCCATTGTTTGGCCAATCTCTTGGCGGTGGATTTGGAAGGCGCCAAGCTTTCTGAAATGTATTTATATTAGTTTTCAAATCGAAAATTCTCAATCCAACCTCTTCTTCCAATTTTGAGTATTCATCGATTCGCTCAACCGAAACGATATATGTTTCAAGCTCGCTCAACATTCGAACACCGAAATAGAGAACGTCGGAGATCTAGAGATTTATCAGAATAAAATCTTTGAGAAATCTTTCACAAACCGTCATTGAGTAAGAAATGCTGAGACCTAACATTGATGGAGAAAGAGAACCGACTCTTGAAAGAATCACACCCAAAATTGCCGCCAGAAATGTTGTGACTGTGCAGAGAAGCTCTAATCTGAAAACAAGATTACTTTACAAGATTACAAAGGATATTTTTTGAAAAATAAAATTTTTAGCCCAGTTCTCCAGATAGTTTCAAATTCTCTAGACGAGGGAATGGCAAAGAAAGATTTCCGGAGAGGGAATTGAACCCTCGATCCTCGACCTTTTGCTTTCAGAGGCTTTAACCACTGAGCCATTCGGTCTCTTCCTTTCCGAGTATCTTTTTCGCTATAAACTCCTCACCGCACTCCCAGCCAGCGATTCGCTGTGAATGAGAGGAAACGACAACGCGCAAACTCGTCGACGAAATGCGAGAACACCATTGATTCTTGTTCAATCTAAATATTTGTAGATCTTTTTATCAAATCAAATTATCAAATTTCAATTACGCTGGCAAGATCAAAGAGGTTTCTTTTTCCCACCAAGTGGGTTTTTCTTTCACAACATTTAGGTTAATAGCGGTAATAGGGGTAACGGCCGCATTGCTATAAAATTGTGTGTTTTGAGCTTTAGGGTAAATAGGGGTAATAAGGGGTAACGGCCGCAGTGCTATAAAATTGTGTGCTTTGAGCTTTATGTCTTATTATGTATCCTTTGTTTGTATCATATTATTGGTTTTCAATAAATGTATTAATAGTACGATAATAATCAAGTATTTCACAAACTCTTTTGAATGCTCGAATACTCGCCGCACCATGAACAGCTTCACCGAATTTCGCTAAAATCGGTGATCGATTGATGCTCTCAATTCTTTTCAGTTGACGAGCTGTTGCAATAAAATAACGCTAAAATTTTTGAACTTAACATAACTTTTGTTTTTTGATAAAGAAACCATGATAAAGAAATAGATAAGTAGAAATGGGATGACTGCTGCGATGAATGGTGGAATCGAGATACAGATCATCGCCAAACCAAGAATCAACTAAGAAATGAGCTTTGAAAGCTTTGTAAAAGAAATTTTTGATAAGTAAAATGTTTACTTGCATCACACTTTGCAACAAACTCGCAATCGTGTAGGGTAGAAGGTTGTCGATCACTTCTAGGTCCTGGAAACAGAGTTATATGCAATTTGCAAGAGTTATATGCAAGATCTTATTTAAGTTATCTTTTTAGCAACACAAACTCTAGTCAATCGATTCAATATCCGACCAACGGGAGTCGTGTCGAAGAAAGTCATCGGTGAGCGAAGAATCGAGTGCAAAAGTGGAGAGTGGAGGCGCAGTGAGGCACCCTGACATCCCATCACCAAACCAATCGATGAGATTAGAATACAGAAAGCTGAACGATCGAACAATTGAACGATTGAACACTTTAGAAAGGAAAAACGATTTTTAATATGGTTCCTATTTGATTCCAATACGGTTTCTATGATGTATAGCCTTGATCACTGTTACAGCGTTTACTTATATTTGATGAAGTCTTTCGCTTTAAACTTACATTCGAAAAAGCCAAGTATCGTAAAGCCGGCTAGTCGATATTTTGTTTGACTGTCAGTGATGCCATCCAATGCTTGATCGGACCAATGAGACAACCAAAGACTTCGCCAAATCGCGAAACCAACACTCGCGAATTGGCTCAATAAAATGAGAAAACTGAAGAAAAGTGTCATCGCTCGGATGTAATTCATATAAACAACCGTTGACACCTGAAAAATTGAGCAAAACTTTAGGAAGATCAAGAGATAATAATAAATGAACCACCTCGCCTGAGAACTTAATAATGCTAATAGGTTGACTAGTAGGTTAGTAGATTGAAATAATAAGTTGAAATATTGGGTTGGTGAATGGAAAACTGCCGGAATTTGAACTGAAATTTATTCAACATAAAAACATCAATTCATTCCAAATAATTTCCATTATTATTGACGACTTCTGCCCGTTTTACAGGCAATTTGCGGATTCCTTTTTCGTGGTAGGATTTTGGTTTTGAATCGAAAAACTCAAAGCCAATTTTTGACTGCTTCTTCCGAATCGAAGTGTTGTCCCGCAAGCTCATTACTCATGATCCGGAATAAATAGTAACCAAAAGGGGCGAGGTCCGGACTGTATGGGGAATACGCCAAAAGTTCCCAAACAAGGCTATTTATTTTAGAGCGAGTCAGTTTTGCTGAATTGAATTGAAAACTGCCGGACTTTGAACTAAAATTTATTTAACATAAAACCATGAATTCATTCCAAATAATTTCCATTATTATTGACGACTTTTGCCCATTTTACACGCAATTTGCGGATTCCTTTTTCGTGGTAGGATTTTGGTTTGTGTGTGAGACAAGTGTGAGACTCAAAAATGGAGGACTGGAGATGTCTCAGTTTGAGCACTTTCTTTAAAAGAAACCCATTTTGGTGTCAATAGAAAAGTTGTAGAGAATCAAAAATGAGGCTTATAGCCAAATTTCCAAAAAGATACACTTAGTAGTTTCGCTTAAAATGCAAGTTTTGTGAAAAGTCGTAAATTTGGCATTTCTTGAGAAACAGTTTTTGAATCGTTCTGGAAATTTGGATATAAGCTTGATTTTTGATTCTCTACAACTTTTCCGTAGAGACCAAAATGGGTTTCTTTTGAAGAAAGTGCTCAAACTGTCACATATGACAATAGCCGGCAGTTTTCAATTCACCAACCCAATATAAGGCTAGTAGGTTGAAAGTTTTTGACAAACCCAGAATCGCCGCTAAAAGCGAACCGAATTCTTAATATTATAATATTTTTGTGTCTACATTTTCACTCTAATTTTTCACTCACCCGTCCCGTTTCTAAATTCTCCTTTTTTATGATTTTCCCCTCTTCTTCGTCACCGCTCAAGACTGAAGACCCAACTGAAGTGATCCTTTTCCGAACTTTTGCTGGCTCGTTTTCTCAAATTTAAAAGATATAAAGAAAAAAAAAACATCTACAAATCATTAAACTTATCAAACTTTTCCAAAAAACCCACCTTCAATCTCCTGATCTTCCCGCTTGTTCTCTAATTTATTCTCCTTTTCCTTCATCAAAAGTTTAATGAAAAGTGGATCGGATTTCTGAAAAGCTTAACGTTTATCTTCGAAAATTTATGAATGAAAAAAACTGACCTCAAGCTCTTGATAAGTTCCAATCGCATGAATTCCCCCCTTCTCCATGACAATCACCCGATCGCAGCTCTTTGTGTAATGAAGACCTGAAGTTTAATTGAAAATATTTACAATAATAGAAATTACAGAATAGAAATTACATTTGTAATACATTTTTCAGTATGTACTAGAAATACAAAAATCCCGAGCCAAACCTAATTCGATCTTCGTTTGGCCGATTGTACTGCAATTTTATCTACAGAGAGATATCGACATTTTCACCTTTTAGACAAAGTTTCAAAGCAATAAGCCAAGAATCGACAAAGAAAATGAAGGTGGAATTGGGTTCAGTTTGGAATTTTTTTTGCCCATTTCTTTTATTTACCATGTGTGACAAGGAGTCTTGTGTGATTTCTGAGCATTCCGGATTGAGAGAAAATTTTCGCGAAAATCGCCGCTCCTACATGGGCATCGACAGCAGAAAGCACATCGTCGAAGAGTAAAACATCGCATTCCTTTCAAAATTGAGTGTTTAAAATTGAATTTCTCTTTAAATGTACTTTGTACTTAAATGTACCTTGTACGTTGTAATGTACAAGGCTCTGTACAATTTACCTGGTGTAATGTACCTGGTGGACAAAATTCTTCCCTTTTTCCTCGATCCTTCCTTGAGAAAAAAGGAAGAAATGAGTGTAACGTTTGCATTTTTCAGTACAAAGTACACGTCAATGAATAAGACTAGAGTTTTGTTATTCTTCTTAAGAAAACTATAACTTAAACTAATTTAAAATCAAAATCTCTCACCTGATACAGCGCTCTCGCAATAGCCACCCGCGCTTTTTGCCCACCCGACAGCGTCACTCCCTTGAAAATTGTTATATTAGAATTTCTAAAGTGCTTACTGCTAAAGATTGCTTTAGAATTTAGCTTTAAATGATTGATTGCCTTGAAAGAATGCCTTGAAAGAATGTCTTGAAAGAATGCCTTGAAAGAATGCCTTGAAAGAATGCCTTGAAAGAATGCCTTGAAAGAATGCCTTTCTTCTTAGTCTTACATTCTCTCCAATTTCCGTCAAATCTCCGTGCTCCATTTGAGCGAAATCGCTCTCCAACTCCGACACGTGCAACACTTTCTTATACAATTTGCGGTTAAAATCCTAAATCGACTTTTCATTATCAACTTCGACACGCACTTTTCCAAGCGTGATATTATTTCTCAATGTTGTATTCTGGATCCACGGTTGCTGAGGAGCATAGGCGAGATTACCCGAAATTCGAATCTGACCATCCAAATGAACCATCTCACCTGAGAACTTTATGCTAATAGGTTCACTAGTAGGTTAGTCGATTGAAATAATAAGTTGAAACATAAGGCTAGTAGGTTGAAAGTTTTGACAAACCCAGAATAGCCGCTAAAAGCGAGCTCTTCCCGGCGCCGACCTCGCCGACGATTCCGACGAATTCCCCCTTGCGAACGGAAAGACTCACGCTTGATAAAGAAGCCTCATCCATTAAACCAGACCAATTGAAATTTGCCTAAACACTTGTTGCCAATACTTTCCACTATCACTTGCAAACACTTACCTTTAAAATATCAATCGCCAATCCGGGAGTGGCTGGCGGAATCTCTAAAGAAGCGATCTCCTCTTCGGCTAGGAAACGCTCGATTCGCTTTTGAGAGACTCGAGCCTGACACAAAGCCATAAATAGACTGTCTTTTCTCCAATAGTGCACCCCGCCGATCCAAGTTGATCACTATTTTACAGTTTCCAAGTTTTCCCCAGAAGTCCAACCCTCAAATCCCCCACAAGATCTCATCGTCAGCTACATTTTCCGACCCCACATCGATACGTTCTGATAAGCGGTTCTCGAGATTTCGAGGAATTTAGGCGACGCTCAGGGTATACTACTATTAGAGAGAAGACGGTATATTATTCCAGGTTAGGCTAGTAGATCAGACTGATCTATCTCCCTAATATTTCCCGGTGAGCCGAGTTGATGACTATTTTACGGTTTTTAAGTTTTCCCAGAAGTCCAACACTCAAATCTCCCACAAGATCTCAACGTCAGCTACATTTTCCGATCCCACATCGATAGGTTCTGATAAGCGCTTTTCGAGATTTCGAACAATTTAGGCGACGCTTTGGGTACACTACTATTAGAGAAAATACAGTATTTTCTTCCAGATTCCATTGAAATCTCTTTTTGTAACTTTCGCTCACCTGAACCATGTAGGTGTACGTCAATGCAAAAAGTCTCATTGGTAATTTTAGCTGGTTGAAAATCGAAAGAGCCACGAAAACCACTTCTGGCGTCAGTGTGGAGCCAGATGAAGTGAAAACAACGATACCAAAAACGATCATTGCAACCTAATTGTCAATTTTTTTATTGATTTATTGATTTTTATTTGTCAATAAGACTCTTTTAAAGTAAAAATAATAAATATTCTTTTTGATTTCTAGCTCTAATCAAAAGCGTTTTACCAAAAAAGGTGAAGCAGCGTTGATCGCATCAATCACTCGCGCCACCAAGCTCATCCTTTTCAGAATTCCCACCGAAAACAAATCATTGATATACTTGATCTATCTAGTAGAAATTATATTCTAAAAAAAACCGCACCTCTTTCTCTCGCAACGCGTTGATTCTCTTCTCAAAAGCTTCCTCCCACGCGTACAGCTTTATCAACTTCATCCCATTCATCACCGGAAATCCTTTAAATATCATTTCTCTTTTTTTTTTCTTACTTCATTGCACATCTTCGATCTCTCATCTTTCACCACCATTTGTTTCACTTGAAAATATTTGATGAAACGAGTGGCGACGAGATTGAGAACGATCACAATGAGGACAACGGCCAGTCCGCCCAATGCTGGCGCTCCGAGAACCGTCGTGAGCACACCCATCGAGAGCAATAACTAAAAAGAAATAAAGGGGTTTAATCTGTTAAATTTAAAAAAAATATAGAAACCATTATTTTTAAAATTTATATTTAATAAAATTTTATATGTCTCGTTTTTAAGGTATGGTTTTTATGATGCCCTTAACTAGGCATGGTTTTTATGATGTCCTTAACTAGGCATGTTTTTTATGATGTCCTTAACTAGGTATGGTTTTTATGATGTCCTTAACTAGGCATGGTTTTTATGATGTCCTTAACTAGGTATGGTTTTTATGATGTCCTTAACTAGGCATGGTTTTTATGATGTCCTTAACGGAAAAGTTGTGTAAAATTGGATAAATTGAATTTTTACACGTTTGTTCCCGCACGGCAAATTCTTGGCCTTCCTCTCGGCGATCATTCACGATCTCGCGATCTCGGCGATCGTTCACCTTTACCCTTACCTGTAACGGGGTTGAAATCGCTTCCGTGGCAAATGGAACGAAAGCGCTGATCTTTTCAAGGTCAACCGCCATCAGATTAACCAATTCGCCCACTGTGTGATCTCCACGTGACGCTGGGGAAAGGTTGAGCGTCTGGAAATTCTGTTTTTGATTGATCTTTACAAAAACATGGGAATTTTCGGTGTCTGATAAAGTGAACTTTTCATAAACCTTTCAAACCTCCTACTCACCTTTTGAAAAATCGAATTCGAGAGAATTGTCTGTACGTAAACTGTAAACCGCAACGCTCCATGAATATAATAACTGTTAAGAAGTGATCTCATTTCAGAGATCAAGAAAAGACCGATTGCACAAAGGAGAGCGAAAGAAATCGGCGAGGATGGGGTGGAGACACTTGAGATCAACCAACTAAGCAATTCATTTCAATTCATTTCAATTCTTTCAATTCATTTCAATTCATTTCAATTCTTTTTGCACTTATTTATATTCCAAAAACTCTCACCCAAGAAGCAGAGGATTCATGAAAACGAAAATCACATCGCCAAAAAAGCGTAAAGCCGAAATGAAGAGTAAAAAGCGTTGAAAACATCGACAAATCGCTAGGAAAATCGACGGAGAGATCGGATGAGCTAAATATATCGAATTCATAGCGCCAAAACTTTACTTCTAATCTTAAGATTTCTTTTTTTTACAAATCTTAAATATACATTTTCAATATACTTTCAAAATTTTCAATATTTTCAATATTTTCAGTTTAAATAGACATTTGTCAAGATATCCTTTGCTCTAAAGAATAGAAAAATCCTTCTTCTGACACAAGCAACTCTTGATTTTCTATTTAAAACGTCTCTACAAAAAAAAAGAAAATAAATGATTTAGTGCACTAGAAAGAAACTAGAAAGGCGGCGTTTTATCTTAAACTATAAAGATGGCGTTTTATCTTAAACTGGAAAGACAGCATTTTATCTTAAACTTAATACTTAAACTAGAAAGACAGCATTTTATCTTAAACTTAATGCTTAAACTTATAGCTAATATGTACTCTTGATTTCGTATTCCCAATTCTTCTTCCATCTTTTCATCAACGCTTTCGACGAGCCCTCAAGTGGCAATTTGAATAAATCGTCCATGATCAGCGACTAAAATAATTTCTTTTCAAATAAAATCGCCAAAAAAAGCCCTCCCCGGCCAATGTTTTTTTTGATTGTTTCTCATTTTTTTCTCCCGTTACATCGCATTCAAATAAATCGATCTCAATCACTTTTTTAACTAGCGCACTAGTTATTTCTAAAAAGTGCAATGAATAAGTGTACCAACTTTGAAGTTGCCAAACTTGTCGTGACGATCTCGTGATCGAGATCGCCACGTACCAACAATAATCACTACAAAACTAATCTAAGTCAAGTGAACACTGACCGGCAAAGACTTCTTTGACGATTGTAAGATTTATTATTATTCTTATTATTATTCTTATTATTATTCTTATTATTATTCTTATTATTATTCTTATTATTATTCTTATTATTATTCTTATTATTATTCTTATTATTATTCTTATTATTATTCAATTATTATTATTCAATTATTATTATTCAATTATTATTATTCAAGTATCGATGCTTTAGATCTAGTGGCTCTTTGCCGTAAGTAATTGGCTTATTGATTTCAGTATGTATTGTATGATTAAGTATCACTGTGCATTTCTCTATGATTTCTTTCACTTTATCGTTTGAATAAAGTATTATTATTCTTATTATTATTCAATTATTATTATTCAATTATTATTATTTATTATTATTATTCTATTATTATTATATTCTATTATTATTATATTCTATTATTGAAATCTTTTTATTCTATTATTATTATTATTTCAAATCTTTTTACTCTATTATTATTATTTTAAAACCTTTTATTTTATTATTATTACCATTTAAAACCTTTTTATTCAATTATTCAATTATTTAATCAATTATTCAACCTTTTTATAACCCAATGAAACAAGGTGAGTGAACCATGAGATGAGGAGAGTTCGATGAAATCCCGTGTAATCGGATGGACATGTGTCCTGCAAAGAGGAATGAATTACCGTAAATGCTTCATTAGAATCACATCCTCCTAACCCCTCGAAAACTTGACTTTAGACCCCCCTTTGTGGGAGTTCTATGAATAAATCTAGACCTAAAACCTACTAGTATTTTATCGGCAGTAAGATTTAGAAAGGCTATTTTTGAAAATATAGAAAATAATTTGAAAAAAAAAATCATAAGGGTCCCCCATTTTTTTGGAGATTCAGGAGAATCTCCAAAAGGGATAAGGGATTTTTATAAAATACTTTATTCAGAAAGAAATAAAGTGCGAAAAATGTACTAGATAAAAGATCACAAAGTCACTTAAAATGCAAGGAAATAGCCCTTTTAAAATCAGACACGGTGGAGATCAAACGCAACTTGTTGGGAAGGGCATTCCAAACTTTCATAAGGGTCCCCCATTTTTTTGGAGATTCAGGAGAATCTCCAAAAGGGATAAGGGATTGAAACAAGTGAATGAAATCTCATTCTAATACAGCATTTAGAAAATCATTTTACTTTTAAATGTGTTTTTCTGTACTTTTTGGACAAAGGGTTATTGTTTAAAATAGTTTTAACGAATTCTAAACCTTTGATTCATGTGATGGGGACGCGTTAATGCTTTAAAGATGCTTTAAAGCAAAATTCTCTCCCTTACCTACTTTTTTGATCGATCAATTTTAAGGGGTTGAAAAAAGAGAATGAAATCTCATTCTAATACAGCATTTACAATAATTATTATCAAACAAAGCAAAAGACCGAACTTTACCTTCATAACTGACATTGTCGATTCATTTTTCATAGTCATTACCGTAGTTTTGTCAAATTTAAATCGAAAACTCACTTACCAAAACGACTTTATCATCGTTCAACGGTCGCAAAAGAGCCACATTCAAAAGTAAAAGAAAAATGGCGCGTAGTGCCTCGTAGATGGGGAATTTTTCACCTCTTAAACTCTAAAAGAATATGAAAATTGTTTTCTTCGATTTCCGTTTTTCGTTTTCAATTCTCTCTTACCATTTTCAGCAATAAACATGCTTTAAAGCAAAATTCTGCCAAAAGATACGTGATCACCAATCCATTATAACGCCTTTTCGCATAATCCGAGATCAATAACGATAACAAAGCTAAGCACTAAAGGATAATTGAAATTGAAATTGATTTCTTTTTTGTTTAAACTCCAAAATGAAACACCTTACCATAGTAAATGCAATCAATGAGATCAAAGCGATTTCGAGTGCGAATAAATCTTTGTGCTTTAAAGCAATCTCCAACAATGAGATCAAGATTATGCATAGGAAAAAAGTCTATAAAGTTTTCAAGTTTTAAAGTCTATAAAGTTTTCAAGTTTTCAAGTTTTAAAGTTTTAAACTCTAAAAAACGTTACCATTTCCAGGAGGATCCATTTTCCGGGTTTATACGATTGTTTACGTTTAAAATGTAGGGTGAAAATTTGAAATGGTAAAAGGAGAAGAAAAGCGATGTGCGGGAAAAGGGAAAGGTATGAAATCTCGGGACATTCGGAGTTCTGAAAAGTGAAAGAATTTATATGTCGTAGCCGATGAAGGATTTCAGCTGATGAAGTCTCAAATTTTTTCACTAGCAAAACCTTCTTCGGCTAGCCGATTAGGTCTCAGACTTGTTCGACTAGCCGATTAGGTCTCAGACTTCTTCGACTAGCTGATTAGGTCTCAGACTTCTTCGACTAGCCGATTAGGTCTCAAAAATGAAATCTTGAGTTATACATTGACTCAAGTCAATACCACAAACTCAAGCTCTCTAAAAGGCGCTTAAAAGCTAAGAAACGCATTCTAAAGAGTGCGCATTTTATCATACTGTAACCAAAGGCTATAAAAGGTCCAACAAAGGGGTCAAATTGACTTACAAAAACAAACAATTCTATTTCAAATAAATGACGAATCAGATAGAAAATGACGAAAAGGGCCCTTTTATAGCCATTGGTTAGAGCATGATAAAATGCGCACTCTTTAGAATGCGTTTTTTTAGCTTTTAAGCGCCTTTTAGAGAGCTTGAGTTTGTGGTATTGACTTGAGTCAATACATAACTCAAGATTTCATTTTTGAGACTTAATCGGCTAGCCGAAGAAGTCTGAGACTTAAAATACAATAAAGATTTAAAAAATCAAAAACAACACCCTTTTTTGGAGCACTTAAACATCGATTTTTTTAACCAAGAAGCTGATTTTTTTTGTTTGTCTACGAAATATAAAGCTTTCAGCTTTATATTTCGCTTCCAGTGTGCCAGAAAAGGTGCGTTTGCTAAAGCTTTTTTACTAAAAACAAACCTCGATCGATTTATTAAAACATCTTGTGACGAATGGTGGAAGAGACATCGATAATTGTGTCTTCTTGTCTTGTCTTCTTCTCAAAAAAATCCTTTCCTCAACTGTTTATCAATATTTTGTCAGTTTATTTCAGTTCCTTTTTTTCCTTTTAAAATCAATTCACTTGTAGTTAGTGGTTTTGCTGAAAATGGATTAAAGGCTTAACTCCCATTTTTCGGACAGACAAAAGAATTTCACAAAGAGTAGGAAAGCAAAAAAACTGAGCGTTGATAGGTTTTTGATCGCAAGAAGCTTTAGAGTAAAGTAAAATATTGACTACAAAAGAGATGGGAAAGTTCGGAATTTGTAAAGTGTAGTTGAAAGTTAAAGAATGAACGAAAAAGTGTGAACGGGGACAACATTTTCCCCGATCAAACTGCGCCAAAGGAAATCAGGCTTAGCCTTTCAACGGTGGCGCACAATTACCCGCTTTACTCAGTTTCAAATTCACATCTTAAACTTTGATCCCTAATCAAAATTCATTATTGGAGCTAAATTTTAGAAATAATAAGTAAAAATGAGTAAATGAAGCTGGTTTTCTTTGATTTTGAGTTAAAACTCGTTAAAAAAACCAAAAAATCGCGACTCCGCCGCCCAAAAACGCGTGTCGAAACTTTGAAACGCTCTAGCAAAATTTTAGGAACTTTTCTGATCAAATCCAGAAAACAAATTGCAAGAGAAATATAGAATTTAATAATAAAACAAAGAATTAGATCAATAGATTGACTCTTCGCTGAGCTGGAGAACCGCTGAGCTGAGTGCAGGCAATGGTGCGCCGCCTTGTACAAAAAAACTTTCATTTTCGAAAATTTTACAGCTTCTTGCGATTTTGATAAAATACTCACAGGTTGCTCGCGTACTTTGTCCATATTTATTCGTTTTGATTTTCGAAATGTTGCACAATCTGCTTATCATGAAACACTTTGTTCTTTCAATCAAAAAAATTTTCTAACGGAAGAAACTTCTTTTTTTTTTTTTTTTTGTTGTTTTTCTTTGTCTCTTATCTAATTGTTCAAATTTTCATCACTATGACGCGGTTTTATTTACGTTTTTTTACATTTTACAACGTTTACAACGATTCTTTTTGTGATTCTTTTCGAAAATTTTTATTTATGAACTTTGAATGAATTCTTGACACAATTTTATTGGGAAAACCTTTTGAACAAACAAAAAGATATGCTTATTTGAAGCTCATCGATAAAATTATCAATCTGCTGGGTGTAGCTTTGTAAAAAGAGCTAAAATAGCTTCCTGACAAGAAACGGCTAAACTTGTTCTTGTTACTAAAAACGCATCCTTCATGGTGCACTGAATTTTCCTGGAAGAAGACATTTTCTGGACTTTTACTGGACATTTTCACTGGAAAAAGACTCATTTTACGAGCTCTTTCTGCGTTCTTTTCATGCCGCTTGTAGGAAAAAGCGACATCTGGCACACTGTTTACAACTAGTCTACACAGACTCGACTACGCCAAGAAGCAAGACTATGAATTTTGGCCGATTATGAATTTTAGCCGATTCTGAATTAGTGGATCTAGAAACGTGCAACCATCAAGTGTTTAGTATCACTCGCCGTTTAATTACCCAAGTTTGAGGTTGTTGCGAGATACTGCAACTCTACTTCTACATCTACCGATCCGAAGAGTCCAATAAGTTGCGCCCGCTCTACCCTTCTCAAAGATGATACCGAGCCTTTACCTAAAACATTTTTCATGTCGTCTTCGCACTTTATTACTTTCTGAATAAAGTATTTATATATATAATATTACCAAAAATGTACAATGTAAAAATTGTACAATTCAATATCGATTTTATATGTCGTAGCCGATTATGAATTTCAGCCGATTATGAATGAGTGGGTCTAGGAGCGTCCAGCCATCAAGTATTTGGTATCATTCAACTCAGAATCATTAATAATTATGTTAAATTTTTGAAATTAGAAAGATTGGATAAAAAGAAAAAAAATGACGGGGCTTCAAAGTTTCCTCTCGAGAACAAACACTTTTTTTTGCTCTAATTTTTTTTCTTTTTATCCAATCTTTCTAATTTCAAAAATTTTAACATAATTATTAATGATTCTGCGTTGAATGATACTAAACACTTGATGGTTGCACGGCCCTAGACCCACTAATTCATAATTGGCTGATATTCATGATCGGCTGAAATTCAGAATCTTACTTCCTGGCGTACTCGAGTCTGTGTAGACTAGTTGTATAATAGTGTGCCAGATGTCGCTTTTTCCTACAAGCGACATGAAAAGAACGCAGAAAGAGCTCGTAAAATGAGTCTTTTTTCAGTAAAAAAGTAAAAATGAATAATCGACTGAAATTCAGAATCGGCTACGGAGGCGCCGATTTTGAAGCGATTTTGAAGCGCCGATTTTGAATAAAACGTTCTAGTGCCCGCAATTCTTAACCTAAACTCACAAATTTCGTACCAATCGACGCAGAATTGAATTCACTACGAAATGCTATAATATTTGTCCTCATAGAAGTAAAGAGTTGCTCGAATAGAAAGGTTTCTCAAAAAATTTCATTCAGAATCGGCGACGACATATAGATTTTTAAACAAAAAGCTCAAAAAAAAGTCAAGTTATTTTGGGAGAGATTACTAACAACAAAGCACAAAAATGGTAACACTTTTACACAAATTTGAATCACAATTTTGACACAATCACAATTTGAGATCAAAATATTATCTATATTTCGATATTGTTGCTTCATTCTACCCGTCTCTCTTTTTTTCGTCTTTTCATTGATGTACTCGATTGGCTTTTTCGACTAAAGCCGCGTAAAGTGATCCGGGCGTTTCCAAGAGAGTTTTCGGCTTGTCGAATTCTTTTAAATGACCCTTTTCCAGCACCAAGATTCTGAAAGTTTTTTTTTCGATTTAGCTGTTCAGAAAGTAAGTAAATAAGTAAGTAAATAACTAAGTAAGTAAATAACTAACTAAGTAAGTAAGTAAGTAAGGAATTAAATAAGTAAGTAAATAAGTAAGTTTCTTTAGTGTATGTTAATATCTCAACTCACCGATCATAGTCAGCAATTGTGTCTAAACGATGAGCAATAGCGATGACGCTTGATGACGGGAAATGCTCTCTAACAGCTTTTTGAACGAGGGCATCCGTTTGAATATCACAAGCCGCTGTTGCCTAGAAGTTAACAAATTGCGTATATAATATTCGAGTTTTAAACTCGAACGTGTCCCATTTCCAAGCCTTTTAACTACTTTACTTTATTAGAGTAAAAACAGCTTTTTAATTCTCATCAGTATTCAATATTTCTTTAGCTTCATTACCACTTTTCTCACCTCATCTAAAATCAAAATCTTTCCGCCTCTCAGCAAAGCTCTTCCAAGACACACCAATTGCCGTTGACCAACACTAAATATTAAAAAGTATGCTCAAATTTAAACCTCTATATTGTATGATATCTAGCTTTTAATAGATTAAAGATTAATAGATTTCTAGCTCATTGATACGTTAATTGAGACTCAGATGGGCCAGAAGAACAGACGACAGATGGACGATAAGGATCACAGAGTGGTTACCACGAGACCAGAAGAGGCCCATCGGAAGACCAGCAACGAGGTGGAGCACAAGAGTGGCAGAGACGGTCAGAGAAAGGATGGCTAGAGTGCAACCACCACCAGCACAAGCAAGTCGAAGACTTCGAACCAGGAACAACCAAGATAGGAAACACTGGATGACAATAGCAAGGGATAGAGAAATGTGGAAGCAGGTTGTGATCTGCGCAAATAGGAACACCTCAGTGCGAAGATAGATAAAAAAAAAAGATTTCTGGCTTTAATCTTACCTCATATTCATTCCACCTTCTGTGATTTTATTTGACAATTGACCATCCAACGTTGATACATAATCTTTTAATTGACAAATCTGAATTGCTTTCAATTTCTCTAAATAATCCCAGAAGCCTACATCCAAAGCATTCCATAGTTCACTATCCGTGTATTTATTGAATGGATCGAGGTTGAAACGAACGGTGCCTGAGAAGAGAACTGGTTCCTGTAAAAAAAAAGGTTATTTCTCAGAGTTTAACTTTTCTTCACCTGTGGAATGATTGAGAGTCTTTCTCTTAAATCATGCAATCCAATCTGTGCAATATCGACTCCATCAATGAGAATTCGCCCATCAGCCGGTTCAATCATTCGATAAAGAGCCATCGTCAGTGAAGATTTACCTAGCGAAAACGAAAATGAAACAACTTTTTTATAAACTTTATAAATAAACAAAAAGCTAGCATTCTTTACATTTGTATTTTCAATAAATTCTTTCTTAAAAGCACACTAAATTCTTTCATTTTTTTTCTTTGGCAACGACTTTTCGCCGTAAGAAATACATGACAAGAATCAAGAGCACCAGAAAGTATGTGTTTACAAGGCAGAGCACTACAATTCTCGTAGAAAGATCGAATTTACCCGATCCTGTCCTTCCCACAACTCCGACTTTCTCTCCATCAACCGTACTCAACGAGAGATCCCTAATCACTAGCGGTAACTCAGCTCTAAACTTGACTTGATCAATAATATTCCCAACCCTTTCTTCATACCTATATCTCGTTGAATATCCTTCCCAAGTAATTTGTCCTCTTTGTGGCCAATCTTTACTCAATTTCCCGTCTTCTTTTCTCCATTCGGCTTCTGATTCCAATTGTGAGTACTCGTCAACTCTTTCCACTGATACAATGTAAGTTTCCAATTCAGACATCATTCGAACACCAAAATACAACATCTCTGTGATCTAGAAATCATCTATTAAATATAAAGGGACCAAGACGTCTGTCTGTCCGTCCGTCTGTCTGTCTTTTCGCGATACTCCTCGGCCCCCAGACGACCGTTTGCAATGATTTTTGCGCCGTTAAATTCAGAATTAGATGTGGTTGTGCAACGTGCTTTTGAATTTTTTAAAAAGCACGATTCGAGTCGCATTGGGAGGTCGAACTCGGGTCGTATGGGCGATAGATCGGCGCGCTATCCACTGTTCCATGACGACAAAAGCTGGCTATCGCCGTTAGGCGGGTTTCTCGGCTGGTATTATAATAGTTTGATAAAATGGAGAAAGATTTTTGATTCAGTTATCTGATGAGTTGATTTTCAATTGATCTCTGCTAGATCTTTGATAATATTACCAGAAAAGATATCAATTATTCAATCAACTCACCGTTAAAGCGTACGAAATACTCATTCCGATCATCGCTGGGGAAATCGTCGAGAAACGCGACGAGAATACACCACAAAGTGCAGCCAGAAGAATTGTGCATGCTGAGATTGTTTCCAATCTGAAAACCCTTTTTTGATGAATTCTCTACTAATGAATTCTCTACTAATTCTCTATTAATTCTCTCCTAATTCTCTACTAATGAATTCTCTGTAATACTCTGTAATATGGAATTTCTCGCACCTAAATCCCAACCATCGATTTCCAGCAAACGACAAGTGTTTACATCTCGCAAATGTATCGACAGTTTCCCCAAAGTTTTCACAAATTTTTTGGGTTTTCGAGTAAGCACGAATGCTTGATGCACCGTGTACAGTTTCACCGAATAACGAAAGAATCGGTGATCGTCGAATGCTCTCAAGACGTTTCAATTGACGAGCTGTGTTGATGAAGTAGCGCTGGAAATTTTGAAAAGAGTTTTGAAAAGATTTTTTGCTAGAGTCTAGAGTTTGCTTTTCTGCTTTCTACCAAGAAAAAGAAGTAGATCAATGCGATTGGAACGATGGCAATGATAAAGATCGGAGTCGCAATCGAGATCATCACCAAAACGACGATCAATTGAACGAAACAGTTCAGAAACATTCCAATGGTTGATGGGAGAAGATTGTCGATCACTTCTAGGTCCTAAATTAGTGATTTATTTATCTCAAAATATCATCATACTCTGGATAATCGATTTAATATCCGACCAACGGGAGTCGTGTCGAAGAAAGCCATTGGTGAGCGAAGAATCGCGTGAAGGAGTGGAGAATGGAGACGGAGTGAGGCACGCTGAGCACCGATCACAAGCGCGGCTTGAATTCCAAGCAGCGTGATCACTGAATATTTGCATGAATCACAAAGATTACCGTAATCCTAAGATCAACGGGTTTACTTTAGATTCTAAAATTCAGCTGATACGCTCTATTATAATCTATTATATAGAATCTAGTGTCTGTCTGTTTGTACAGGCCTTTTCTTAGCCATTTTTTGGCGAATAAAGCTAAAACTTCTTTAGAAAACCCCAGAATATATTGTAGTTGTGTTTAAAATTTAAAATTAAAAAATTAGAATTGAATGGCACTAGGCAGGGTCGAACCCGGATCTTATGGGTTGTAGACAAACCTAGTGTCTGTCTGTTTGTATGGGCCCTTTCTTAGCCATTTTCTTTCTTAGATCTTATGGGTTGTAGACAAGTGTCTTTACAACTGCGCCATGGCGACGAATGGAACTTCCGCCTTAAAACATCTATTGGGCACAATTATCACGGCCTTATTTATAACAAAAAAAAAAATAGTTAGAAAATTTTTTTTATTGATTAATCTGGAGCATATTCACCGCCTACATCAATAACTGATTGCCATTTGCTTGGAGACGATCGACCCCACGAGCGAAGAAAAAACGATCTTTGGAGGCAATCCACGCTTTAACATCGTCTATCAAGTCATCCAAATCGTTGTGGATCTTATTTGTTTGCCAATTTTTGAGCGATCGATTGACGTGGTAGTCCGTTGGGGCCTCTCCAGTTCTTTGAGATCGCGCCAACGCCCGCGGCGACCATCCCTTTTGAAGTGGTAGAGCATGATATGGCGAAGATGGAGATTCGCCGCGTTCGCAAAAAAAACCGGATTAAAGCAAAAAAACCAATAGAAAAACTCGACAACGGGTTTTTCAGCTGGTTTTTCCGCTAGTTTTTCAATACAGTTACAATTTCTCTTCAACACTCACCTTCCGCTAAACCAAGAGCCGAGAAAACGGACAACTTCTTAATGGTCTCTTCTTGTGTTTGTTTCCTTTCTTGATTCCCATTCGACCAATCCGATAGCCATAATGAGCGAGCGATCGCGAAAATGATATGCACGACGACGAAAGATGTGATCAGAAGAGTGCACAGAAGACTCACCGCCCTCAAATAGGTCATGTAGACGTGATTGGAGACCTGGAAAATTGAATACAGTAATCCTTTAATGCACAAAGTAAAGTATTTTCGTTGAATACAGTAATCCTTTTGCAGAAGAAAGAAAACCGCTTACCCTTCCCGTTTCGACATTCTCTTTCTGGACGAGTTTCGCTTCGTCTTTAATGCTTTCTGATGTTGAATCGTAACGACTTAAACGGCTCGAGAGTTGTCTAGCTGAAAATATATATAAAAATATTCAATCATCAACACTGAATATCTTTCTCTTATCTCTATTTTCTACTTTTTCATTTACCAGTTTCAAATTTCATCTCCTCATCTTCTTCCTCGTTTTCTTTTTTCGTTTTCTCTCTTTCTTGAAGCATCTCCGCGAAAAGACCACCGCTTTTCTAAAGTTTTCAATATCATATCTTAAAGTTTAAAGGTTTAAATTTAAATTTAACTATTGGGTTGGTGAATTGAAAACTGCCGGCTATTGTCATATGTGATAGTTTGAGCATTTTCTTCAAAAGAAACCCATTTTGGTGTCAATGGAAAAGTTGTAGAGAATCAAAAATCAAGCTTATATCCAAATTTTCAGAACGATTCAAAAACTCGTTCTCAAGAAATGCCAAATTTACGAATTTTCACAAAACTTGCATTTTAAGCGAAACTACTAAATGTATCTTTTTGGAAATTTGGCTATAAGCCTCATTTTTGATTCTCTACAACTTTTCTATTGACACCAAAATGGGTTTCTTTTGAAGAAAGTGCTCAAACTGGGATATCTCCAGTCCTCCATTTTTGAGTCTCACACTTGTCTCACACACAAACCAAAATCCTACCACGAAAAGGAATCCGCAAATTGCGTGAAAAGGGCAGAAGTCGCAATAATAAGGAAATTATTGGAATGAATTCATGTTTTTGGAATAAATTTTAGTTCAAAGTCCGGCAGTTTTCAATTGAATTCAGCAAAACTGACTCGCTCTAAAATAAATAGCCTTGTTTGGGAACTTTTGGCGCATTCCCCTACAGCCGGCCCCGCCCCTTTGATTACTATTTATTCCGGATCATGAGCAATGAGCTTGCGGGAGAACACTTCGATTCGGAAGAGGCAGTCAAAAATTGGCTTTGGAAGTTTTTCGATTCAAAACCAAGATCCTACCACGAAAGAGGAATCCGCAAATTGCCTGTAAAATGGGCAGAAGTCGTCAATAATAATGGAAATTATTCGGAATGAATTCATGGTTTTATTTTCAATAAATTTTAGTTCAAAGTCGCGCACTTTTCAATTCACCAACCCAATATAAACTCTTAAAAATATGAATACCAAAAGTTCATCATAAGTCCCGATCTCGGCAATCGTTCCCTCACGCATCACCACAATTCGATCACATTCTTTTGTGTATTGAAGACCTAAACTTTTACGTTCAGCCGAGTTTAGGAATTCTTTTGTATTTTTAAAGCTTTTAAACATGTGTTAAACAGTACCATGTGTGACGAGGATCCTCGTTTTCCCCCTCAGAATTCCCTCTTTTCCTAGCGCTCGGAAATACATGGCTGCACCGACGTGTGCGTCAACAGCTGAGAGACAATCATCTAACAAATACACTTCCGATTCCTAAAGTGTTTGTTTTTTTCGAAAGAAATCTTGTACCAGCCACTTTCCTGTACCTGATAGAGAGCTCTCGCCAGACCAATCCTTGCTTTTTGCCCGCCTGACAGCGTGACTCCCTGAAAAGCGATTTGTTTAGTGTAAATGATTTCAAAGACTGCTTCAAATTAAGTTTGAAAAGAGATATGAAACCCATTCCAATGAAACCCACATTTTCCCCGATTTCTGTCATATCTCCATGGTCAAGGGCATCGAAATCGGGCCTCAATTGAGCAGCATCAGTCACACGACGGAAAAGACGACGATCATAGGGCTAAAGCTTAGAGAATCACTCTTTCAAGGTAAGCTTGGTAACAAGCTTTAAAAGCTCACCCTGCCAAAGGTAATATTCTGTCGGAGGGTCTCGTTTCGGAGCCACGGCTGTTGCGGAACGTATGCCACTCGATCGCTCAACGCAATCCCTCCACCCAATTGGCACATTTCACCTAAAATTTCTGTGCTTTAGACAATACTTTAATACCTATTTACATTAAGGTTTAATTTTTCGAAACTTGTCGATTATATTGGCATAAAAAAACTGTCTTTAAATCCACGAAATATGGGCAAACAATTTGAATTTTTGGAAAAAAAGGATTTTGTCGGATCTGTGTTTTCTATTTTGTGACCTAGCTTGGTCACGTCGTTTTTGGGTTACTGTATTCTGTGGTTATAAAAGGGGAATTTTTAAGATAAAAATTTCATTCTGGTCATTATCGTTAGCAGTTTTAGTAACCTGATTTTTTTGTTTTGTTGTTTTGTTTTGTTGTTTTGTTTTGTTGTTTTGTTTTGTTGTTTTGTTTTGTTGTTTTGTTTTTTTTTTTTTTTTTTTTTTTTTTTTTGTTTTTTTTTTTTTTTTTTTTTTTTTTTTTTTTTTTTTTTTTTGTTGATTTGTTTTGTTGATTTGTTTTGTTGATTTGTTTTGTTGATTTGTTTTTGTTACTGTACCACGTGTTTGTTCCCTGTTCTATTCCCTTTTCTTCAGTTATGGATGACCAAGAGGATCAAGAGGAAGGAAAACTCGTCGCTGGCTGCTCTCGAAGCTGATCTCACGGAGAAGATTGCCGCCAAGCTAAAGGCTAAATCGAAGGCGACCATTGTTCTCTCCAAGAAACTTGCAATTTTAAGCCTTCATTTTCTTGGATAGCCAAAAAGGAATCAAAGGAAATTGATTAATGCAAATTTTTAAATTTAAAATTCAAGTTTTTGGTCCAAATAACCGTCTTTATAAAAGAACCTTTTGCGCAGGAGGAAATGGTTTTTATTTTAAAACTCAAATTTTGTGCCCATTTAACCGACTTGTTGCACAGCTTTTTTTATATCCATATAACCAAAAAGTACCAAATATTTTCAGTAGCTTACCCAAAAGCGCGTTTAAAAGACTGCTCTTCCCGGCGCCAACCGCTCCGACGACGGCGATGAATTCGCCTTTTCTGATGGACAACTCGGGAATGGTGAGACTTGCCGGCGAATTGATGCCGTTCCAATTGAATGTTGCCTGAAATGTAGAAGAGCTCCGATAAAACGGTAGGATCGGATTTGATTTTGCTCACAACTCTTTCTTAGAAAGAAAGTTACTCTTTCTTCAAACTCTTAAGGCCAAGATAGGATTGGTTACATTTGTTTGATAAATTGAGGCCTTATTGTAAATGTAGAAGAAAAATTATTTTAAAAAATCTAATTCGATTACTTTTTCGGCTTTCACGGCGATTTCCGGGTCCTTCGGCATAGTGATTTGTCCCTGTTGAATCTCGTCCTCGATTAGGAATTCCTCGACTCTCCGTGATGAGACCAAAGCCTATAATTGATATCTATAAATTTCTAAAATCTTTAAACAATCTGTATCCTTTTACATTCCTTTACTTGTTCATAACCCACCTGGACGAGATAGTTGATTAGCATGGCTAAAATTCGCATCGGCATTCGGAGTTGATTGAAAACGGCCAATGCAACGAAGGCTACCTAAAAATTGGCTTTAAAATTTTGATAAATAATAAATGGATAAAATAAAATGTTCAATTATCTTTTCAATTATCTAAAGAACCTGTGGAGTAAGGACGTTGTCTTCGGAAGATAAAACGTAGAAGGCAAAAGTCACGATAGCTACCTGCATAAAAGTTCAATTCAATTCAATTTTCAATTTTAAAAGTATCTTTTAAAATTTCTTTCAATGGATAAGTTGTAGAGAATTATGTCAAGCTATACCAAATTTCCCCAAAACGATTTAACAAGGTATGGAGCCGCCATCGAATTGAGCGCGTCCACAAGCCGAGCCGTCATATTCATCTTGCGGAGAATTTGAACCTCAAATTTTTATTGGTCAGACAAATGCCATTCTACAGAAGACTGCTAAACTGGGCTATCCCCAGTCCTCCATTTTTGAGCCACCTTTTCACACACAAAGCGAATCCTACTACAAAGAGGAATCCTAATTGCGTCTCAAATGGTCGCCAGTTACAGGAAATTATTCGAAATAAATTGATGGTTTTATGTCCAATAAATTTGTGTTCTAAAGTCCCGACCGAGTGCGACCTTTTCAAGTCCCGAATTTTCACCCCCACCATACCTTTTGAAATTTCTTTATTACATATGCCATAGAATTTTTCTGAAACTGGCCCATAAATTTACCCCGTCTTGACGCGCCACAAGCCGGCCGTCATATTCATCTTGCGGAGATGCCCCATTTTTTGTCAGACAACCTTACAGTACCTTCGCGAAGTAGGTTTCTTTAGAAGAAAACGCTTTTCTAACTTTCATAAGCGGCTCCACAAAAGAACAATTTCCCATACAAACCTCTTCAGCACGGAGTTGATCGATCTCTTTCTCAAAGGCTTCCTCCCAAGCGTACAATTTGATCAACTTGATCCCGTTTAAAACCTAAAAACATGGAAATTTCCCTTTTCCTTCTATACCTTTCTTCAACCTCATTACTCATCTTTGTCCTTTCATCTTTCACTTTCAATTGCTTCTTTTGAAGAACTTTAATGTATTTCGAGGTGTAGTAGTTGAATGGCACGATGCAAACCATCAAAACGATTCCCGAGATTGCAGTTGGACCCATGATTGCCCATAACATGATCATCGAGATCACGATCTGTAAGAGGAAATGAGCACAAGGAAAAACCGTTAGAAACGGATATTTCTCAAATTTTCCTTACATCCATCGGACAAGTAATTGTCTCGACGAGAAATGGTAGATAGGCCATGATCTTCTCAGCATCAACTGCCAAGAAATTCATCATTTCGCCAACAGTGTGACGACCCCGAGAAACTGGGGAAAGACGAAGGATCTGGAAAAGAAACTTGAAGATTCTAAAGGGAATGCTTGAGTTACAGATGCATAGATAGCTTTGTTTTTATTGGGTTCATGGGTATGATTTTTTTTTTTATTGGGTTGGTGGGTATGTTTTTTTTCAAATAAATTCAAATAAAATAAAATCTTTACCTCCTAAAGAGGTAAAGAATATGGAAAAAAGTGAACATTCACTCTCGCAAAAATAAAGTCCCTTACTTTCAACATATTTGACTCTTTCGAATTTTACTTTACTTTGTTCAAACTACTGAAAATCTAAATCTGCAACACGTTATATTGTACCAATTCCTACAAGAACACAAGGACCTCTAGTGTTCAGTAAGTAATACATAGTAGCCTCTAGTAATATTGTAAAGCAAACATTGTAAACTGGTTTGCTAAGCTCCGTTCTGGGGATAAATCCTCGAAGACAAAGGGAGAAGTCTAGCAGTTCAGCTGGAGAATGTCAACTTGCTCGAAATTTTTCAAACCACAATTTTCTTAGCAGAAGAGCTATCAGTTGATCCTACAACAATACTCGACATTTGCATAAATCGAAAGTTTAAAAATAGTTTAAATCGAAATTAGAGGGGATTCCATATGGCTGAAAGAACAACCAGAAATGTCAACGCTCTTTTCAATCAGTCTTTCTCGATACGAGCGCAAATCTTTTTTATCACGTATTGTGACAAAGGAATGAAAATCGAATCTAACTATCAACTTTCGGAGAAAGCTCCAATGAGTTGCTGAGAGGGAAAAGCCGATTTCAAGCCAAATGTGCATGGGAAGAAGTTTATGATTTGGAAAACTCTGTTCTGAGATTTGCTCTGTTCTGAGATTTGGAAAACTTTATCTACTGGGAAGTTTTGGATAGTTTTGGACAAGATTTAACCAAATCAAATACTCCAATCAACTTGACAAGTCAGCCAGAGAAAAGATTACAAAGAGAAAAATCATTCTTCAACATGATAATGCTAGACTGGATGTTTCGAAAATGATTCTTTCTAAACTAAACTCATTTGGATGGAAGGTGATGACCCATTTGTCATACAGCTCTGTTCCTGCATCTTTTGATTACTACTTATTGGCAATTAGCAATGATTTGGCAAAAAAAAACACTTTGATTCCAAAGACGAGGTCAAAAAAAATGGCTGACAGATTGTTTTGCGTCAAAACCGAAGATTTTCTACGAGAGAGGCATTCGATCTCTACCAATAAAATGGGCACAAATTATACAAAACAATGACGAATATCTCAAATGATTTAAAGTTGTTAACTGAATAAAAATTTCAACGTGCAAAGCATACCCATCAATTCAATAATTGTAAGACATTTACTTAAGCCTAGACAAACCTTTCTAAAGATCGCATTCGACAACATTGACTGCATCCAAACCGAGTTCTGTAGAATGATATACGCGTAATTATTGTTGAGAAAAGATCGAAGGAGTGAATTGATGAACATGCACAAAGCACAGAGAAGACCGAATGAGAGTGGAGCGGATGGGGTGGAGACGAAATCGATGAGATATCTCAAAATTGATCGGTGTCTTGAAGAACAATGTCTTTAAGAGCAATATCTTTAAGAACAATGTCTTGAAGAACAATGTCCTTAAGAACAATGTCTTTAAGAACAATTCAAGCTTAAGACCTGTTAACTAAAGCAATCAAACTTTTAAGAGCTTAAGCTCACTTGAGCAGCAGTGGATTCACGAAGAGGAGAGCTTCGGCGATGAGCCTTAAAGACATTGCGGGGAGCATTGACGAGCGAAAGATTCGGAAGAGAACACGACCGATACGGGGACGAGTGGCTTTGGGCTCGACTCGTCGGCCTGCAACAATGAAAGATTACTTTCACTTTCACATTACAGTACTCTGGCTATTGTCTGCTTTTCTTACAAATTTCAACCTTTTATCCTTTCATCCACTCACATTCTCTTATCCATCCACTCTCCCATTTTTCCATTAGATATTTTGAGGTGGTGTTTCTTGGCAAATCGAACAGGTCTTCTAACACCAGAGACTAGAAAAAGAAGGGTTAATTCAATCAATTCATTACTACAGACAAGTACTATGTACATAACTACTGGCCAGTACTATGTACAGAACTACAGATCAGTACTATGTACAGAACTACAGATCAGTACTATGTACAGAACTACAGATCAGTACTATCAACCTTTCTATATCCTAAAGCTATCAAACTCGAGAGCCAAGATATCGTCGTCCGAGAGTGGAAACCGGCTGTGTCCATCGGAGAAAATTGCTGAACACGAGTTTTGAATGAGTTCAATTCTTGCTCTTTCAAATCCTAGAGTAAAACTATTCAGCTGATAAACTTCAAAAAAGCCTTTTTATCTGAGTGTTCAGCCTTGTTATCTGAATACTTTTTGGCATACTATAGCTAGAGAAAAAAGAATTTCAGATCCAAAACACACTTCTTTCTCCACCACCATCACATCATTCCCAAAGAAAGAACCGTTCAACAAAAAGAGCAACACGAGTTGCACGATCGCGTAGATTGAGACATTCTGACCGTCAAAAATCTGAAAATCTATTGTTTTTCTTGTTTTATTGGGTTTGATTTACCATTTTCAAGAATATCAATCCTTGAGCAATCAGCTGGAAAAGGGAATACGTGATAACAAAACCATTTGATCGACGACCCGTGTAAAAAGCGATCACCAAAGAGACCAAGGCAAGCGTCTGGAAATAGATTTGAAAATAACTAGTTACCGTAAATACTGTAATAGTACCCCACCGCCATAATAACGGTGCGGAGTGTTGCGTAGTCTGGCTTTGAACAAGTTTTTCTCGACACTGGTTTATGCTAGAATGCTCGCTTAGGTATCAAAAAAATAGCTGAAATTCAGGGCTATTTTTTGATACCAAAGACGCATTTTTTGAAAGTACGGACGCTTTGAGAAAAAATGAAATACTAAAAAACTTTTGCGACTACGCGACTGTACGAGGGGGTGGGATGCTATTACAGTATTTATGGTATGTACTTTATGCGCTTACAAGCACAAGCTCTTTGGCTTGCTTTTCGCCAATCTACCTACCGTAAATACTGTAATAGTACCCCACCGCCATAATGACGGTGCGGAGTGTTGCGTAGTCTGGCTTTGAACGAGTTTTTCTCGATACTGGTTTATGCTACAATGCGCGTTTATTTATCAAAAAATAGCCCTCAATTTCAGCTATTTTTTGATAATAAAGACGCATTTTTTGAAAGTACGGGCGCTTTGAGAAAAAATGAAATACTAAAAAACTTTTGCGACTACGCGACTGTACGAGGGGGTGGGGTACTATTACAGCATTTACTGTAGGTAATTTTTAAAGTACTGTAGCTAGAGTGTGCTTAAAAGATTGATCTAAAAGATTGGTAAAAAAAGCCAAATTGAAAACGCACCCAAGTTGCGATAGCTCCAAGATTGTCGACTTGTTTCCAAAATAATGGCGGTCCATCTCCCAAATAGAGACAAACCAGCTCGATCAACGTTGTGATGATCAATCCAATCAAGATCAACTAAAAAAAATAACAATTTATAAAATATCAAGATTTTCAAGCATTAGTTGGAGTAGGCTAGTTTCAATTTTTTTTTTGCGCAACTGGCTCGTTTGCGCAACTCGCCATAACTTCCTTCTAAGTGGGCCAATCTTTATGATTTTGGTTTCATTTTGTTGTACTTATTGAGATCTACAAAAGTGAAACCAAAATCATAAAGATTGGTCAACTTAGAAGAAAGTTATGGCGAGTTGCGCAAATGATCCTGTTACGCAAAAAAAAATTGCGGAAACTAGCCTACTCACATTAGTTAATAAAGCTTTTCATTTACCGTTTATCCAATTCGAATCAAAGCAGTTTGTTAAAAATTAGAGAACCAAAAAAGAGTTATGAAACGAACGGAAGCAAAGCGTAGTGTGTTCACCAGTCTGATTCTCAGCCGTAACGGAAGTGCTGCTGGGGTTCGTTTCGGAATTCGAAATGCCAAAAATTGAATGGGAATCAAGCAAATGAAGTAGAGATGCGGGAACAAGGATAACCATGATTGTTCGGGACAACGAGAGAGCTGAAATCGAGATTTCTGTAAATGAGTCGATTCAGGAAAGCAGTACTCTAGAGAAAGAGTTCGATCGATTGATTGAATAGTTTTACTGAAGAAATTTGATTGATTGTTTCAGTAGATTTTCTCTATTTATAGAAGAAAAACATTTCTTTTCTTTTCTTTTCATTTCCTTGCGAATCAACAAAAAAAAAACAAACACTAGAATTCTCGCCAAAGCATCGATTCATCAATTGATCATTCGTTGCAGACATTTTGAAAAGTCTAAATAAATAAATTTTTCAAAAATCATTTCAAGGATAAAGAAATTAAAAGAAATTAAAAGAAATTAAAGGAAATTAAAAGAAATACCGTATTTACTCTATTAGTGGGGTCCCCCACTATTTTTCTATTTTTTCTATCCCCTTCCAGACGACCCCACTATTAGAGAAATTTAAAAGAACATAAAACCAAAGTTTTAAATTGAAAAGATATCAATTTTTCTCCGAAATTCTTGACAAAACAAGTTTGGCTTCATATTTTATTTAGCTTTAACCGTAACAAAACATTAACAAACAGTAAAAGAACTAATCCAAGAGATCAACAATTGATGTATCACTTTCGTTACCAATATCTTCTTCCAATTCGAGAGGACCCCACTATTTTTTCAACCCCCCTCCAGACGACCCCACTATTAGAGAGGACCCCACTAATAGAGTAAATACGGTATTGACGAAATGAAAGGGTTGATTGTGAGAAAATTGAAAACGGAAAGAGATGGCGGGGAGGGTTTTTTGAAATAGAGTCTCCATATTTACATAAGCTTTTATAGTTTGTAATCGAATCAAAAAAATCACCAAGAGTTCCAATTCTTTCTCGTACTTGATTTTCAATGGAAAACGATGGAAAACGATGGAAAACTCATTGAAAACGAAGCAAATTGAACTTATTTTGTCTGAAATTACGAAATCTCTCTGAAATCCTCAAAAAGATTGATAGATTGATTCAGAAATTCTCAAAAAGATTCAGGAAATGAAATCAAGAAATAAAGTGCGCAAGATTTAAGGGTAATTTCACATACACATAAAAACGAAAAGCACCGATAAAAAGCAACACGATATAATGTATGTAATATCACGATATAAAGTAGCAGATATAACGTTAGGAAGCCACTAGAGCTTTAAGATCAAGATCATTTAAAGATAATTTAAAGGGTAGCACAGATCATTTAAATAAATGTAATATTCGGGTAGCATTGATAACGTCAAGAATCCACTAGAGCTCTAAGATCAAGATTAAGATCATTTACAGATAATTTAAACAACAACACGATATAATGTACACAATTTTAAAAGCAACATGATATAATGTATGTAATGAGTAGCACAGATAACGTTAGGAAGCCACTAGAGCTTTAAGATCAAGATCATTTAAACAGCAACACGATATAATGTATGTAATGAGTAGCAGAGATAACGTTAAGAAGTCGCTAGAGCTTCAAGATCAAGATCAAGATCATTTACAGATCATTTAAACAGCAACACGATATAATTTACACGATTTAAAAAGCAACATCACATATAATGTATGTAATGGGTAGCAGAGATAACGTTAAAAAGCCACTAGAGCTTGAAGATCAAGATCATTTACAGATAATTTAAATATATGTAATGTATTGTTAGCACAGATAATTTAAACGCTTCGAAACTATTGGACTCTCTCAAAACCCTGGGAAGTCGATTCCAAATTCTGGCAGTTCTTATTGGAAAAGAGTTCTGCATAAAACTCATTGGAGGTGACTGGGATTTCTAAAACGAAAGAACATCTCCTTGAACTAACCATGGGATTAACTTTGCTCTTGAAAATCTCGAAAATCTCAAAAATCTCAAAAAAGAGGGATAGTTTATATTACAATTACAATTACAATTTATAATTTTGCCCTTTACAATTTTGAAACATTCTATGAAATCCGTGAGAAAGCGGCGGGATTTAAGATTCAAAATTTCGAGTCTATCTTTGTAATTAAAGATTGCAAATTTGAAAAAATCCACTTTCCATAGAGCTACGAAGATAGCTTCGTAAATCTGGATAAAAAAATCCAGCAGTGATCTACTGTTGGATTTTTTTTTTTCTAGGCGAGAGATCTCAACTTGTGTATGTGGCGATGAAAATATGCATATTTTGATGCATACTCATAGAATGGGTTTAACGTTTAAGCGATGAAACACTTTCTATAAATCTCAATTTTTCGGATAACAAATTGCTTTAAAGGAGACGACTAAAGACGAAAGAAAAGAAAGAAGAAGTTTAGGCTGACCAAGTGTACAAAATTTCCTTTTTTTCATTTGCTGATAATTCCCGGGAGCACATTTATGCACATTTCTTTTTTCTTTTTTCTTCAATTCTGTTTTCGTTTAGGGGTGATTTTTGGTGTCGAAAAATTTGAAAAATAAAGAAATTCTTCAAATTTTCTTTATTCTTGAAGCTCTAGTAGATCCTTGACGTTATCTGTGCTACCCATATATTCCATCTATTATATCGTGTTGCTTTTTATCGGCTCTTTTCGTGTCTATGTGCATGAACCATTATCCAGGAAATATCTTGATTTTCATGGGAAACAAATGAGGTGAATTTCAGTATTTTAGCTAGTTTTTTCTTTAGACAGAATGTGAAATTTGTAGCAAAAGGTATAGACAAAATTTGTGGCAAAGATTATTCCCAAAAATATTTTGAGCATACTAAGCATACCATTAAATTATCTCTAGATTGATCTCTTGATCTTGAAGCTCTAGTGAATCCTTGACGTTATCTGTGCTACCCATATATTCCATCTATTTTATCGTGTTGCTTTTTATCGACCCTTTTCGTGTCATGTGTTTTAATCTTAAATCTAGCGCACTTTAGCTCAGGTCATGAATAAAGTATCTATTAAAAAGCGGATAGGCTAATCACTTTCATATGTCAGAAAAAGGATACCCCATGAAAAGGTTGGGGGTATCGTCCAGAAGGAAAAAGAATGCTTTAACCGATACAGAATCGGTTAAAGGTCACTTTATCTCAGGTCATGAATAAAGTATCTATATATCTATATATATTATTACAAAAATCTCTAAAAAAATATAGAGAAAAATTAAAAATGAAAGTGTTTTTAATAAAAAAATACAAGCTGATTTTTGTTTTTTTATGCAAAACTTCATTTTTCGAAGTTGATTCATTCGAAATCCACAGAAAAGAGAAAAGAAAAGGAAATTGAGAAGAAAATCTTCGAATCGACAATGTAAAAACAAAAGAAATCATGAGAAATAAAGAAAAATTTGATGTTAGATATTAGAAATGAAATCTTTTGCAATTCCCGTTTTCTCCGAGGCCCATCCTCTTCATTTTTGGCCTATATAACGCCTTCCTCACACTCTTTCACCTCCTCTAATCCTTCAATCTATCAAAATGAAAGAGAAAAAGGCAAAAGCTTTGTTGATGTTTGAGGAAAACGAAAAAAAAGCGGCACAACATTGCACAATGACACAAACCACAAGTCTATCCTTCTTCTTCTTCTTGTTTTCACAGAAAATTTTGCATAAATTGACATCAACGGGCACTTATGCTTTGTACACAACTTTTGTGTGCGATCAAAGAGTTCAAAGGGCTCAAAGAGTCCAAGAGGTTGGTGTACTTTATGCGCGCAAAGTCTATGAACGTACACATCATTGTGTACGTCGATTACTCGTTGATTACTCGTCTTCTAGCTCTTTTACTTCGAAAATTTGATTTACATCGACAAATTCTATGCATTTCTATGGAAATGTTCGTAATTTTATTGGAAAATTTAGATAAAAAAAATGTTAATGATTTGTTTGTCCAACAGTTATTGTCATTGTTCGCGTTTTCGTCGAAATTTGATGCCAAAACGAGTGTCCAATCGATCCGACATCACATTTGGTAATTAAAGAAAAGAAAACTCCAAATAATAAATGTAAATTTTGAAGTAAAGTGATAAAAAAACGACGATAAGCGCTGATAAAACTGAAGAAAAAATGAAGTATTTTGAGAAATTGTGAGAAAATTCGCAACAAAGTTACCGTAAACACTCGTCTTTAAATGAAATCTTTATGAAATCTTTACGAAAGTTCTTTATGTCCACACAAAAAAAGTGGGCGTGGCTTGGACAAGTCTGAACAAGCCGCTCATTCTACGTCACAAATTGGGGTCAGATCTTGGAGGAAATTTGAATATTCGAGTAAAGACTTGTTTGTTAATTCGAGATCAATATAGCTTTTCTTCTTGATTGCCAATAAATACTAATTTCAGTTAAAAAGCAATTTCTTTCAAGCAAATTCTTAGAAATCCTTAGAAATTCATCGTCAAGCTATAGAAAAGTCTACAAACGTACACAGTACTCGTTGATTACTCGTCTTCTTCTTACTTCTATCTCTTTACTTCGAGAATTTGATTTTCATCGACAAATTCTATGCATTATTGGAAATGTTCGTAAATTTTATTGGAAAATTTAGATCAAAAAATGTTAATGATTTGTTTGTCCAACAGTTATTGTTGATTACTCGTCTTCTTCTTACTTCTAGCTCTTTTACTTCGAAAATAAAACGAAAGTAAAAAGTACTTACCTCTTTTACTTTTACTTTTACTTTTACTTACTCTTTTACTTTTACTTTATTGTCATCGACAAATTCTATGCATTTCTATGGAAATGTTCGTAATTTTATTGGAAAATTTAGATGAAAAAATGTTAATGATTTGTTTGTCCAACAGTTATTGTCATTGTTCGCGTTTTCGTCGAGATTCGATGCCAAAACGAGTGTCCAATCGATCCGACATCACATTTGGTAATTAAAGAAAAGAAAACTCCAAATAATAGATGTAAATTTTTGAGTAAAGTGATAAAAAAACGACGATAAGCGCTGATGAAACTGAAGAAAAAAATGAAGTATTTTGTGAGAAAATCCGCAACAAAGTTACCGTAAATACTGTAAGAGTACCCCAGCCCCATAATGACGGTGCGGAGTGTCGGGTAGTCTAGCTTTGAACGAGTTTTTCTCTCGACTGATTTATGCAACGATGCGCGCTTAAGTATCAAAAAATAGCCCTGAATTTCAGGGCTATTTTTTGATACCAAAGACGCATTTTTTGAAAGTACGGAAGCTTTGCAAAAAAATGAAATACTAAAAAACTACGCGACTGTACGAGGGGGTTGGGGTCCAATTACAGTATTTACGGTAAGTATTGTAAAAATTATTGTATTATTATTGTTTTATTAAATTTT